CCGCCTCAACCTACGAGACTTTTTGATTTCATTGAAGGAATTCGCCGGAGACAACGCCGAGCTGTTCATCGTCGAGAAGGAACAGCAGGAGCGCGATGCCCGAGCTGCAGACATGGAGAGGCGACAAAAGGTCGGCGGTCTTCTCAAGCCATCCGATCTGGACGACGAAGAGCTCTGACTTCCGCAAGAGCTCCGAGCGGAAGTTGCGCCGAAGCGGGATGCCAAAGACTTGCCGAGCTTGAAGAAGGCCGAGATACAGTATGGAGCTCTAGATGGCTGGGAGCTCTACGGGCTGTGATTCTGATTACCTGCCTGGGTATCTTCAGGTTTCGGCCAAGGCTTCATTCACCAGTGTGGACGTTTGGCTCCCATTTTCTTTTTGTAGTGATACCAAACCATAGAGCCACGTGGTCTCGATTTTTATGGCTTGACATTTTTTCATCCAGCACCAAAGGTAAGATGCCAGACTATTTTTCTCCATCATCTCTCGCCCACCCTTTGAGGGTTTTTTTGTCTGGCAGTTGAAAAAAAAAATTATTGCGTGTCAAGCATGGAAAAAGGCTGGTTTATGTAGAAAATTGGGGGATTTCTTGATAGCAGGGTGGTATAAGGGAAAAAAGGCGCTGCGAAGAGAAAGGTGGGGGAGAAGGGGAAGATGGAGAAAGGGAGGAGAGTTGAGAAATGGCAATGACAATACGATTACTTTACGAAATGTAGGACTTTTTTAAATCAGGAGGAGACATAGATCAGCTGAGAGGACGACATGGATTGCTGGTAACTCGTCAGTAGGACGGATTATGAATAAATAATTCTTCTATAATTCTGTTTTTTCCCCTGCCATATATACTAGAAAAGTAAAGTACCTAGGAGAGTCATGAGGCTCATGGCAAGAAAGCAATAATAACGTAAAAAAGGAAAGGAAGAAGAGAAGAGAAGAAAAAAAGAAGAAAAAACCCAGCATGAAAGATGACGATGCTCGAAACCAAACTCGGCCCAGTCCATGTATCATGAATGCCCATATACGTCCCATCCCCGATGCCGCGATAACAAAAGAAAAAATGAGTACCACTAATATACAAAGTACATGATGCATGCCCCAGATGCCCCCCTTTCTGATTCATAAAATTCCCATATATCCCGTTGGCCGGTCGTCTGTATCCATTCTTTTTTCTTTGCAAACGTAGTTTGTTTGGCGATGCGTGAAACTCGCCTTACCAAGAAACTCTCCCCCCTCCTATGTGACGCTCCCTTTAGTCAGTCTCTTCTTCAATCACCTTGAGAGGCCATGCCAGCGGCTCATGCCAGTGGCCTCCGAGATACCCCGCGATGGCACGGATCAGATTTGCGCCTGCGGTGCCAAACGTCCAGAAGTGCCGGCATCGATGGATCAGCACGCCCAAGTAGGCTAGAATCATCAAGGCTTCAGGCAGCAGTGTTCGTAACACGTCTACGTACTCCGCCTCAAGGGTGACGATAAAGGCAGAGGGCGCATGCGAGATGTCTTGTTCAGGCAGAGCTCGATGCATGTCGAATGCCCACTGGAGTGAGTCAATGGCCACGCGGCAGGCATCAGCGCTGGCTTGGTCAAGGCGTGGTGGTGAGGCGTCACCATACCGGGACACCGGAGAGGCGGCAGCATCTATCATTTGCCGGAGAGCGGTGCACTCTGTGCCAGATTTCAGCGTCACCGCGGCGATGTTGGCGTCGTGGGTGATGTGAAGTAGGGGATACAGCTCGGACTGCATGAGGTAATCCCAAGTTGGGCGGACTTGGGCCAGAACACCCCGATGAAGATGGATACACTCAACCATGCGTTCAATGAACCCATGGAAGCTGATGGCGCCACCACTAGCACCTCCTCCTCCAATAACACCTCCTCCGCCCCCTCCGCCATGGACTCCCATGACATCGTGGTGGTAGGGAAGGAGCTGTGGCTGCTGATGCTGCAGCAGGGTCTCAGCTAGGACCTGGTTGCTCAACAGACTGGCAAAAAGAAACCGAGGGACGCATGTAGCCGTATCATCAGCAGGGACCATGGCTGTAATGCGTGTAAAAGACGACAGAGCGCGCGTCTGCAGCTCGGTGGCCTGATTCCGGAACGATGCAACTGTACCATTCAACGGCATCTCCCCCGGTTTGGTGGTGAAGGCCACATGCAGCGCCGATAGAGCCAGCAGCTGGTCAATGAGGTAGGGAGCATCTATCAAGTGCCTGATGGCGACGTCCAGCACGACCTTGACCTGGCCGCGAGCCAAGATGCAGTCGCTCATGGCATCGGACAAATGGTGGAAGAGCATGAGATGCTCGGCCGTGAAGAGAGAGGCCGGAGGAACGGGCGGGTGGTATGCGGTGTTGGTGAAGGATTCGGTAAAGGACGGCAAGGTCTGAGGACCGGCGGGAGGCGCCGGAGCGAACCTGTAGCGACCAGCACCGAGTACAGATTCTGGAGATGTTGACGAGGGATCAGGACCGCATGGCGGCCACGGAACCGGGTGGTCCGGCTCGCACGACGATGGCGAATGTTGAGATTTGCGGCTCAGATGCGAGTCGGCCGGGCTGTGCGGCAGCTGCGGCGGCGGTAGGGGCTCGAGTTGGCTCTGCGGCTGGCGAGCAGGAGGGAACGAGCATGCGCGCTCAGCAATTGTGCAGTTCGTGCAGGCTGGACGGCGCTCGTCGCATCGTATGTGTCGTCGCTTGCACTCACTGCAGCCGTTCCGGGATTTTCGGTGCGATCGCCTCGTCTTGACGACGCCGTTTGAACCGGAGCTCCCGTTGAGCTGGTGGTGCATGGTCATGGCTGCGTGCCCGGCAGGAAGAGGGAAAGATGGAAGATGAAGAAACGAAGAACCCCAAGTGGATGGCGACCCAAAAGAACCCCCCGGAAGCTCTGGGTGGTGTTTTGTCTCTGGTCAGCCTGAGCTGAGTGGTAGACAATCACAAGCTGCCGGTGATAGGTCAAATGCCGTCAATGGCATGTAGAAGTACTTTTGCCAACTTTATGCTTTATGTCAGGCCGTGGCTGCCGTGGCTGCCGTAGCTGCCGCACAGGCAGTTGCTCCGCCACAAAGCCTCGGGAGCGGAGCCGAGAGGAGCAAAGTCCGAATACGAGACGGGGTGAGGTGCCATGCTTAAAACCCGTGTGGCTGGTGAACTCCGCTGAAGTAATACCGATACCGTCGTCTGCAGAGAAACAATCGTGTCGTGTCGTCTTGTCGAGAATCAATTCTTTTTTGGATGCTATTTTCCATCTAAGCAGATGAGGTGGAGTCCGTCAGTCAGTCAAGTCAGTGACGGCACTTGCTAGTAGATAGCAGCAAAGTAAAACGTCCGATTTGGCAGCGCCAACGTTGTCGGGAGCTGATGTGGCACCAACAAAGCTCACAAACAAAAGGGCTGACGCAGATAGATGGGCAGTATGGAGTACAAGACAGATACATACGGATTGTGATTGGCCAAAAGAATCCGAGCCGCATGACGGTATCGAGAACAGGGGATTCGCGATATGGGATAGATTGCCGATGATGATGATGATGATGATGCGGAAAAAAGACTTGCTTGTAACGAGGAGCGCAGTTGCTGATTGGGAGACGCGCAACGCATCAATGGCACGAGTAAACCGGCCTCATCGTAAATCAGCAACCAGGAATATGTCCCGGCATCCTGCAATCGGCCGGAGCTCCATGGTTCGTAGCAACATGCCACTGCTGCATTGATCTCTGCTGCAGGTCAGCGTCACGTCTGCATCTTGACACGTCGTCCGTCGTCTTGCGGGTGGCGGGCGTCAAGGCGTCTCGAGATGCCAATGTTTCGTGCAACAACGAAGATTCTGCATCGTGGCGGGAACGAGTAAAAGTATAGTTTCGACAGAGGCGTGCGTATATGTAGGAGATGGAAGCTGGTCAAGTATTTATACGAACAAGAAACTCAGCCACAATACCTGAGAGGGGTTGAGTGTCCGAGGGCAGTATTCGTATGGACGCCTTCTAGACACCGGGCGTGGGTCGCGGATTAGTGACGAATGATAGTGGGTAGCGGACATTGAGCTACTGAGTTATTCCCTAGACGGGCAACTAGCTCTGCGAAATACGCGTATTACAGCTACCAGGGGGAGCATCCATACGTGTACCTATTGCGGGTACGGAGTTCTACGAGTATCCGATCGATCAAGTGATTGTATATTGCATCTAATTAAGCCATCAATCTATCTTCTCTATGATTTATTTATGTATCGTTACCTGATTATCTAGCATCTCTCAAATCTCTAGCTATTTGTCTCAGTCTATTTATACGCTTTTCATTCATTCTAAAGAGAGCGCTGGATATAGACTCTGTAATGATATGAGGAGCGCTATTGTAACAATAAATACCAATTACCGACCGCCTACTTGGTAGTATGTTCGGTAGGTGATGCCGAGAATATCGCATCGAGATCAACGGATGCCATTAAGGTTCTGCACGGAAGATTATACTTCTACGGATAAGGCGAGTTCCTAAGGATTGGACACTCTTCGAAGTAAAAGGAGAGCCTCAAAATGCCGGTGCCTAAGAATTGAAAACTCTTCAAAGTAAAATGAGAGCCTCAAGGTTCCGACTCCTAAGGATTGAAAGCTCTTCAAAGTAAAGGAAGCCTCAAAGTGCCGCCTTAAGAATTGAAAACTCTTCAAAGTAAAAAGAGAGCTTCAAGGTGCCGCCTTAAGAATTGAAAACTCTTCTTCAAAGTAAAGGAAGCCTCAAGGCAGAACACGATTCAAAACAAAAAAACTTTAAAACTGTAAAGGAAACATATAAAGGCCGCTGAGGCCTGCCGTGTTGCAGACAGGCTACTGGTTCTCGCAAAAACAAGGTCAGGCTCAAACTTCGCACAAAAAATCCTGCGTACACGATATTATCCATTCCATTATCATTCTAACATTGCATTGATCTTGTGGAAATAATTGTACTATTGCCTTTATTTCATTTCTTCTATTTCTTATCCCTGTCGGAACCACCTCGCTTTGCCAATGGCTGCTGCTCAAGAGCACAACCTAGAAAGCTCTCTAGTAGAGCGTCTGCTGGCTGAAATGGATGACACAGCTCGAATGCTTGATGAAGGCATTCCTCTCGAAAAGCCCAAGGTCGATTACATTACGGATATAGATACCAGGCGCGAAATCTTCCTTCAAATCAAGAAGATCCAGGATGATAACAACATCTCGCTTGGCCTGAATGCAGTGGGATTGGCCATTATCCTGGTCGCGCCTATTGACCAACTGCAGCGCATATTAAACGATTTAAATATGACCACGTACCCTCTATGCGCAATCGTAGCCGCGAGCCTCTTCGGGACTATGCATGCAGACGGTGTTCTAGGAATCAAGGCTTGTGAGTTTCTCAATTCCAACAAGGAACCCCCTCCCCCTGTTCTCCCTCCCCTTCTCAGATGTGCAGTGACCAGTGGCGTTTTGCTTACATCTGTATCAATTAGTCGTTAGAGAAGGGCGCCAATGTCATGGAATGCCATCTGCGTTTTGGGAGAGGCTCGCCTTTTCTTTAAGGTATATACCTGCTTCGGCGCGGCGCAGCGCGGCGTGTCCCATTCGAGGAACCAGTGACGATGTCTGCAGGGCCCGAATCATCCCAAAGCTTTGCCGCGGAACGGACATGGAATTCCACCAGTACATTAGCATGATGCTTCGCGTATTTTGGGACAAAGACAAGGCACAAACGTGGGATAGATTATATGCACGCGGCTGGTCCCCCTACTCGTTAGAAGGCCGGTTCCTTATTAGTAGCTACCTGCGCCAGGATATGGCCGAAGCCAAGTTGGCGCTGAAGCCTTTGGCCAAGATGGAGGACGGCTCGGTCATTGTCCAGCTCTTCTGGCTTAAGGAATCAAGGCTGAAGCCTCAGGACTTTTTGTTCAAGCCGCACGAGTCTGTGTCCTTTGAAGACGTCTTGAAGCGAGCAGGACTCGAAAATAACCAGGAATGGGGTCCATCGTTGGTCTTCCGAAAAGACGGTCAAATGCTCCTGAGTGGCCAGCTGTTTATTTTGAAGGGAAACTTAGACGTTGGTATTAAGGCCCCCGACTTCGAGCTTTTACAGATTTTGTGGGATCTTACTCAGGTTGCGGCCATATGTGGTGCGGTCAATGAAACAGATGACTTGTTGGATGAAGGCGAAAAGAAGGATTATTTAGATTATTGTGTATGTGGGGGTGAGGATGGGGGTGAGGGTGAGGATGAGGGTGAGAATGAGGATGAGAATGAGGGTGAGGGTGAGTATGAGGGCGGGAGTGAGGGCGAGAGCCAGGGCGATGAATAGAGATACTAAGGATATCGTAGATACTCGAGATACTCGAGATATTAGACAAACAAGAGAGTGAAAAGAGTTAGAATACCTGCAAACTCGTCTACTTACTTCTAACCCAATTACTTCTAACCCAACGGATCCCGCCAAGGGGTATATCGCATTAATAATAATAATAACATATCGCTATTTTAATCAAAGCCTTCAAACTCATCTTCCTGGGCTGCTGTCTTTGCTAGATTCTGTTCCCTGACCTGCCTGATCAGCTCCTTCAGCTCAGCCTGCTTGACCTTCTCCTCGTCTGTCATCTTGGCTGTCATCTCGGCTTCTCTCTTCTTGTGTCTCTTCTCTCTTCTCTCGATCCGGACCTCCTCTTGCTCATGCTTTCCGCTCCATGCCTCGTTGTTCTTCCTCTTCCGCTTAGCCTCGGCCGCCTTCTTCTCTGTCTCTCCTGATTTATCGGCTGCCATGGCCTCTTGTCTCGCCTTCTCTCGTGCTGCATCTTTATACGCGAATGTGTCCCAATCCATTTCAACTCCCAGCATCTTATCTCCAGTCCAGGTTCTCAACTCAGGCATCCTGGGTAGGCGGAGAAGCCCCCATGCATGTCCAAGATCTGTCCAGTCCAGGTCGGCAACTCTGAATATGGAAGTCGCTTGATGTGCTCCGTAACTGCGGACCCAGCTGACGAAAGCTTTCTGGGCTTTATCGTGAATCGCGCGATCCGCCTGGAGTAATGCTCGGAATTTTGACGTTGCACTTTGAGCTTCATCTTCCGTCACGGAAATTGAAGGTTTTAGTAAGGGTGTAATGGGGGTTTGACGAATCTCTAAAAATTTTGCGTAGTCTTCTTCGTGTCCAGGATGAAGCATCACCACAGCCAGTCCCTTTCTACCGGCACGACCGGCTCGCCCACTCCTATGGATGAATACCTTGGGATCTGAAGGGGCGTCGACCTGAACAACCAAGTCGACTTGAGGGATATCCAAACCACGCGCCGCCAAGTCTGTTGTCAACAGAACAGTAGGAGAGACAGAAGTCAGGAAGCGGTTGAAGTTCTTCTCGCGCACTTTAGCTGGATGCTTGCCGTGTAATGGTACCAATGAAAATCCCTGAGGTAATATTTGCGGAAGGGTGTGTTGGAAATAGTCCACAGCGGCACATGTAGACAGAAAGACGATGCTTTTCTGAGGTCGCACTGGTAGGCGCTCCAAGAGCTGTGCCAAGGCTGGCAGCTTATGGCTAGCCGGGGTAACAAGGTAGGACATCTGCAGACTTGCAGGAATCCTTCTATCTTCGACAACCCCACCATCCTTCATCTTGACCTTGACCTCAATCTTGACCGGATTGCGAAGTCCAACTCGGATAATCTCGCCAACGGCCTCGCTAACACTGGCACTAAACAAGCCCGTTCGTCGCTGCTTGGGGAGATGCGAAAGAATGGTCTGGAGGTCCTGCTTGAAGCCAAGATCGAGTAGCCGATCGGCCTCATCGAGCACAAGTGCCTCAAACGACTGGTCAATGTGAACGTGAGGAGAGGCCAGCAACTCAACAAGACGACCAGGAGAGGATATCAAAAGGTTCGGGCTGTGTCGGACAAAGTAGCTTAGATCTTGTGCTGGTGTGGTGGTTCCTCCGACTAGCAACTGAGGGACGATGGCGGGTACGACGCTGCTGGGTCGCTTTTCTTCGCCTTTCAGGTGCGGTAGTATCTCAGCGGAGGGTGCATGGAATTCGAGGAGGGACAGAAGGACGGTATGAATCTGTGCGGCGAGTTCTCGCGTGGGCGAAATGACGATTGCACCAATATGATGCTTCTTGGTCGGTTCATCCAAGCGCAATAGTCTCTGAACTATGGGAATCAAGAATGCGAGTGTCTTTCCGCTACCAGTAACGGCCTACGATTAAAACAATAGAGTTAGAATAAGAAAGGACAGCAGACGAATAATCAATAGTGCTAGAAAACTCACCTCAACTACTACATCCTTGTTACCCAGGAACTGCGGCATAGTCGCAGCCTGCACCGGCGTCATCTGCTTGAACCCCATGCTGGATACGGCATCGAGGATCCATTCCGCCAAAGGAGGAGTCAGAGCATCCCAAGCTCGGGGGTCTCTCTTTACGGGAACCTTTCCAGGAGCCATTGTGTTTGAGTCTGGTGAAAATTGATGTCCCAGCGCCACAGCGCAAGGCCTATCGTCGATACGATTGAGGCTATCTAAGAAATTATTTTGACGTCTTATCTTATCTCCACGTGAGGAGATCCGCTTACTTTTCTACTCGAACATCTCCCCACGATTAATTGGTCTTTGGCTGCGGCTACTAAGCCCAACTAGATACGGAACACTCCGGGAAACTACCACCCTAGGCAATAAGGGTATCTCAACACATGAGCATCTTTCTGGAAGAAATGGACGACCGTACGAGATCGGAACGTGGAAAAGAACCTTCCAGCCAGACTAACCGTAAGCGGCAAGCAATTCATCTCATGCACAGGAAATTTGATCAGGCAAAAAGCACGGGCTTGGACGCTCCGAACACCCGCGCCTCCGGCCGCACAGCAGAAACAAATCGGCACGTGAAAGTCCAACAGAGAGAAACTCGCGGCCCCAACAAAGGACCCGATGACGTTTTGTTAATGTCCGGGCGGACAATTTCTCAGGTCGGTTGCACTGGTCCGTAAAAATGATCAGATTGGCGGGTCACATGTGCCCCTTTGACAAGTGACAAGCAGCTCTGTCCTAGTACCTGTTAGGGCGCCACGGCTAAGAGAGACGCACACGACACTGCCTGGGTGACTTTTTTTGTGTTTGTGGCTTGGGGGTCGGTTGAGGCTGGCCGGCAGAAGGAAAAAAAACTTCGCCATGGACTGGACATAGCCTTCCGTGTACTCGTACATCTTCGAATGAAATTACCTAGTAGCATCCTGGCCGCCTTGCAAAACGAACGAATGACTTGGCCTTGTTCCGTCAACTGCAACAGCCAATAAATATCATCGACGCCCGCTGGTCCTCTTCATCCTCCTTCCCACTCGTCTTCTTTCGGGCGCATCCTCCGTTATCTGTCACTCCGTACCGGCGCTGGTAATGTGGCAGAGGGTCTAGCCTCTACCGCATCGCTGCTAAACCATCGTTCATCCTGGAGGACCCAACTCACCCCGTCAATCTGTCCCCTGTCAGCCACTCGTCATCGCACAGCCTGTTTGAGCTCGAGCTCTTTAGCCCTCACAGCATCAGCGGCCGAAGCAGAAGCGACAGCGACACCAGCAGCAGCAGCAGCAGCAGCAGCAGCGGCATTGACGTTGCGCGCCTCTCGCGCCGAGACCATCACCAGTCTCTGTGGCCCTCGGGCTTTGAATCGCTGCGGCGGCTCGTCGTGGGCGCCGTCAACTGCCCTGCGCTCCCGCCCGCAAGCTTCACAATGTCGCTACGTCGCCAGTCGGCTCGCGTGCCGCAAACGCCTCGCATCATCTCGCCCAGCCCGACGCCGTCAGAACGAGACGTGCAGGATTACGTGGGCCCCATGACCCGGAGTCGAAGAAAGGCCCCGACGCAGCAGGCGGTGGAGGAGGAGCCGAGCGATGGCAGCAGTTCCAGTTCCGGGCCCCGAAGATCCCGTACAAGAAGCCGCTCCCCCCTCGAATCGCGCGTGCCTCGCATGACCAAGACGCCGACAGCAGCGTCGTCCAAGACAGAACAAGACGGCATCATGGCTACAGCAACGGCGACGGCCACTCGGCTGGCCACGACGACAAACGGCCATCTGGCTCCTCCCCAGCCGGCCACCACGGGATGGAGCTGGCGCGACTTCAGCCGCAGCCCCAGTCCTCTCGGCCTCATCCCCATCCACAGACACTGGCGGACATTTGTGCACAAGCATGAGGTCCCCCGCAAGGCCTTGCACGTCTCCATCGGCTTCTTCGTCGTCTGGCTCTACAGCTCCGGAACCCAGACCAGCGCCGTGCCCCCGTACCTGATGGCTGGTCTAGTACCCATCACCACCGTCGACTGGCTGCGGCATCGATATGCCTCGTTCAACCGGCTCTACGTCAAAGTGCTCGGTGCCCTCATGAGGGAGAGCGAGTACGCGGGCTGGAATGGCGTCATCTTCTATCTCCTGGGCGCCTGGATCACCCTCTACTTCTTTCCCAAGGACGTCGGTGTCATCAGCGTCCTGCTGCTCAGCTGGTGCGACACGGCCGCCAGCACATTCGGCCGTCTCTGGGGACGATATACCCCGAGACTGCGCCGCGGCAAATCCTTGGCCGGGTCTCTCGCCGCCTTTTTCGTCGGCGTGGCCACCTCCTACCTCTGGTACGGGTGGCTGGTCCCAACTATAGGACCCATGCCCGGTGACGAGAACTTCATGTTCACGGGCACTCTATCGCTGCCGCGAGCATTGACCGAGGCCGTCGGCATCCCGGACAGCATGGCATCCGTCTCCGGCTCCGTGGCCCTCGGCATCATGAGCGTCTGGTCTGGATTTGTCGCCTCTGCCAGCGAAGTGGCCGACCTCTTCGGATGGGACGACAACTTGACAATCCCGGTGCTTAGCGGAATCGGCATTTGGGGCTTCCTCAAACTGTTTGGCTAACCATACACAACCTTTTCTATAGGAGGCTGCATTTGTTTCGATAATGGTATATATCTGTGGTTTCACATCTTCTTCACTCTGTAATGCAGTTCCTTCTCTCTTCCTCCCCCTCTTTACTTGTACTTTCTATATCACGACACTTGGGGTTTCTTGGTTCTTGATTGCGTTATCTGGCCCCTCTGGTCCACATGGCAGAGGTTATCGGCGAGATGCTATTTATACGATGGATCACCGATCACATATGTACGAGGTAGTCACCCAGGAGGTGCTGGTAGATAGCTCCTAGGTAGATAAAGTACTAGGTAGACAAGGTAGACATGTAATTTGATATACCTATACTGTATTCCAAACGCTTCTGCATGCATCATCCGCATAAATTCCATCCAAGCGCCTCCTCAACTTGGATTGGACGACAAGTGGCCTGACCGCCAATGGGCTCAAGAAGCTACCTCTGCATAATTACGCAGCTGGCCGGCTCTACCCAGGAGGAGACACACGAGGTGTAGCGCCAGTTTATGCCGTGACGATGTCGCGCAGATGCCACGGCAGATGCACTGATGCCCATTGATGAAGAGGTGCCACAAGCGCGTCCCAAGAAGCAGGATTCCTGATGCACGAAATAGTTTGGACGTGGTGATGTAACTGCTACAGTAGTTGTTTCTCTTCAAGGCTTTGCTTTGGTGGGAATCTCTCGCTCGCTCTCTTTAACCAATGCCCATCTTCTTGTGTATATTGGTTAAAAAGAGGTGATGAATGAGAGAGAATTGACCAATTTTCATGCCATGAAGCCAATTATGGCTCCCAATATGAAATGGAGGGAAAGGGGCCATCCATCATCTACTGTGGAAGAAAGAAACAGAGTGGTGGGCTGGACATCAAAAAGTTGAGAGGTGGGGGCGCTGCCACCTCAGCGTGCACAAACAGCGCCTTTATCGAATTGGTTGAATTTCCATGACGGATTTGTGGTGTGTGTGTGTGTGTGTGTGTCTGTCTCTCAATTCCCTCCAATGTCAAGCAAGATACGCACTATTTTTATTGTTAATATTAATTTATATATCTATATAATAAAATGAAATAAAAAAAAAACGTAGTGAGGGGTCCCCCTCAAAAAAGGCAGATTGGCCAGTCGAGTTTTCGTCAAGGGTGTCTGTCGTTTTCGGTTGCGAATCCCTTGGATCGCTGATGAGTTGTCTTTTTGCGCCTTGGAGGGGTGGCGGGCGTAGCCGCATAGGAGCCCATGAACTCAATTGCAACGCTGGCATTGAAGATCTTTTTTAATTATCCTTTTTTTTTCCCCTTCATTTTTCTTCTTCTTTTATTCAAGCAAATATCGTCGAAATACTTGAAATTACAATTGCATCTTATTCATCATGGATTCGTTTCCATTCTTTTTCATATTCATTGTCACTTGATGCTAAATTTTTCTTGTATTGCAAACACCATCCCACTCTTGTTGTTCAACCCCTGGTCAGTGTCGTTATCCCCCTGCCATTGACAACACATACCTTCTTCCCAGCCCTTCGGGAGAGGCTTCTGGACATGAGGAGGGGGCGTGTGGGAGGGGAGGGTAGGCCTCGAAATGCAACTCGATTTTCCCGTTTCGGCTGGTTCTTGGTTTTTTAACCCATGTCTTGATTTTTTAGCGATTTGATCCTCTTGCTCTTGGGCTTGCACCGTCACTGCCTATGATGTATATGCATTTCAACACACATCGCGAGGTATGCCCATACGCCTCTCGCAATTGATTTCCAATGGGGGTTTTTTTTTGTGGAGAGAATGCGTTCATGTCTGTTTCAATTTCCGGTATGCTCCGTGTTGGTTACTCTTAACAATGCCGCCCAGTCAAGTCGGCCGACGAAGCCGTATAAGCCCGCATCTCGGTCCATAGAAAAACCTACACGCCATCTCCGTCGTAAAGTTTTGTGTCATGGCATCGTTCAAAAAGCCACATTCATGCACGACATGGCTAGCGTACAGCTGCTAATTCTTGAGAATTTTACAAAAGTGAGAGGCAACCAGCCGTCAATTCATTCATCAAGACAGCGGTCAAGGCAATCTGCAGTCTTGATCCCAGGGTTGGTTTCTTTTGGTGCAACCGGCAAGGCACAAATGTCAGTCGTCTCAGGATGCCCGAGCAATGGCTGGTGTCACGCACAACTGCCTGTGTGTCTCACCCAAACACCATGCTCAACATTCGAGGCAACCTCTGGTGGCCGTGTGTACTCCGTAAAGCGCCGAAATAAGCAGTCCCTTGCTAAAAACCATCGGACCTCCGATGGCTAAGCCCGGCTTCAGCTCTCGATGCCATCAAAGACTCGTACCATCGATATCCAATGTATACCTTTAGCACCATCTAGCACCAAACCTGGTATCATGCCTCTTACCGCATTAGTCGTCCGTCAATGTGTAACATGTGTACCTACCGCGGCATGGCAGAGCGTGATTTCTGCCCCAAGCGGCGCTGCAGGGGGACATCCAGGGCCTGCTGCGTCAAGCCGAGTGAGCAATGATATCTCGGGTATCTTGGGCTGCTTCTATTGGGCTCCTGGCCTCCACGATGCACTAGGAGGCTTGCTTGCCTGATGCGTTGGAGCTGCAGCACGGCCCTACGGACTTGCATACGCCCTGCACACACCGAAAAGACGAACTCATGCCGTCTCCACTGGAAGACCCATGGCGGTTGATGCATACGCCCAGGGCATCTGGCGATGTAAATCCGTGGTTGAGGATACAGGTTATTTGCCTGTTGGCCGTGGCGAGTCTTCATGTACGGCTGACGTGTTCGAGCTCTCTCGTCTCTCTTTGATACGATGAACATGGCGGGGGAGGGGCAAGACCGTCCAGGCCGTCCTTTTCACCGAGTTCCAACGAACGCCCATGCTCGCTTTTTTTTTTCCACTAGCCCATCAGATTTTCAACCAATTGACGATGCAGAAGACCCCCAAGGCCTGAGCGAATTAGCCTCGACCGCGGCCTCGGATGGCCATTAACCTCCAATGAGAGCGGCACAAGGTCTCGACAAGCTGGAGCCAGGTGGTGGAGTCCGAGCCTGAGTGCAACACAAGAAAACGAAGCGGTGCCGAGTAAAGCTGCCACTATTTGTGCCTAGGTGTCATCGGTCAGCCGAGTAGGCGCAAAAGCAATGGAAGGCTTGTCCCAGTTCAAGGTTGTGTCTCACTATCAAGCGTGTATGTAATTACGAGCAAGACAAGACATCAATTGATTGAAGCGATCAATTACCACCACTAAATCACTTAAGAGGCTCCATCTCTGCCGCCTACGTACATACTCGTACATGTGCCGTACATACATGACACCAGGCAGGGCAGGGAAAGGCAAGGTATAGTACAGTAGGCGGTCGTAATACTTCACTAACCTAGGTGTAAGCTGCATGTCGTATCTGCCAATGCCGGCAGCGTTGGATGCAGCATCAGCAAAGTGCGGAAGGTGAAGGGCAAAAGGGCCTATGGGGATCTTGCTTGGTCGGATTTAATTGCGTATAATCGGGTCTCAAGTTACAGGAATTATTCCATCATTACATCGCTGCATTTTGCCTGTCATATTGTCATATATATACAAGATACGCGATACATGATATCGACATTGCTATAATTTAGACGAATCACGGCCGTTTTACTCCATCCACAGCCAAAAACCCGCTGCGGCCACACCCCCCCTTGCTGCCTTTGTCGCCTTAAGGATCAACCAAGGTAACTGCTCTGTCCCGTACCAGCCCAGCAGCACTTTGTACACGCATCGACTCTTGGCCCTTTCGGAACATGCTCTGGCGGATATCTTGACAACGCATCACCACCACCTCACCTCTCCAAGCGCCAGAAGGGAAAAAGACCGCGCTGGCTTCTCTTCTTCTGCGCTTCTGCTGCACTCCTGCCTGACCCGCTGCCACTCGCTGTGGAAGGTCCGCCTAGTGTTTTCTTTTTCTTTTTCTTTTCGCATCCGCCAGGCCCATCAATGCACCGACGCTTGCATCCGATGGGTCCCTCCCTCGTGGCGTCGTCAACGCAGCCAACCATGAGATTTTAGGTCTGCGCAGGGGAAAAAATCCAGACAAGAAAAAAAGAGGGAATCCAGTGCTGCTTTTGGCACACACCACTTTTCGCGTCCAACTAGTGTGGCCCGCGCTTGTTGAACAGAAAAGACTTTTTCCATCTCTCTCTTCTCTGCTCCTGCTCCAGCCGCTAGATACTGACCAGCTAATGTAGCTCCAGAGCCGATTGAATCGACGGCCGTTCGTCACACTTGCTGGCTCCGGCTTGGACAAACCACCCCCCCTACTCCTCTTGCTCTTCCGCCTCTCTTCTCTCTCGTTTCCGCCCCCGTCGGTTCTCCGTGGTTCACGGCATGGCGTGCCCTCAGCCTGCACAATCCTCTCCACTACCTCATCCTGGCCATGCCCAGCCTAGCACTTTGCCTCCCCCATAGCCAAATGCAAAGTACTGGACCCATGGCAAAGCAGGCAGGCCCTGATGCTGCCTTTGTCAGAGTCCGTGTGTCCATCTCCATCCGGTTCATGGCGCTTCCCTGTTGTTGGACCCAATGGCTAGTGCTGCCACCCTTTCCCTCCTCGCCTTTGCTTGGCCTGGAACACTTATCCGGTCTTGTTAACCATCAGTAAAATAAATCCCATCTTTTCTTGCTCAGACCCGAGCCTCCGTCATACCCCATCCCACGCCCATCCCTGCCCTTTTTTCCTAGCACATTTACCGATCCTTAAACTGGGAATATGTATGTACGTTTTCCCACTTATACACACCGCGTCTAATCTAACAATGGGAATCGGCTCCACTGATCGGGGCCTTTGCAACTTTGCCTCCCCCCGGCATATGCGGGTAGGGGTCGACGTTCTCTGGTGTGTTTTGTGAAGGAATTCAAAGCCGTTTTCTGTCCAGTCTAAGCTGGCTCTCATTGCACCACCGCACCTCATGTTTTCATTGCCTCGTCCAACTGGTGTTTGGGCTCTATTCCCACCCCTGCCCATTCCCTCACCTTGCTTCTCAATTCTTTGTTCTGGTTGGTTCAGTGCTCAATGATATCCCGGATGGTGAAAGCTCGGCCGGCTCTACAGAGGCTTCTGGTCCACAACGTTCACAACCACGCCTCCTCCTCCCCTTGCTAGTACTCTCTCGGCTCACACTATGCAAGTCTCCACGACGAGTGTCTCGTCCATGCTGCTCCCTGGTGACAGCGCCATCACTTCATGTTTGTCTGCCTACTCACCACAGGCGGGGTCGAGGATAGCCGGCCCCGGCGAATGAAGACATGGCCTCTTATCCCTTTGACTAGGTCAATGACGACCGGGGAGGGTCCTGAAAAAGTATAAAAGGGGCCATTGTGTTTGAGTTGAGATGAATTCTTCTTCTTCCTTTCGTATCACTCTTCTCCAGCAAGACTCAACTGCCTCTCCAAGTTTACAATTGGCCTTTGTTCCAAAACCAAACACATCTTCTTCAACTCCAATCCACCAAGACTTATACTCATCTGCTACCTGTGGCAACCGGCAACTCTTAGTCACTTGTCTTATACATCACCACACACACCACTACCTTTCGATAAACTCTAGCCCATTCATCTCTCCAATTGGCCATTATTCATCATGTCTGGCTCATTCCAAACTGCTGCCTACTCCATGCCCATGGCTGTTCCCTCCAAAGGCAGCCAATACCCCACCTACAGTCAATACTCCAGCTCCCCACCAGAATGCGATGACACTATGAGCTCCGCCTCTGGTGTTCCCTCTGGATATTCCGCCACCTCTGCTGGTTACATTGGTAGCTCTAGCGGCGACTACGAAAGCACCGGCTCCGCTAGCGGCGTCGACTTCCAGGAGTACATGCAGGAGCGCTTCTCTAACTCGTTCGACCCCATCCCTCTGGATCGGAGCATGGCAGTTCAAGCACAGACGTAAGTAATCTCCCTCCACGTGGTCGAAAGCACAGGCGTCTCGAGTGGAGAGAAGACGCTCTTTACGACGAGATGTCTCTCTCTGTCTTACTCGAGAACCACTTTATCAGAATTGGGCTAAAATATTCGTCTCTACACTAGTTCTGGTAAACTCAATGCCAAGCACCGTGAACTCCTGGAGCTGCAGAAGCAGGCCCAGGCTCGCCTTGCGAGAACCCGTGAACGCTTTTCCGAGGGCATGCGGGATGCAAGGGAAGTCCGCAACGACCTGGAGTGGACTCAGAAGAAAGTTTCGTAAGTGTCACCCCCTTAGCAAGTTCAACCTTTTCCGCGGTCGAGGTGGCGGAGCAAGGCGCAATTGAGAGCAGAATCAACAGCGCTTCTTTATAAAATGTAAGAATCGCAGCTAATTGAGGCCGCCAAACATGCAGATCTCTCAACGCAAAGGCTGCTCGAAAGCACCCCAAGGAGCACGCGAAGGCTCGCCAGCGCTTTCCCTCCCCAGAGTACAACTAAACCGGGGAAAAGATCCATTCCTTCCAGACTGTTTTCTTTTGTATTTTTCATCAAGACTACCTTTTCCGGCGTTTTCACAAAAAGCGATTTTCTTCAATCTTTGCACCAACGGCTATATTCACGAACAAAAGTTGAGCCTTTTTTGCAGTCACATTTTGCATGACTCTAGGCGATTTCAACTGGGGAGGAAAAGCGTTCCATTCACTAGCATGAACTGACGTTGAATTTGGCGCGAACCGCGCGGCAATCTTGCAGGGTTGGATGCCAGATCTCTTGCTGCTTTACCAGCCCTACGAACCGGGCGGTTCTACCCGCCACAGGCCCCGTTTTGGCGCTGTGACGGTGTGGGGGTGAGAAACGAGAAACTTACGACAATAATAATGACTTATGATTGGATAGATGGTGGCAATCGGGGAGCAGGGCCGGAACGTACACTCCTCTTTCGAAGCTTGCAGGAAGACCGGGGGGCTCCAATGGGCATCTCGCGCAAACCACGAGGGCTGCAGGGTCCTCAGTCGCCCACGACGGCCCTCTTCCCCACCAGGGGTGTGCGACGAGCTGGACCGAGCGAGCGAGCAGGTACTCCGTAGAGACAGAGAGATGTGATGGATGTGAAAGCGCTTTTCCTATTGGGGATGAAATATTGCTGCATTGGGTATCGGCGGGAATCAGAGGCAAGGAGGTACTACTTTATTTGGCGTTGTTGGCGTTGCTGTGGGCACCCTGGAGTCTAATTCAAGATGATGAGGATGTTTTGTAAGCTCTGTAGCAATAAAAGTATCCGTTTCCAGTCTTGGACGTGATGAAGAGTTCCTCTTAAGCTTGGCTTCCACGGTGTGAATGGTCCCATTGCCCGTACGCGTCGTCCCATACCCATTGATGTCTGAGGTCACCTCGGCGTAGGTGTTGAAGCCATCACAGACCCCATGCCAGAAGGCCTGTCGTCATCCCACATTGATAGGATGAGTGTTGAAAGTTTCTTTGTGTCGGTTGGGAGCATCACGTGATATGATATTCATCACCGCGAATATCCGGGAACAGCTCAAAAAAGCTAAATTGCAGTATCCTTGTCTGCTCAATGTGCCGTGATGCTGATCTGATTGAGCCGATGCCGTGTTTGTAAGAATTTCCCAAAAATTCCATTGGTCGAAATTAAACAGTAGCGGTGATGCAAAACTTGAGAGGTTGGTCCCTTCAACTTGAAGCACTTGCTCGATGCCTCCGAGGGATCCATGTGCCCAAGGATTGTAAGCCTCTTGATTCCTCCAGTCTTCTCCAGGGATTCTCGTTTGACGAGGGGTCATAGTATCCCTCCCACTCGACGGTGCGCCGTGAGCCATCTTGGGCTGCTCCATGGCTGTCCTGGTGACCTTTGGAGGAGGAGCCCATGAAGCCAATCCCTGGCGGTGGGCGATCTGGCAATCCTGGAGGGCGCACTAACGCCGGGGTTGATGATTCACCTGGCCTTTCAGGGATCCCAGTCGCATCTGACGCAGCTCCGTCGCCGTCAACCTCGTCCTCGTCTTCATCCAGGTCAATCTCGTCAGCATTGGCGGCGGCCTGGTCAGGCTTCCTGGTGGGAAGGCCGAGCGGCGTGGAGTTGGACCCGGTGGCGGATGGCCTGGCCGCGCGCTGAGCAGTCGCGGAGTCGGACCCGACGATGGCGTCGGCATGGGGATTATACTTGCGCTTCTGAGGTCGGTTCTGGGAGCCGAAGGAGGAGAAGCCCATGGCTTGGGCCATGTCGTCGTCGTCGAGCGGCGCATCCATTGAGTATGTGTGGCCTTTGCGATGTGAAAGTGAAGCAGGGAGATGGAATGGAGGGAGCCTGGAGGACAACGCTATTGGGGGTTTCCAGGATTGTGGAGGGAGCTGATTGTGAGACTTTCCAATGCAATGATGAGTGAAAATGCTCACGATGCAGAAGTTGGTTCTTCGATTACGATCTTGGGTCACGCGTTCTGTGGATGAGTTTAAGCCTCCAATAGAGGTGGGCTTCAAAGCGGGGCTGTGCATGGCCAATTGCTGATATGGCTACCCTGGAGCTTACCAGTGGGTAGAGAGGGAAAACGTCATGTTGCTTCGTGCTGCATCAGAGTAATGATATCAGATATTCATCTGAGGTCTATAAATACTTTCGTATGACTATTCAATTGTGGTCAAGACCGAATAAACGGGCCGGTCGGTCTTGGGCTCACATTTGTGTCTTAGACAATGCAATCTCAGTCATAACACCTCTTGTTTCATCTTACATGAACATATACCGATACCACTGATACATCAATTCCTTAAAATAACAGTTTCAACGGCTCCTTGACATCCCCTTCAACTGAATCTCCTACTCACAACTCACGCACATTCCCTTCAATCAACAAGTCACCAGCCTCAATGGCAGAGCCAAGCCCCACGATAGCTCTCAAACTCCCCTCCAAATACTCACCAGCGACGTCTGACAACACTGCCCCTACCATCGACTGGCTCTCGCGAACATGGTCCGTCACGCACTCAACCCTCTCCATGTGGCGCGCGGCGCGTAACGTCCGCATCAGCTACAAGCCTCTCCCGCCCAAGGCCGACGGTCGCTTGCGCATCGACGATCTCGTCGAGTACGAGCCCAACGACAAGGCCGGCGCGCTCAAGTCCGTCGCCGGCGTCGACACCCAGAGCTCCGGCGATGGCGGCTGGGACTGGCGCGGCAAGGGCTGGCTCTTCTTCGTGGGCAGCCATTGGGAGCTGCTTGGCTGGGGGGAGGAGACGCTGGCGGATGGCAGGACGGAGAGGTGGGCGGTGACGTGGTTTGCGCCGACGCTGTTTACGAAGGAGGGCTTGGATATTTACAGCGATCAGAGGGAAGGGCTGAGCGAGGCTACGTATGGGAAGATTGACCAGGCGCTGAGGGGCCTGGATGCAAAGCCGTTGGTGGACATGGTTGCGCAGGATATGAAGCCCGTTGAGATTAAGCTTCCGTGGACGGAGAAATGATACCCAATGTTGTTTTGGAATTTGCTTGATTGGTTTCAACAGCTAGAGGAATTCGCACGCTCGTCATAATTCGTTAATTTCTGGGTATTATAATACAAGGTCCATTATCCACTTCTCATCTTTCATCGCGCCGGTGTCGGTGTCGCCTCCTGTCCGGGGAGCGTGAGCGCGAGTCTCCATGCCGCCTTCGCCGCTCCTCTTCCTTGTGCCGTCTCCTCTCACGGTGATCATCGTGACGCTCACGTCTCTCCGAGTCATCTTTGTGCCGCCCTCTGCTTGAATCACGCCTTCTGGAATCTGAATTGTTTCTTCCTTCTCGCCCCTCTCTCCCTCTATGTCGATGACTATGTCTGTCGCGATGTTCTTCTTTACGCAGTTGTCTAAGTTCCTCGTCTCTCTCTGCCTGTATCCGCATGCGCTCCTTCTTCAGATCGCGAATTTGCGACGCGCCTTTCTTCATCATAGCCAATGGGTCATTGGAATTGATTCGCTGAGTATCGCGAGTCTTGCGATCGGGATTGTTATTGCCCCAGACGTCTTTGGACGAAGCGTCCGGAGCGACTCCCTCGCGCTGTGAATACCAGGGCTTGCTGATGCCATCTTTACCAGCCGCATTGGAAAATCGCATAGTGTACTGATCTTCATATTCCTTTTCCTTCTTTTTCTTTTCGGCTTCCGCCTCTTCGTTCCTCTCTGCATGCGCCCTCGCTCGTTCGTCGCCAAAAAGATCAATGTGTCCGGCGCTATCGACAATTGGAGCCGAGCTCGCTGGCTTACGACTGGATTCGACAACTGAGTATGTTGCGTTGCTCCTCTCTTGCGCCAAACGCAGCTCGAACTCGGTGTCGTCCTCCCCGGGCCGCTTCCTCTTGCGGCCCTGACCAGGGAATCTTGATCGCGCGCTACTGGGAGCGCCGTCTGTCTTTTCTGGTTCGGCGTCTCGTTCGTCTTCTATCGGGGGAGGTGATTCGCCGCGCAGGATTGCCAGTCGTCTCTGAGCATCGACTTCTTGCATGCGCCGCTCTTCTTCTTCCTCCGTAGCCTTGGCGGCCGCTTCGTCTCTCCGAACGCGGGCGATATTGTCGGCATTGTAGACATTCCACGACTTTTTTCCCAGCAAGTGGCTAAATTAAATTGATGTCAGTGATATGCACTGAATGTTGGAGCTATGATTAGATGACTTACAGCGGCATGGTGGAATCTGTAAATGGCCTCCAGAATTGTTTCGTTCTCAAGTTTCAATGACGGAGCTGGCCGTACAATAGCTGTCACACTCGGTTACACTCACAGGGGATCTGATAAGAGATAAAGCTCCATTTGGAAAGGCGTAGCAGTCAAAAGGGTGGGACAGCACTACGTAGCGGTACGTCAACCACGGCCGTTTTAACAGGGAGAAACCACCTATTCAGTGTTCCAGGTTGGCTACTGATCTGATAACTCTAGTATTTAGGTGTCAGGGCCGGCGTCCGCCTTAATGAGATGATGGACGAGCTCCAGGTCGAACACTTTTATCTCTGCTGATTTTCCGCTTTGTTTCAAGTACTAGGGTAGTATTTGCGTATGATGTCACTGCCACGTTCATTTGGTATGACTACTGAGTGCTAGAAAGCCAGCATGGCCATCTCCTTTTGATAACAAGGTATAATATATGAAAGGTTCGTGAGGGGAGTGGTTATCTAGCACCACAAGTTTGCTTTCTAGCATCCCGTGTCTCTAATGGAAAACGACACGCAGCGAAAATACCAGGTTCTAGAAGAAAGCAGCAGATACTAGAAGAGAGTCGCGATAGTAGAGAATAGTAGAGGAAAGTAGCGATAGTTACAGGCTGAAAAGCTACCTGTCCTGTAATCCTTTATTTGGTCATATGATACCATCGCCATCGCCACTTTCTTTAATCACTTTGATTGCTAGAAAGCCAGATGAAAGGCCAACATGACCACTGTTCTTTCATTTGATAACAATCTGTCCTCTTATACTTGTAATGAAGGAATTTGAACGTCTTCGGTGGCCTATTATACGAGGCAGCAGTGATTGACGCTAAACCTAATTGGGCAACATTACGACGCTCCACTCTGGCAACTTGCATTCATAGGTTCGCGGGGCGTCACTCCTGCCTCCAAGAAGCTGCTGTTTCATCATTTCCTTCCTTCCTCCTCTCCTTCCGACTCCCGCAACACTACTTGAATCATCCCCCTCACTCTCTACCTACACAATCCACAACACACCATCCTTCACCATGTCTAGAGCTCCTCCTGGCGGCGCATCATACCGCCCTTATGGGGGTGGGCCACAGGCGCCCTACGGCGGCGGCTCTCAAGGATATGGCGGCCCTCAAGGATACTCCCAAGGATCCTATCAACCACCCGCACAGCCGGGATACTCTCAAGGATCCTATCAACCACCCGCACAGCCGTCGCGACATACTGAGAAGGGGCCGTCCGGAGGCGGGCGGGTGGTGTCACTGCAGGTTGAGAAAGTTACAGACAAGTCCCAGCAAGCGAGGCTGATCTATGGAAACGTGTAAGCACTCTTCTTCTCCATGCTCGATGTGTCTTCTATCTAATACGGCCTAGGTGTGCTGTTTCTCCTGAGGATTTTCCTCCTAAACTCGATAAAACAGATTACTATATTCTCCTCCGTGCCGGCCAGCCACCTGGCGAGTTCGTCGTCACAGCGAGACCTATTCAAGGATATCCTCGAGGCTGTATCAGTCTGTCCGATCCCCAACGAACATGGTGTCGTGTTGCTTTGAGAGATACCTTTACTGGAGAGGTGTTCGATCCTTTTGCGTCTGGCAGCAAGGCATATTTGGGCTCTTTGGATGTTGAGGTCGGGTTCGCTTCACCGACTAAAAGAATAGACGGCCCATACGACGAAGATCATCTGTCCAAGCTCTTCATCGATACTTTCCAGAACCAGGTCCTCGCTCCCGGGCAGAGGATTCTCATGGACGTTCAAAACATACCGCTTATGATTGTGGTCAAGACTGTTGGCCTGGTTGATCTGTCCATGGCAGATGAAGGGGACAAGCAACAGATGCAGAGGGAGGCTCACGCCAGGGGTATTCTTACTAACCATACTCGTGTCATCTTCCATCGCGATGCCAAAGGAGGTTTCAATCTCAAACCATCGGCTTCGAAGCCAAACCCAAATTCAATCCTTGCCCCGAATTTCAAATTTGAAGACATGGGAATTGGTGGGTTGGGTGGCGAAATTTCGACTATTTTCCGCCGTGCATTCGCGTCTCGTGTGTTCCCCCCCCAAATGGTCGCCAATATGGGCATTGAGCACGTCAGAGGAATGCTTCTCTTCGGCCCCCCAGGAACAGGAAAAACCTTGATTGCGAGAAAGATTGGCCAGACCCTCAATGCCAGGCCGCCAAAGGTCATCAATGGCCCCGAAGTGCTGAACAAATATGTTGGCCAGTCTGAAGAGAACATCCGCAAGCTCTTTGCCGATGCTGAAAAGGAATACAAAGAAAAGGGCGACGAGAGCGGCCTCCACATTATCATCTTTGACGAATTGGATGCTGTCTGTAAGCAGCGTGGATCTGGAACAGGCGGAGGTACTGGCGTCGGCGACAGCATTGTCAACCAGCTTCTATCCAAGTTGGACGGTGTCGATCAGCTCAACAACATTCTCCTCATTGGAATGACCAACAGGAAAGATCTGATTGACGAGGCTCTCTTGAGACCTGGTCGTCTCGAGGTGCACGTCGAGATCCCTCTGCCAAATGAGGCAGGCCGACTCGAAATCCTAAAGATCCACACCGCAAAAGCGAGAGAAAACAACAGAGTGGACCCCGATGTCGACCTCGAAGAGCTGGCAGGCCTCACAAAGAACTTTTCAGGTGCCGAAATCAATGGTCTTGTCAAATCAGCGGCTTCGTGTGCTCTGTCACGGCACACTGAACTGGGAACGATGGCTGTCATTCGAGCAGACTCCCCGCCCCCGATGATTACTCGCGCAGACTTTCTAAACGCTCTGAATGAAGTTCAACCTGCCTTTGGAGTGTCCGAATCCAAACTCATAGAGGCTACTGACTTGGGCATAATTCGATATGCTGATCGTGTTGACACCTCTATCCGCAAGGTCATGGGTATCGCAAACATGGTTAAGTCAGATCCTCAAGTGTTTCTTTCCTCCGTGCTGTTTCATGGCTCAAAAGGTTCTGGGAAAACAGCACTGGCAGCGCACATTGCTATGGAATCTGGTTTCCCATTTATTAAACTAGTGACTCCATCTGACCTGGCGGGTTACCGGGACGAATTTGGAAAGCGAGACTACATCCACAAGGCATTTACAGATGCTTACAAGTCAACTGCCAGCATTATAATCTTAGACGACATTGAGCGATTGATTGGCTGGAATCCAATAGGCCCACGGTTTTCCAACGCTATATTGGATCTACTGACGGTGTTGATTGCCGCAAGGCCTCCAAAGGTAAATATGACATGATATGATTGTGCTCTTTTATATTATGCATGGCTAATGAATCCATAGGGACACCGCCTTCTCGTCTTCGTTACAACGTCACAGTATTGGACGTTGAAAGATCTGGATGCTTTACGGGATTTTGGTACAATGATAGAGGTTCCAGCCGTCTCGGATCTGTATGAACTGCAAGGAGTGTTGAGAGAATCCCCTGCTTTAGATGATACTGGCGTGGAACAAACGATCAGTATGCTCAAGAATCGCACAGGATTGGAATCGATAGCGGTGGGGGTGGGCATTAAGTCGATCTTGAATCGCACTTTCGAAGCTCGAAACCAAGGCTCCGGCAATCTGGTTGAGACGCTGGTAGAACTCCTAGCTGCAGAGATAGAACGCAAATAGCTTAGCCGTCGATACAGTGTGAAATTATATAGAATTGATATACTATCAACTGCTTAATCTACCACCATCTACCACCATCTACTTGATCTACCACCATCTACTTAATCTGCCATCATCTACTTAATCTGCCATCATCTAGCTGATCTACTATCAACTACTTGATCTACTATCAACTACTTGATCTACTACCAAACACTTGATCTACTACCAAACACTTGATCTACTATCATCTATTTGGGACCGTCGGTATTCATGAATGCAGGAAATTCTCTTGGTTTCATTAATCTATCTTTTTCTGGCAGTATCGCAAGGTCGTCAAGCTCACGGAGCCTATGGGGGCAGATCCAACATTCAGTTCGCAGTGATTTGGCTATATTCGACGACGAGAACTGCTAGATCAGTCACTTAACATTTGTTTGAGAATCACATGCAACGGCATGTGATGGCAAGTAGCAAGCTGAGACTGGCGTATTTGTTTGAACTACAATTGCTTATTATTCGCAGTCATCGAAGATGAAGCCTTCCTTCTTGCCCATCCTTCTTCCCAGATGGCCTCGAGTGATCATTACTGAGTCTCACGATCATCACAGCATCGTTCAACCATCAATACGAAACGAATGATGCGCACCTAAAGAGAAGTAGGGCTTGCAGACGGCACCACGCAGATGAGGACCATGGATACAACTCCCTACCTTAGCCCCGGCGCTTCACTAGTGGCTAAGGCTTGTCAAAATATTGATCATAACCACCACGTGTACTTTGATAGTAGTCGAGCTGGTTAGACCTACGGCGGAGCGCTCATTGTGTAACAGACTTTACCCGAGCAAGGCAGACGAGGTATTCCCGAGTTCAGCAGCTGCCACACTGGATAATATGTTCTAGCCTTCGTCTGGAAAATTTACATGTATTGGACAAACCTAGTACTCATCTATTGCAGACTAGAGATCAATGGAAAGAATGTATGGTAACTACATCTATCCAATCTCCTGGTGGAGGAAATGCATGAGATAGTGGTAGATACCAGAGTAATCTTCCATTGCATCATTGGATACTTGTACCTCTAGAGAATTGGGTAAATTATTTGGGATTCTGTATACATGTAGTCACTCCCTAAGTCCAAGTCGTCAAGCTAGAATTTACAAAATAATACAAGGAAAGCTTTAACTTGGACGATTTGGGCTTTCCCTCTCCTCCATTTGTTGGCCATTTCGCCTAATGCTGTCGTCAAGGACTGGAAAAGACTCAAACAAAGGGGGAGGCATCTAGGTGTCTAATGGCTGTCCGTGGGAGCATTGTGTATGTATGCACATATATCGTGGGCAACGATAATTTGCGAGCAATATCGGAGCGCGGAACACCCTGGAATAGCTGCACGATAGAAGAAGCTCTTTACGAAGCTGGCTCTTTCGGTTGTTATAGGGTCGGTGTAATTGATTCATCCGATACAGTATGTCTGCTTAGGGTATGTTGTTGTATGAGTAGCTACAGGTATATGCGAGTACTAGGTATATAGCTGTGCCTACTAATACATGTACGGTACTCTATCTTCCGGACTAATTTGTTTTCTGATATGCCTGTATTGGGTAAAAAAAAAAAAAAATCACCTGTCACTCTTTGGAAACGAGACGACAAGACAAGGTGCTGAAACACGGCATCATTTGGCATTTGGTCTGTACAGTACCTGCAGACACAAGAAGCAACGAGGCGCGGGAGGGCCAAGCCGAAGCGTCTGGAAACGTGGTGGCGCAGGCATGGGGAGATGGTTGGGATCATTGGAGGAACCGTGCAGTTGGGAACCGGGGGGTATTTGGGCATGGCCATGGTTTGCCGATATGAGGGTGGGCACAGAATCTGATTACCGGGAGATGGGCTTCCCGCTAGTTGCTCTGGGAAGCGTGGGCGGCAATGCTAGCTAGCTCGTGCCGTCGTGGGATGGCGAGAGAGAGAGAGAGTCATGGACGGTTTGTTGGTGTCTTTTCTTTCTGTAGCATTGGAGAGTGGTCGTGATGATGATGGGCCAAGACACGGGCTGCATACGGCCATGTGACGATGGTGGTGAGACATTTGGCGATGGAGGAGCATTGATTGCTGCCGCAATACGGAGGGCTGGGCAAGGATGCTTCATGCGGTAAATTAGACCCCGAGTGTCTGGGTCTGGCTGCACATGAAGTCGGGGTCACGGGAGGTGAGCTCGCCGGCTGGTGTTCCCGTCCTTTGTTGGCGTTGTTGGGTTGATGTGACCTGTCACAAACTCTCAACTCCGCAACGGAATGGGCTCCGTAGTGGTATGAACTGAACACTACCACTCGTACAGTACGAGCATTACCATGTGCCGTGGAGCAAGTGTTTAAGTTAGCTTTTGCTATGGTCTGTCGGAGAAAAGAACATTAGCTTTCTCCATCAGTGCGCTTGTGACTGGATTTGCCTTTTGCTCAGGCTATCTATAGTCGGAAAACTTCAAGTCTCGTCCGGCAGTGGGCGACTCGAGAAAATCCAGAGAGAATATGAAGCCAGCCGGGTCCTAAGGATCCGGTCTCTTCCCTCCCCCCTCCCAGAAAGAAGAAGAAGCGAATTTCCCATCGTTTCGGATTCCGCATGGGTGCCTTGCAGGGGGCGGCTGAAACCCGGCATCCAGTTTCTCGGTGCCGGGGATCTTTTCCTTTCTTCTGGCACTATTTGTCTAGCTGCTGCTGAAGAGACAAAATAAGTAAGAGAAGCGCCTCTATATTTCGGTTGATACGAGCTGGTGATCGGCTGTCGGTAGTTTGGCAGCAGGGTTGCGAGGTTGTGAGGTTGCAGCAGAGCGATTGATGCTGGTCGAAGCGGCATCTTGGGGTGCTCATTGGCTGACCGGGTTCCAGAGCAGAGTGAATTTGAGATTTGATGAGCTGGGCGGGTCCGGGAACGGTGGCCGGGGATCCACCGGCTTGTGGTGTTTTCAAGTTTCTTGCTGGTTTGACGGCGAGAATCAATGCAAATATTATGGTGAGGTGGTATCGCGCCGTAGCAGGAATGACGAGTAACAAAAAACCAACTACTAACTGCAGTAGATGAGGTACTGAGGTGAGACATTTGGAAGAGGCCTAGAGGTTTACCTGACAGTACACACTCGTATTACGGAGCTATGCTGTAAGCAGACTCGGTCGGGCTGGTGGAAATTAAACCCAGAGGCCAGCTGGTGCTGTAGATGTAGATGTAGAGCAACATGTATTAACCCGTGCCTCCATCAACACCTTCAATGCAGGCCTCATAGGGAGCACGGATGCATAGATGTCCCGTTCTCTCTGGCTCTGTATTTTGCCCCGTTCTCGGTATCGATGGAGCAGCCCGTCGCATAGCCCTAATTGCAGAAGCAAGATTTGAGCTTCGAATACAAACATTGAATAGTCTTGATCGATGTTGCTGATCGTCATTGTTGTATCGTGTGTAGTAACAGTAGTGTAAAGTATAATATTGATCCAAGCACAAATAGAGGCAAGCTACCAGGCAAAGAGAGTTCAATCTGCTTACGTCTTGCAGTCTTAGAAAAGCAATTGATGGATCTTTACACCCTCCCATTCCTCGTCTCTTCCCCTCCACTAAACGAGAAGAAAACCCCTCAATGCGAGCTGTGATTTTTGCACTCGTCATTGATCTGAATACTGCTCTACTGTACTGCACACTACACAGGCTGCAAGTATCGCCATTTTGTTCGGATTGGGCGCACTTGTAATGCCTGCCGCTTGGTGCAAGTTAGCGTCACGCTTCTCAGCATTTAATCTTAGCAGGGCCTAGCAGGGGCCTAACTGAAGCCCGCGGAAGGCGGTCCGCACAGAAACTAGGGCGAGCCAACCAGCTGGATTCGAGGCTTGAGAGGTAGAGGTACCTTTGCATTGTACGAGGCGTCTGCGTGATATAAAGTACTCTTCTGTACCGAGCTTGCTGATGCTGGCGCTACTGTAGAAGGTTCAGGTTGTCAATGGTGCTGCCACTTTTGCGGTGTTAGCCGATGGTAAGGTTGTTTTGGCCCGCCCTGCGACGTGGTGGCTGTGAAGCGCTATTCGAGACTGGAGGCTCAAAGTCGGGTCAAGCATTACAGAACGCTTCATCAATGGAAAATTGCGATAAACTCTAACGACAACAGGATTGGAAGAATATTTCGTATCCATGGGCGGTGACGTATGTATGTGCATATGCACTTCACATGTCAGAACTGGAAGATCAATGCTGCAAACAGCAGCCGTTGTGCGGAGAGACACGACTTACAAGGCTCCTATCCGCTGCCAATGTCGGGGACAGCCCTTGGCAGCGCCGATCTTGGAGACACGAAACCTCTTGGTTGACGTGCATTGACGTCGAGCGAGCACATGCGCAGGTACATACGCAGGTACGGTACATGTGCATACAGCATCAAATTACGAATACACGTATTGTTGTGGACGTACTCGTAGGTATTAGTTGATATTGATGGATCAAATATGATGAGTATCGCAGTCCGTCCCGGGTTCCTGGACCCGTATTGGCCTCCCCCTTGCTGTGGCGTTTTCTTCCCCTTCTCCCCAAGCTGCATCAGTGAAGCTTCAATGCATTGATGCCGTACATACGAGTAGGTACTCCGTACGTACAGAGTAATCGCCAGGCACACTCGTACATGCGACCTGTAACATGTAGGTACTCCTGCAAATGCTACCGTGAGGCGGCATCTCATCCTCGCATCGCTTCACATTTCAAGGGGTGCATAGCAAACCCCCGCTCTTTTTCTTCACGCCGCCAGGGGCTTCGACCGCTGGAATGCCAGCGCCAGCCACTAAATGCCCTATGGGCCAGGGTCGGCTACTCCCCTGAGGGGGCGCGTCTTTACAGGTACAAGGACCCAAATACCCACTAAGATTTGATGGCGCGCTGCCAGCTGCCAGCCCTCGACGATTTGATCCGTTCTGGTTTGATTTGACTCCCCTCCGCCTCCCGTCAAATTCTCTCCCCCAGAAGCCGGCCCTCACGAGGCACGGCCAGCCCCAGGGCAAACCATCTGTCTGTGCCATCCCAGATCAGAAGCAGTCCAGACACAGATACAAGACACAGACACAGACAGGCGCCGGCTTGATCATATCCCTGCTAGTTCTTTCTCTCCTCTGCCGCTGCCGCTGCCGCTGCCATGCCTGTCCGCGACTGTCTTGCGCTGTGCCGTAGCTTCGCAAAGTTTTGACACTTCTCACCTCAACTTGCCCATCGAATTGCCGCGCGAGACGCCTCGATACCGCCGCTGTTACTACTACCAGCAAGAACCTCACCTACGATACAGTACAATACGATACAACACGATACGACACGCTCCTCGATCCGATCCGACACGATACCGTACAGTGCAGTACAAGCGATTCTCTCGATTCGATACCAGTCACTGAACGCATAGTGGTACGGGCTCGGCGGCTGTCCACTTCCTGAACCATTCTCTGTTGTGTGCCTGCATGGCGTCAGTTGGTAAGTATAGCATGCCTCGCTCGTTCGCTCTGTCCACCACCATCTGCATTTGCTTGTCTCGGCCTACTCGGCCTCAGCCTTGTCGCGCATCGGTTTCCATCACAAACCGCACACTTTACTCCTATTCCGCCAACCCATGCCGGGGCAGAGGCCCGTCGTTGCCGTGCCGTCTGCCATCGCGACACCTTGGCTTCTGGCTGTCTTTCTCTTTCTCGACATCTGTCTCCTTTCTAGAGTACAGCTGCTGACGCTCTTATTTTCAATGGCCCTCCAGAAGCGCTATCCTTGAGCAACGCGAGCTCCGTCCCATCATAACATTGGATGGGCCATGGATGCTGCCGAGCCTCCTCCTGTGGCGGCGCGGCCATCCCACGCATTGAGATCGAAGCCTTCGATGAAACGGCGAAAAGCACCACCACTCAGAACCATACAAACCGCAGCTCAAGGCGCTGGGGCAGCAAAAGATGACGCCATTGGGCGGATACAACCCTCCGGGGACCTCGTGGATGCAAAGGAAAGATCACCACCAAAGCCGCTGGGCAAGGTGACCCGCAAAGTGTCGGCTACTGGCCGGCCAATTGTGCCCTTGACTGAGCAGAAATCTATCAGCAGAAGCAGAACACTCTCGATAGGGAAGCGAGATGAAGAACGTGACCGGTGGGATGTAGCGCCAGATGGCGCCTCGGCTGGCCGCGAAGGGCGTCAGTTTACCGTTGCCAATGTCGGGAATAATGGCAAACTATTTCTAAGGTACGCATACAAGCTCGTTTCAACAGGTCAAAAACTTCCAGTTGCTAATATTTCCCCCAGACCCTCTGTCCGCCGTGGAAACAAGAGATATCCCCAACCCAATTTCACGTTCCCCATAACGCCGCCTGGGACTGCCGGCTTAGAGGGTGCATATCCAGAGAATAGGGACGAACCCCCCAGCTTGACAGCGGACCATCATGAGAACCAATTCACGCCTACACCGAGAACATCCATCATCCCTCCCGCCTACGCTCCAGATCTCAGCAATCTTACGTCGCAACACCGCAGGGCTGTGTCGGACGGTACGATTCGCGACTTCAATTCGCCCACTGGTACGGATACGGATGGATATAGAATTGTCATCACAAAGCCAACCCACGGAGATGATCATCGACCCAAGACGACCGAACATCTGGAAGACTTGGATGTTGATGGTGTACCGATGCTCAACATCAACATTCCATCTTGGAAGTTAGGGACACCACGGTTCTCGACCAGAGGCACTCCGATGCTGAGAGGCTCTTCCTACGCTCCCACCGACGATTTCCGTTCCAACAGCCGCGCATCCATGTATCATTCGTCAGAGAGAAGTCTCGGTGCGCCGCTGAGTGGCTTGAGATCCAGACGTCCTAGCCATCTTGTCCCTCCAAAACTCCGCTTCCCTCGAACCTCTCATGCATCTTCGCAAGCATCAACCCGACCACCGCGTGTCGTGCCCTCTACATATGCGTCTACACACCTCATTATTGAACCCGACATGTTTGATGAACTCACCTTCAAGCCCACTTGCGACGATAAATTGATAGTACGCTACTCGCCCAGTGGATCCGTAACTGCGGCGACCCCTTCCCGACTGGTTGCTGAGATTACATCTCCAAGCTTCTTAGACTACGAGCTGATCTCGGATTTCTTCTTAACTTTCAGAGCTTTTCTCGAACCGGATATCCTGCTGCGAATGCTCATGGCGAGACTTCGGTGGGCTCTGGAACGAACCGACGAGATTGGCATGATTGTCCGCGTTCGAACTTTTGTCGCTATGCGACACTGGATCCTCAACTACTTCGTCGATGACTTTGTCCTGGACTACGATCTTCGCGTCATCTTCTGCATTCTGCTCAACGATCTCTTTGACGAGCTGTCTCAGGATGCGAGGGAGCGTAGAGTTCAACTCAAGATACTGACAGAACTCAAAAAATGTTGGCGACGGATTTGTGCCCACTACTGGGATGGCCCCGATTTCGACGATTCTCTGGGACCTGGAGCCCCAGTTGCACCGGGGGGCATTGCTGGATATCGGGATCCCAACCTGGACCCTACCTTTTGGGAAAGGGAGGGAGTAGACCCCCCCCAGTGGCATGCCGTTTCTGGCATACCCGACGGTTTAAGTGACGTTCCAAACTCGAGCGCTGAAGATATCCCCACGACGGCCCGTTTCGGAGACTTTACTGTATCGGACCATCGCCCAGGAACCCCCGAACATCAGATAATCACCACTACTATGGTGAGCAACGGACCAGCTTCGCCGCTCAGCATCGCCAGCATGGACATTGTGTCTTGTTCATTCCCCACCAAGAACGTGAGATCACTGAATCCCAACTCCAGCCAGCCGCTGGCAGCTCACCCTGTTTACTCGACGTCTCCCATCTTGCCGCCGGGAGCTATAGCAACAACTCCCAAGGCGCTTTCTGGCAAACGTGTTCGACCGGCTCATAGCCATGGACGTAACAACAGTGCCACCGACTCCATAAGGGCCCCTGGCTCGGATCGTTCCTCGTCGCAAGACGTTGATTTACATATGATATTGCAGTCCGCAGGAAATCTCGTTCGAGGCAACATTCTCCCACCAGGTCAGCCGTTTGTCGACATTGAGACTGGTACCCCCACCGGCGACAATAGGCAGACTACTATCTTTCAGCCCGTATCCCGCAATGCTCCCAAAGACCGGATCTTTGGTGTCGCCATGTCAGGTTCTGGAATGAAGAAGTTCTTGGGCGGTGTTCGACGCGCCTTGAACAACCGAGGGCAGTGGTCGTCTGGATCCCACACAAGTTTGCCTGCCGTCGCCTCCTTGAGTGCTCACACCGTCAGTATCGACCAGCTACCTGGGACAGCCATCATCACGCAAGGCGGCTACGCCCAGACAACCAGTCGTCCCCAGGTGAGGATTGACGTGCTTGGGGCCGAAGTGGCTGAAGACTTCAAGAGGGCCATCCGGGAAGAAGAGGAGGCCGCCGAAGCAGAACGCTTGGGCATCCCGAGACCTGCTCCAACCCCTGCTTCAGCTAGGCGCCGACGGCACATGGAGTATTCAGTTGCACATATGGAGTCAAGCACCGGCGATTATTTGCCTCAGGACCGGAGGTCACGACCTATGAGTGACATGGGCCTCACTACTGGAAGCCAATCCATCGTCATTGTTGATGATACTGTTCCTTTCGATATGCCAGGCATACGTGACAGACTTCCTGCTGCCACTTTCAACCCCTCCGCTGGTGGATTATCGGTGGGCTCCTTTTTAACATCTGGCGGCGATCCGACGCCCCCTACAACGCCCCCCGCGCAGCTCATGACAGGGACACCACGGAGATCGTCGTATCTTTTCGACCAACTCGTCGCTCTGCCTTCCGCCTCCCAGGGGGAGTCCTTGCCCCCGTTCGTCCCGGATATGGCAACATTGGGTCACACCTATATCCAAGGGCAGTCAGATGATGCGAGCCGAGTCTCCTTTTCAACAATGCGTCGCAGCATTCAGCGCCGCCCGCCCCTCAGCCGGGGAACGCTGCGGGTACATAGGAGAAACCAGTCTACGAATACTCAACAGTCAAACTACTCCTTTCGGCGCCACGCTTCGTTTGGCAGCCATCTCGAGCGACATTCCACAGCTCGGAGCTTTGATGCTACGACAGATTCTTCCCTGTTGGACAGAGAATACGAAGCTCCCACCGTTGAGCCGCCTCGCATACTTCGACGGCGTCCTGGCGGCTATTTGAGAGCTGCAGTCAACAACGCGGGCGGCTTGAATAATCAGCCCACAGTTCGGAAATCACATTCCGTTGGCTCCTTGACAAATTACACCGATTCTGTCCGGAGCTCCCATCTCCTTGGTACTCATGCCGAGCAGGACGATGACGATCGCAGTTTCTCTGGTGTGGGAGATCACCCTCGTGAGAGACAAGAGATATTTTCCGTTGGTCAGTTGACCGAGAAGCCTGCCAAGCGACACTTGTCTTTGTTTAGTACACATTCATCCAAGCCCATTATGCGTCCATCATTTGAAATAGAGGCCCGGAAACTGGCACAGATACCCGATGAGGACGACGGCGGAGTTGAATCTGCCTTGCTGAAGCTGGAGGGCAAATATCAGCCAAAGCCAAAATCCTTTGAGCAGCTCAGGCAAACAGCCATGATAGACGCAAATGAATTCGGCGGACAAGCAGCCACAGCTGATTCTTATACCAGCGAGAATCAAAGCCAGGAGAGTGAAACGGGCGGAATGGATGACGAGTACGAGTCTTGGGATAAAGGAAAGCAGCCACTGGATACTGCGCATAACCGGGATACCTTGATTGCGCATAGCAGGATAGCCACGCTTGAAACGCGCTCATTCTTGACCGCTGATTCTGACGAGTCATACTGTTCTATACCTTTGCTTGAAAGGGGTCTGACTGATGATGGTCAAAGCAACAGAGGCACATCCCAGTGGACCAATCGATCAGTTCTTCGCGGTTCATCTGATGAGGATGATGCTACAACTTCAGATCTTGTAGCTACAAGAAGTCACCATGCCTCCCACCAAGCCTCCAGCTCTCATCTCTCCTATGATTTTGTCCAGAAGACGGAGAGTATTGAGAGGGTCAAGACCCGGAAGACAGCTTCTCTCCCGGTGACAGAAGATCAGACTTTCTTGGAAGATGCTAGCGTCGGCGGTTCAGATCTCTCTTCTGAGCTCTCCCCCTCTGAGGATGAAGGCTCGAACAATTCCCGCGAGAGAGCAGGCGTATTTTCTATATCATCACAGCCACATCCATTCGGGGATCCTATTGCGACGCCTAGGTCAAATTCTTCCTCTGCTCCTATGACACTTGCCCAAGCATTGGCGATGAGTCCGGTGATGATGAGCCCGGTGCTGACGAACACGGAGAGAACCCTGGATCTAGATCAAATATGGACCCGCACACCTCTCCCCCTCTCGCCAGAAATATTTCAAGATGGTCCCAACACAGCTGAGCATGTGCCTCCTCGCACTTCTGAAGCTCTTCCCCCACTACCTCAACCGGAGACTCCGAATACGCTCAAGTATTCAATTCACCTGCCATTTATCCTGGCGTTTGAATCTGATATCTTGGCTCAGCAGTTCACCCTCATAGAGAAGGATGCTCTCAACGACATAGACTGGAGAGAGTTGATTGAGATGAACTGGAGAAATGCCACCAGCAACGATTCCCGCTCATGGGTTGACTTTTTGAGAAACACCAATGCCCACGGAGTCGAAGTTGTTGTTGCACGATTCAATATCATGGTCAAGTGGGCCATTTCCGAGATTGTGCTAACCCAGCACATTGAAGAGCGGGCTCGATGTATCATTAAGCTCATTCACATTGCTGCGCATTGCCGGCGGTATCGCAATTTCGCCACCTTGGCGCAGCTTACCATCGCATTGTCCAGTGCTGAAGTCGCCCGTCTGTCAAAGACGTGGGATTTGGTTCCAGCTCGTGACCTGAATACCCTCGGCGAACTCGAGGCCCTCGTCACCCCCTCACGCAACTTTTATAGCCTTCGAGCTGAAATGGAGGTCGGTTCAGACGGGGGCTGCATTCCATTCGTCGGTATTTACACGCATGATCTTCTCTTCAACGCGCAACGTCCCTCAGAGATTGCTAGCTCACCAACTACTCCACCGCTCATCAATTTTGAACGGTGCCGTATTGGCGCGGCCGTAGTCAAAACGCTGTTGAGGCTGCTGGAAGCTAGCACGCGGTACACTTTCCAACCAATCGAAGGTATCACGGAACGATGTCTCTGGATGGGTGCACTAAACGACGATGAGATTCGACGACATTCTGAGGCTCTGGAGTAAGCCTCTTTCTCTTTCCGCTCAACATTCACCTTCTCTCTTCTCCTTTCCTACTTGGTGTCATGGATTTTCACCATACCGCAAGCAGACAACACTCAGCTGCATCTCCATATCTCTCCACACACACACACACACACACACATTACTTTACCATGCTTCTCACGCGTCCCTTTTGTCTTTTTTATTTGCATGGGTATAGGAGTCACACTACGTCCGACTTGACTAGAACTTCATAATTTCCTTATCCCTGTGACGTGGCTCAGTTGCAGTGGGCGCGCAACCTGGGGCAACGCATTATTTTGCGCGGCATACTACTCTTTGCTACCTTTCCATCTGTCTATCCTTGTTGCTTTCTTTTTGTTCGTGTCTATTTCAGGGGCATCTGCCAAGACGATACCATATAACGAATGAACTTGAAAAGCAGAAAATGAGAAGAGAGAAGGAGAAAAAACAACAACCAACAGCTGGCCACTGCTGGCACCACCACGACCATTACTGCTTCTATTCAAATACTGTTACTGCACTCCTAGGCGAGATTTCTTTTCCTCTGTTGATCAGGTTGTCATTTTCTTCTCCCCTTGTCACTCTTCACTTCAGTTTTATTTGTTTCGGATGGCTTTTCTGTTTCCTTTTTTTCTTCTTTTTTTTTCGGGCGTGGGAGTATAAAGAAGGATATAACAAATCGGGGGCTTTAGATACCAATACTGGGGGCATTGTGGATAAATTTGGGTGATAGCGTATAGGGCACACATATATACAGCCTTTGGAAGAGGATATATACATACCTATAATTGGCACCGAGTTCGGTTGCCCATAGAATACAAAGAAAGTTCGCTTTAAAACACACTTCGTGGCCAGTTGACTCTCTTGATTACGGTCGTGTATGATGTACGATGGATCAGGGGGTTACAAACAGTTCAATAGCACAAGAGTAGAAACTTTGTAAAGGGGATATCTTTAAATTCTCTTTTTTTAATCTTTCACCGTGGTCGGCTGTATAAAACCCTTTTAATGCACCGCAGGAAAATCAAGGAACCTTTGGGCGAGGCAACGATTAAGTCCGCCCCCAGCAGCCGCACAGGGCTTTCCCTCTTCCCTCCCTGAAAAACGAAAGGGGAGAGTATCTTTCCCTCATCAGTGCAGCCAGCTCAAGACCCAAAAGAAAAATCCGAGACCACCCGCCGTTGCAAAGCCGGAAAAAAACGCCTCCCCCTTTGTGATCAGGTCCGCCCAGAATTACCACGCTCCGTGGAATAAAAGCTTCCCCATCGCCCCTTTTGCCCAGATACTGCATCGCTTACCACTGGCTCTCCTTAGGAGCCTCGGCAGCCCACTCCTGAGTGCCAGAAGCAGCGGCCCAGTCCTGGCCGGCACCGGCACCGGCACCGTCCCAGCCAGTGGCAGTAGCACCAGCGAAGCCAGCGGCGGGAGCCTCCCAGTCACCACCAGCGGCGGGGAAGCCAGACTCGATGGCAGCAGGGGCCTCCTCCTCAGCAGCGGTGATGAGCTTCTCCTCCTCGACCTTCTCCTCGGCCTCGGCCTCAGGGTCGCGGTCTGTGTTACTTGGTTAGCTTGTGGGGGTTCAACGGATCCGAGTAGGGGACTTTTCAAAACATACAGAAGTACAGATCAACCATGACGTCCCAGGGGGTCTCGCGGTTGAAAATGGTTCCACGGAGACGGAGGACCTCACGGGCAAGGAGCCACCAGACGGTACCAATGGCGTGGCGACCCTTGTTGTTGGTGGGGATGGCAACGTCGACGTACTCGGTGGGGGAGTCGGTGTCGCAGAGGGCAATGACGGGGATGTTGACGTAGCTGGCCTCCTTGATGGCCTGGGCGTCGGTGCGAGGGTCGGTCACGACAATCAGGCGGGGCTCCTTGAAGGAACGGGTGATGTAGTTGGTGAAGCTACCGGGGGTGAAGCGACCGGCGATGGGGGAGGCACCGGTGTGGGCAGCGAACTTGAGGACGGCACGCTGACCGTAGGGACGGGCAGAGATGACGCAGATGTCGGCCGGGTTCTCAATGGCGACGATGATACGGGCAGCCAGGACAATCTTCTCCCTATGAAATCGAGGTTGGTTAGCATCCCCATTGCGCTGCACAGAAATTTCCCTTCCAGAAGCTCTTGTTTTTTTCTTGTCCTTCGCATTCTTCTGCTTCTCCTCTTCCTCCAGCTAGGAAAAAACGCACCAGGTCTTGCCAATGTTCAGGACGTTGACACCATCGACACGGGTCTTCCACAGGTAAGGCTCCATGTGCACCTGGAGGTTCTTGGAACCGAGGTGGCACTGGGCCGCCAGGAGCATCTCGATGTCCTGGGACGTGGCATTGAAAATGGACGGCAGGTTAGCGGGAGCCATCTTGACTGATTTTTCCTTGGGTGGTGGGAAAAGTTGGTCGTTGAAGGAGGCAAGAAGGCGGCGATGCTTAACGGTTCGAGCAAAGTTTCGCAAAAGTTCGCGAGGGCTACAGACAATTTGCGAAAAGTGTGTGTGCCGCCAGCCCTGAGCGCACTAGCACTAGAATAGACTAGTTACATTCGCTAGTTTTGAGGCTGTCGGGAGTCTCGAGCTGCACGTGAATTGATGACTAAGGCGACTTTTTCCCATTCCCACAGCAGTGGGGTCTTTGGAGTAGTCAGCATGTCTGTGAAGGCGTGGGTTGATTCATGCACTATCGGCGAAATTTTGAGGACCCGGTTGCGAGAGGTGGGATAGAGAGATAGAACCGCATCTCCAATATCAACCATGGCGCCTAGAATAGACCTGCTGCAGCGGCTAGGCACAGTCAATTGTATGATACCCTACCTGTTACTTTACTGAGAATCACCGGCTTTGAGGTGGTTGGTAGGACATCGTCGCTAATCCAGCTTGTTAGTGTGCCTGCGGCCTGCGACGACACCGACAACACAGGCCTTCCTTCCCCTCGTCCAAAAGGCCAATCTCTCCATGCGAGAGAAGAAGAAGAAGGCGAAGCAGGATCCGTACAAATGGGCGCAGGCCCAGCAGCGCAAAGCCGCCAACCTCAAGAGGCAGGACGAGCTCCAGAAGCAGCGAGACGAGGCATGGGGAGACCCCGTGCGAGGAAGATTGACGCCGTTCCTCGAGTCCCTCGACTCGGCTGGCCAGAGCCCGCTGAGCGCAGTGCCTAGGGACGCAAGCGGGAATGCCCTCGAGGAGCCGAGAGAACTGCCCACGACGCCCGGGCTGCGCAACCACTTCCTTAGCGACGCCGAGCTCGAGGATGCCGTCAAGCACGCCTATGCCCTGACGAAGCCCATGGTCGGAGTCGTGGAGTCGCAAATGGACCCTAGCACGGAGGAAGAGAGGAAGCAGGCGCACAACCAGAAGCACCAGAAAGCCGTCGAGGCCCTGCGGAGGATCACGGCTCTGAGCAACGGCAGCGCACGGGATCGATTCCACGCCAACGTCAGGCGCATCGTTGATGAGTTTGGGCGCCACAACACCGACAAAGTCCTCAAACCCAAGCCGCAGTCCATTTCGCCAAACACCACACCAATGCCTGGCCGTGCCGGTCCAGACACTGGCAGCTCAGAGGTACAGATCGCCATCCTGACTGCCAAGATTAGGGCAGTATCTGAAGGATTGGCGATCAACCGAGGCTACAAGGACATGCACAACAAGAGAAATTTGAGATTGCTTGTACACAGACGCCAGAAGCTGCTGCAATACATGGAGAGGAAAGAGAGGGGCAGTGAGAGGTGGACAAACATGCTTGAGAAGCTGGGTCTCACGCCTGCCACATGGAAGGGACAGATCGATCTGTGAAGCGGAAGGGGGGCTGAAGATATAAAAAAACGAAAAGCGTTGTAGGAATAGTTTAAGCATCTGTATATGTACAATAGAGCCCATCAGAGGATGCGTGATTGCCCATGTCAATCATTCGCCTCTTCCATATGCGCCTAGTCTGAAAGAACCCTTGCCGTGCAATTACTCGAAACGAAACGACGATATTATACTACACTCAAACACAACCCCAAGACAATACATCATCAGTTTATGAGCCGCTCAGAAGACGCTAATAAAGTTTCCAATGCGGTCCTTCTGGTTCTGAGCTATACACTCAGCAATCCATGTAATGTTGCGAATTTCCTGGAATAAGTTAGCGCTTTGGTCTTTTTGCCATTGCCATCATATGGCAGCAAGATCACACATACCTGCTCTCTAAGCTTAACCCATGCATAAATGATAGCATACGTAAATTGTCGTGTGAATGCGTCTTTGGAAATCTCCATTTCCTTTTGGTAAAACATGTCCTCCAAGCTCTTCCCATCGGCAGAACCACCGCCCATGTTGCCAGGGCCGGACGAGCCACCGAGAGACACAGCATCAAAGAAGGTCTTGTAGTCATGAACGCCATCGACGGCAAGACGCACACCCTCAACGTCATCAGCTCGAGAGAGCATCAAGGTGCCCTCAGGATACAGCTTTCCAAAGGTCGGGTACAGCTTGTTGCGGTCGGCCTTGGTCAACTCAGTACCAAAGGAGTTCAGTGTGATGTTGATGGCTCGGCGGTCAGCCTCGAACTCAAGGATGTTAGACATGACCTCAGCAGTAGGTGTGCCAGCCATATCGGAATGGGTGTTGACGAAGTTGTGAAAGTCTTCGAGGTAGTTCTTGTAGAGCGTGTTTCGGACGATTTCAATGTTGAGCTCATCCAAATCCTGGTGGCTGAGACTGCCCTTGAAGTATGGAGCGAGAGGAGTCTCGATCAGCACGCTGTTGTAAAGCTCCTCCACGTTGGTCGCGACGCAAAGCACGGGCATGGTCTCAAACCAACCCAATGGGTGGCATCGCTCCAGGAGCTCTCGCGTGTCTCGTTCGTGAAGGGTGCCGGTAATGAGAAGGGCAACGTTGTCAATCATGTAGCCGTACGTCACGTAATCCATAAACTTGGCCAGGGATCCCGTAGCATTAGCGCGCACATATCGGAATTCCGAGATGAGCTTGTCTGTTGTCTTGGAGGCGAGCGCAGATGTTGATGGGTTCGGGGGAAGGGATGCAAGGAAGTCGCCATAGGCAGGGCCAAGCTGCAGCTTCAAGTCTGGAGAGCATTAACAACAAGTGACTGTACTGTCGGCAGCCTCTACATACCATCGATGGTCTCGCATTGTGTCAAGTTGCTGTAGGCCGGTGTGGTGAGAAGGCTGTTGCGATAGCCGCGAACAATGCCCTCGACGTAGCTGCGCCCCCGTCAGTAACGCTCAAAGAAGGTACATATTCAAGCTGCTCACCCATTGTTCACGTTGAATAAAAGGCCTTCCATCTTTCCTGCGTTTTAAATATCCTCGGGGCGATGATGGACAGACAAAATTGAGGGTAAAACGAGCGGTGTCCCGGGATTAGGTAGAGCGGTGCTATCAGAGCTTGCCTTGTCTTATGTATCTTCGGAACTACTTCTGCATGGCCGGCGAGCAGAGGCGTAATTGCAGTGACACAGCTTCCCACGTGAGTGAACCAAAAGTGAATCCGGACTTTCTGTAGCGCCGACGCCCGGCGGCCCATCCCACTTGCAAGCATTAGCACCAATGCAAGGCCAAAAATTTTGGGTGGAGACTTGAGCTTTCGACTGAAAAATTTCCAAAAACCAAAATTTTGGTCGGCTTCTTCCCTGAATCCTCACGCACAACACCACCTTCAATTGGGACCCGGGAAGAAGAAGGATCCAATCGACAAGCGCAAGAGTCGTAGAGAGAGTCCCAACCATTCACCATGTCTCTCTTTGTTCTTGCCGAGACGCCTGCAGGGTGAGTTTTCGCAGCCTCGAGCGCTTCCTCCCAGCATCGCTTGATCGCGTGGATGTGAATGTCGACTGACAGGATTATAGCTACGGCCTGTTGAAGGCGACCGATAAGAAGATGCTCAAGAATGCCGACCTCGCGGCTGAGCTGGGAAAGCCTGAGCGCCTCGTTGAGATGTAAGATTTACCTGGCAATTGTCTATACCCTGCGTGATGGTTTTTTTTCCCCTGCACCTTGTTCAATTCTTCACTTTTTTTTTTGTTCTTTGGGCTAACAGACTGTCGCGTACAGGCTCAAGCTCAAGAAATTTGTCAAGTTCGACAGCGCCGCCATGGCCTTGGAAGAGGCTGCCGCCCTTAGCCAAGGCCAAATTCCTCCTCTCCTCAGCTCTCTGCTGGAGGACCTCCAGGCCGAGAAGAAGGCCTCCCTGGCTGTTGCCGACCTGAAGCTGGGCACTGCCATCTCCAACCTGCCCAAGCTCAACGTTTCTCCGGTCGCTGGTACCGAGACAATGGACCTTTTCCGAGCCGTTCGAGAACACGTTTCGTCTCTTATCCCTGGCCTCGACCAGGACGTCATTGACCGCATGACCCTTGGTCTTTCGCACTCAATGTCTCGCCACAAGCTCAAGTTCTCTCCTGATAAGGTTGATTCGATGATCATCCAGGCCATCAAGATGCTCGATGATATTGACAAGGAACTCAATGTCTACGCCATGAGAACAAAGGAGTGGTACGGATGGCACTTCCCCGAGATGGCCAAGACCCTCAATGACAACCTGGCCTACGCCCGTGTCGTTCGACATGTTGGCATGCGCGACAACTTCAAGGATGCCGATCTTTCCGAGATCCTCCCCGAAGATGTCGAGGTTGCTTTGAAGGCATCTGCCGAGCTCAGCATGGGTGTCGAGATTACCGAGGAGGATTTGCAAAACGCCATTGACCTCGCGGACCAGGTTATTAAGTTTACCGAGTACCGAGCTCAACTCACGTCTTATCTGGAAAGCCGAATGCGCGCTATTGCCCCCAACCTGACTGCCCTGGTCGGCTACTTGGTTGGTGCCCGGCTCATTTCTCACGCCGGTTCCGTCCTCAGCCTGGCCAAGGCCCCTGGTTCCACCATCCAGATCCTTGGTGCCGAGAAGGCTCTTTTCCGGGCTCTCAAGACGAAGAAGGACACTCCCAAGTACGGTATCATGTACCACTCTTCTCTTGTTGGCCAAGCTACTGGCAAGAACAAGGGCAAGATTGCTCGTATGCTAGCTGCCAAGGTCGCCCTCGGTCTCCGTGTCGATGCTCTTGGCGACGAGGACGAGGAGGATGAGGAGCAGCGAGCTATCCTTGGCCTCACCAGCCGTATCAAGCTTGAGAACACCCTTCGCCGTCTTGAGGGCAAGGCTCCTCTGCCCAAGGGCACCAACGTGACTCCTTCCGGAGAAATCGTTGCTGCCGGACAGTTCACTCTCAAGGACAACAGCAGATATGGCGCCGATGCCGATGGTGTTGTCGACCACGTCATGGATGATGCGGATGATGAGCCCGCTCCCAAGAGCAAGAAGTCAAAGACCAAGAAGCCCACCATCGAGGTCGTCGAGGAGAATGACGTCGATATGGAAGACGCCCCCGAGGACTCCGATGATGAGGACTCCGACGCCCCCGCCAAGTCAGTGAAGAAGCTCTCGAGCGCAGAGTACGAGCGCCTGGCCGAGCTCTCTGGCCTCTCCGTCAAGAAGTTCAAGCGAAAGTACGAGCGCGGCGACGTCCAGCTCAACGAGGACGGCACCCCCAAGGTCTTCAGCAAGAAGGAGCTGAAGAAGCTCCGCAAGGCTGAGGAGGCTGCCCCCGCCGAGGCCACACCCGAGAAGAAGAAGAAGAGAAAGGCCGACGAGGGCGAGTCCGAGTCCAAGAAGGAGAAGAAGCAGAAGAAGAAGCGTGAATCTCTTGCCGCTTAGAGCCCCCATGCGAAGAAGCGGCGAATCTACTGAGATGTTGCACACACATATTATGCCGTGTGTATATATAACACCAACTGGAGAATCGATCGCAAATCTGATGGAAGGAAGAAGAAAAAAAAATCTAAAAAGCAACATTTTTCTCGGCTATCTTGCGAAGCTGGTTAAAAGCACCCGCATCGACTTGGATGGTCTCATGAATTACCGATGGGGTGGTCATGTAGATATGTGATACCTGAGATTCTTTGAGAGGCTTCCGGGCTAATCTGTCACTGTTAATATGGCTGGCGTTAGGGGAGGGAAATCAAATCTTTTCTGGTACAGGCGTGGCTTGGTCTTTGTTTACTACAAACTGTCTTTTTTTCCTTTTATTTTACTAAAGCAAAGCTGTCGCCAGAGATGGGTGGCAAAGGGGGAAGAGGCTATGGAGTGACATGGAAGTGAAGTTTCAAGGAATTTGCTACCGAGGTCCTCAATTAACACCGTTCTTGATCAATGATGATGCCGTTTTATCAAATCCCTGTGAGATGCGTCTCGTGATAAATGGTGATATAGGAAGTTTACAGTGAAAGACAGTAATTACATTAAACTTCAAAAGTAGCTGCTATTAAACTAATGTTTTGCTTATTGGCCATCATTCTCCTGGGTATCTTGGGTATCATACATGTCAAGCAACCATCTTTCTCCCTCTCCCCAAGATCCACTTCCACCTTTGTTTGGTATCAACATACATTACAAAACACATCATAACGAGCGTAAACGAGACGTAGCAAGCGTGTAATAATCGACGGAGTGCAAACTCAAAACGACAGAGTTGGGTCGCAATATCGCAAGCGCAAGGCAAGGCATTCATCTTGAAGAGACTCGGATTGGAAAAAGTCGTAGAGGTCATTGAAAACGATGGAAGTCGCTTCTCGAAATCAAGTAGACCACGCTAAACCACCAAAGCCACTCAAAGAGTCAGCAGCTGGCCCTCATTTGAGGCACGGCACTAGAAGTTTTCCACGACACGAGCGTTCATGGCCTGTTGGAAATCCTGACCTCCAAAATCGCGTGTGTTGGCGGCAGTGCTGCCTTCACCGGACTGGGCAGCAAAGTCGCTCATAGCAGCATTCATTGCGGCTCCGCTGAGAGGCTGGCTGCTTCCTGGAAGGAAAATGACCTTGCTGTTGGCGGACTTGGCCATGGCTTGCATAGCCTCGAGGTAGCGGATTTGCATAGCAGGGGCGGAGCTCAAGATATCGGCGGCTTGGCGCATCAATTTGGCTGATTCGACCTAGAAAGGAGCAGTAGAGTTAGCCGACCCATTCTTCCTCTTGTGCGACTAAAAGAAAAAAAAATTCTCTGCTTTGAAGCAAGCGACATCGCTGCCAGCTAAGTAGCAATCTTACCTCGGCCTTTGCGGCGATGATCTTGCTTTCACCAATCCGCTTGCTCTGGGCAGCCATCGAGAGCGAATCTTGCAGGTCTTGGCTGAAGAGGATATCCTTGATGAGCATGCTCTCGACTTGGACACCCCAGCCAGCGGCAACATCCTCAATGATTTCCCCGATAGACTGAGCAATTTCCTCGCGACGCTCAATCACGTCCTGGAGCACACGAGCTCCCACAACGTGACGGAGAGTAGTCTGAGTACGCTCAACCAGAGCCTGGCGGACGTTGGAAATGCCAAAAGCGGCCTTGTGAGGAGACACAATGTGATAGTAGATGACAGAAGTCAGGCGCAAAGTGACATTGTCCTTGGTCATGCAGGTTTGCTCAGGCACCTCGGCGATCTGGATCTTGACATCGACCTGAATGAGCCTCTCGCTGAGGGGGTTGACCTTGATCAGACCAGGGTCGACAGCCTTGTAGAAACGACCGAACTTGGTGACGAGACCAACATGGCCTTGGTTGACGTGCTTATAAGGGTTGGGGCAGAGGATGCAGCAGGGAATTGCGCCACATGTTCCAATACATGCGCCAAGATTGTTGACTGTTCGAAACTAGAGTCAGAAAAAGGAGCAAATCAAATTTGGGGTGATGATAGAACCACAGTGACGTACTCATGCTGCCATACCAGCCCTTGGGGCTGGCCTCGCCTCCAATTTCAGCGGCATAGCTGACTTGGAGGTCTTCTCCCCTAGGCGGCTGGACCGTCATCTTGTTCTGGGGCTGGAAGCCGGGGACCGAGGAGCCATCTTGATCAGTGGCCTTGGAGGTGCTGCTGTGGCCAGCGCCGTTGACAGCAGACATGCTTGCGGTATTGGAGATTTGCGGTGGCGATTGCAAGGGGGAAAGGCGACAATCAGGTTACTTTGGGAGAGAAGCAGCAGCTACGATAACACAGCTTGTTACTTGTTGCTGAGCCTATACAAAAAGATATCAAAGTAAACAAATCGTATGGAAGCGCTGTCCAGTAGAGAGGAGAGAGCACTAGAGAAAAGGAGGAGCTTTGGGGTGGCTGTTGAGTACATCTTATATATAATGACAGACAGCTCCTGGTGTGGTTGCATTCCTAGTTCGTCGAGCAGGAGCCGGCCAGGTCGTAGCTGCAAGAGTAGCGCGACGACGTAACCGCGAGCACGACGGGTGTGTGTGGAAGGCACGAGGTACGTACTGTCTGAGGCACTGCCTGCCGATGGAAATAGACGGCAAGAAGAGCACAGACAATGGCTTTCCCTTTGGGTACTAACCGTAATACTCGTACTTGGTGCTCCCAATGGGTAAGGTACTCGGAACAACTTCCGGTGGGAAATGGCTGGAGCTCTGCATACAGTATCTTAGTAGCTTGAATGGAGTCACTGCCCAACCTTGGTGCCGGTACTTGGACTAAAAGAGCTTCTGCACAGCCTCGTCATCATATCACCTGCTCACCGATTTAGCAGAAGCCTTGCTGTCCTCCTGGCCGTACTCTGTACTCTGTACATGCTTGCATCTACCTAGCACGGCCTAGCAGCAGCATCGCCCGTCGATGAACCTAGTACGTACTGCATTTGCACATGGGCGAGTGGAAGAGGCAACAGTCGATTGAACCCTTGCCAAATCGTCCATCGATGCAAGTGGGTGGAGAATCCACACTCGGCACCGCATCGCCGTGCGGGGAGGCGAAAAGCGGGCTGCGTTTCTGTACGTGTAAGTTACTTTCGACACCCTCTTTTTTATTTTTCAATCCTTTTTAATTCTCTCTGCTATTTGGCTTTTTCTGGTTTATGCGGCCTGCTTCCTGTTTTTGTCATTATTGCAAGTACCTTTCTGGGGTAGTTTGCAGAGGCTAGAACCGCGGGCTCCAATGGTGTGACGTGGTTGATCGTTCCGGTCGGTTTCAACGGCACGGAGAAGCACAAACCTCCAAGGAGTGCGACACGCTCCGTTTCGAAACCATCACCAGCCGAAAGGGCTGTTTCTCTCGGCTAAAGACTTGGCATCCAAAATTTCGGTTTGTTAAGCACAAGACAGATTGCTATACATGGGTCATGGAGTAAGCAACCATGGCACTGTGCAACAACAAGAACCATGTCTTGACGCTTTGGTCAGCTTATGACAGCTTCAACACATGTACTAAGGTAGGTACCAATATCCGTCAGTAGCAGATGTACCTTGCTTGCTAGCAGATAAACCGCTTGATCGCCAATTCCTGCCATCCATGCTTCCGTCTCCCACGAAAAACCAATCGAAGCCATGCTGCTTTCGACACAGCCCATTGTCGTATCGTGCCCAATTCGCTTCGTTGGTCGCATGCGCGCTATCAAGCCGATTTACCCTAGACCAGGGCCTGGATGGAAGTGGCCCGTCATGGAAGCCTCACTTTTTGGAATCCTTTTTCCATTGACCGACATGACGATTGGGGCTTCTATTCGACGGACGGGCAATAACGGAACAACCAGTCATTGGCTAGCGGTGCCGTTGTACAGAGTACTTCTGATGTCGACGGGATACAGTATGGACAATAAGAACAAAGCCACGTTCGGTGGAGTTTGGGCACGATCGCCAAAGACAACCGCAACAACAAGCTTCCAGATCCTGCAGCATGGCTGACCCAAAGAGACCGCCCGTATTCTCCGTATCGACGCTTGACCACATTCTACTGGCCAGATCGCCCCGGGCCATTTCCACAAAGAAACATGCATCAATCTTTACCGACTCCAGCACTGCCACAGCACGTCGTCTTGGCAAACTCCGTAACAGCGCTGCAATGTGCCATCTCTGGTAAAGTGAAAAGCATCAAAAAACAAGCATGACAAAAAAGCACTCACCGCTGCAGCTCTGCACGTGGTACAAATTTTTTTGAACAAAGAACCCCCAAATCTAGCTCAACCCATCAACTCAAATTATGTCAAAAGCCCGATTTCTCATCACTCCCCCCCAGAAGGAAATGGCTTCTGCTTAGCATGCCTTTAGCTCGTTCGGCATGATGAAATGCCACCAGCAAGCGCTGATTTGCTCTGCTGATCATCAGACCCGGGTCAACACATTCAGAAACCCCCGACCCCGACCCAAGCCATGCTGCGTGATTTGCTCCGGCCGCCGCCCTTCCAGAAACCTTCTGCTTTTGTCCAAGAGCAGCATTTACTCGTACTCGGCGGTTTCCAATCTTGGAACAAGATATGCCATCGAGAACGACTGCGCCCAGTGGTTGAGCGGTTTTCTTTGTTGCTTTGCTTTGCTTTGGGCTTTGTTGGGTTTGGTTCTTCTCACTGCCGTGATCCGTCGCCCGACAAAGCCACAATGATGTCCATTCTGATAGCTTGTAGAATTGCCCCCCATTGTCCATTGTCCAACGAGAACCCCTGGAATTGCGTCTGCCTTGGGAGACTGTAGTTGGGATCGACTTAAGGCGCCCACAAAACCGGCAATCTGAAGGACCATCTAGACCTACACCATTAATTCCGCGCGTATGCACATCACAACTCCGTCAATCAGGTAATATTCCCGGTTAGCCTCGCGCATCACTTGACATTGAGCCAGACCCACCGACGATGGTTCCTTCGCGTGTTGATGTGCCTCATCGCCGCTTGGCAGTTCCGGTGGCAGGCTGACAAGATATTTGGAAATGGGCGCCAAGCCTGGCGAAGCTAGCATGGTGAATTCGCATTGTTGATCACCGTGGCGGTGGCTTGAAGCGGAAAGCATCGAGAAAAGCCTTGCCATCGCTTTAGATTACGGTTGACGGCATAAAGTTTGTCTAATGAGAGCCGCCAGGTTGACAATTGGAACAAAGGAGGCGCGGCTCGAGTTTCCCTGGACCTAACCTGTGGCCCAATCCATCAAGAATTAAGAAGTAGAATAGCAAACAGCACAGAACATAATCTAGCGACAAGAAGGAACATGTCTGATGGCTACATGTCCACATTTTGAACTCCATACCCGTTTTCTAGTTCCCCCAGGCGACATCGTCTTTGAGCAGCCCTTGAAACGTCCCGTTACTCGTAACACCTTGTCCATAGCCTTTGTGTGTCTTTACCAAGTCCAAAGCAAATCAAACATCATTATCGTATCTTCCTGATCCCGTCAAGCGTTGGCACCATTATCGAATCTCTGCATCCCGCATGAAGTCTGGGAGGGTAAAACCCGAGTCACCACCCTCAAGCCGCGCCGCAGCCAGCGTCTGCGCAATCTCGTCCAGTCTGGGAGTGCTAGCAGCCGCAAGACTCTCCGCAACATCCATTGTATCCAGGGGATCATCCATACGAGAGTTCTCAGCCTCACTAGGTTGAACGGCGTCTGCATCAAAGGCGTAGATTTTTATACCACGTAGGTGTGTGTCCTTGCCATTTTGATGGTTCTCTAGGATCTGCATCTGCAGCACCCAAGACACGAGTGTGTTGCCGTCTGGCTCGCCGCCAACGCCTGCGAGAGGCACTTGCTGCCAGCCCACGGGGCTCGCGAGGTTCATGGCAGCAAATTGGATAAGATTGTTCTCGCTTGTGCCCGATTTGAATATAATCTTGGTGGGAGTGTAGGATTCATCTTCGTTGTAGTTGACATAAAAACGAATGTCTCGGATACCCACTCTCTTGACAAAGTATATGGTGAGCTTGTGCGGCTGCGGGCCATCCGATCTAAGCAAATGAGTTAAAACCCCGTTCTAGTATGTAGGGAAGCCAGTGTACACTTACTGCCAGTATGAGGTCAAGTCATCACTACGAAGCTGCTCAACACCATTGCCCGGCTTGTGGCTGCTCACGGTAAACTTTCCCAAGTTGGAAATCTCCTTGAGGCCAAAGACAACGGGGTCCATCATTGCCAGGGGCTCCTGTTCCCCTTCGACTTGCTCATCAACATTGTCGTCGTCGTTATCATCGACATTCTCGTCTAGATTCTCGTCAAGGCTTGCTTCCTCCGCATCGTATTGGCCTTGAGACATGGCATCATCGTCATACGTCATCTGGTCGGCTTGCTGTTCCAGAACGGCTGTCATGCCTCGCCTCGTCATTCCGAGATGGCTGAGATCTGGCTCTGATTCAGTGCCAGAGCCAGAGCCAGAGCCATCGCTGTCGAACTGCAGACTAAGACGGTTGTTGGTGTTTCTCCGCGTGGCTGAAATCATGTTAGCGGTTACAGACTGGCGAACGCTGTTGTGTCCTAGGCGGCGTCTTTGGAGGCGCCTTTGCCGCTGAAACGAATGCGCACGCAAATGCAAGAGGGAGAGCCGTTTAATCTCTCTAGTTCGATGCGCCACTCGGTGCGAAATAGTCTGCACAGTGGCATCTCTGTTCTCCTTGTCTGGAGAGGGAAACGGCCGAAGAACTGACTCTCTACGGTCAAGGATATTGCCGTGAGAGGAGATGGTAAGTGGCTGGAGGGGCCGACGATTGCTTCCAGTTGGCCTGTTGTAAGGGGGTGCAACTCGAGTGGATGGCAAGTTCTCTTGAGGGACTTCTTCTCGAGGCAGGAGGATGCGCTGTCCAAGAGGCATTTTGAAAACGAAAGTAGGAAAGCGGCTTCGCCTGCGGTGAATGTAGATGAATCGCTATTGTCGTTGCAGGGCGGCTGCCTCTGATTGGCCAATGCAGTCGGATATTGGAGGGGAGGTGAAGACAATTGTAGCAGGAATGAGTGAATGAATAGAACAAAATGAATGGATGCTTGCAACGGGCAAGCAGCTGAATGAATGAATGAATGACTGGCTGGCTGAATGGGAAAAGACTGGAAGGAGGATGATGGATCCTTGATGCGAGGAAGAAAGAAGGAAGAAGGAGGAAGAGAGAAAACGAAAGACTAAAGTAGGCGTGGTGGGATAAAAAACGACCGCTGGAAAAAAGAATTGCAGAGGCAGAAAGAAGTGGGAAGAAGAGAGAAAAAGAGTAATTCACAAGTGACGCCAAACTGAACAAGAAGCCAGCCAGACACAAGGTCAACCTTGAAATGGGATGCATCATTCGTCCCCCCTTTATAATACAGACTTCATGTATAAGTATACAAGCAACAACTGATGCTTTATAACCTCCAATACCCGAGATAAACAAATAATAATAATAATAATAATATCAGCAACATTAAGTAAATCATAATCAACTCACATCTGTGCAGTCTGAACGGATTCGGTGGCGGTTCCATCTCGCGCCTCCTGTGGCCAAATTCCGGCGCCTGGTGCACATGCACGCCAGCTGCCACGGCGATGGAGGCGTCCGGCGTCACCTGGACCTGCAGCGCCTGGCGGCGGGTGCGGCGATGCTGCGTAGCGGCCTCGAGCTCGAGCTGGGCCTGAGCCTGCAGCGAAGCCTCTTGGCTGGAGGCTGCTGAAGCTGCATGGCGCGCTCTTCTGGAGCCGCGAGGGACATCCATCGTGAGAGCTTCTTTCGCGGGAAAAGGTGGTCGATGGCATTGTATGGAAGAGGGCGATATGTCGTTGCGCGTGGTCACGTGACGGGTTGATGGCTAACAACAACTTCGAAACAATCAAACACTCGCTCATCAGCAAGACTCGTTTACCAATTCACATGTAATGAAATCTTAGGATTGACTTTATTTAACAACCCTTCAGATGATAGGAGAAGATGGCGAGAGCTGCTAATATTACGGTCAATAGATGTTACCGGCTGCATCTGTTAGGTACATTCAATGCATTCTCAACATGACGGCACAAGAACCTGCGTGGTACCTCGTTGAATCAGCTGCTACAGCTTGTTGAGCACAGACCGTTTGGAAAGAAAACAAAACCTCTACAAGGAAGGGAAAACTCTGCGCAATAACACCGACGTGATGGAGGAGGAACGATCGATTTCCCGGCAGGCGTCGTCTGCATTGTCGTCTCAGGCAACGGCTAAACATCTGCTCATGCTCATGGGAAAGGAAAACATAGCCTTCGACTCTCTTTACTTGGATCTTTTGTTTACCAAACTGCAGCATCTTCATCAATTTCATTCTATTATCAAGCTCCGTGATAGTCACTCTTTTAAATAGCCATTCATCACTACATGCGCAGGAGCCACCCTTCTTTCTCTATAAAGCATCGTCCAACCTACCAACCGCAGTCATGTTCACCGGCAGAGACGTGAAAATACACAGATTGGTACTCGTAACCCTCTGTTTCTCGGGCGGCATCGCCTTGGTGACATATGTGACTCGGTCGATTTACGACGACATGCACAGCTCTCTGATACCTAAAAATGGAACATCCTTCGCCATCTCCCCTGCGGACGGTCCAAGGATGGCTTCTGTTCCCGCAACGGCAGTCATTGATGCACGCTCTCTCGAAAAGAACAAACTTGATGGGAAAGCGATAGTGTTAATCGCCATGTTTGCTGCCGTGGTCTTTCTTTTCTGTTGGTCGTTTGTGCAGCAGAGATTTGGGCCGAGAATATCGGAGTGGTGGAGAAGCAAGACGCGTGGCCCAGTCCCATCTCCAGTACTCATCGGCTTGGAAGACATAGTCAACAGAATTAGGCCTCCGAGGTGGTGTTCTCCCCCTGAGCTGTCGATTCACGAAGACGGGCAACAGCCCGATCCTTTCTTACGACAGGATGAGCAGCAAGTCGGAAGAGTGCGCAGAGCGATCCCGCCAGTATTTATGATTCGAGAGGTAACGTTGTCGACTGTTCGCCCGTCGAGCAATTCAGTAAAGTCGGCCCCGGGTGCTATATCTCCTCAAGAGATGCCGAGTACAGGTGCCGAATGCAATCCACCGAGAATGCCAAGTACAAATCCTAGCAGCGTTCTAGCGGAGTCGACTCTCGAAGTCACGAGGAATCCAACACCGCCGAATCTAGAGGTCGTGAGCACTCTTACACTGCCGAATTCAGATGCCGTGAGCACTTCGACATACCCCGATTCAGATGCCGTGAGCATTTCGACATACCCCGATTCAGATGATTTGAGCACTTTGACACTGCCGAATTCAGATGCCGTGAAAGCTTTGGCACAGACAAAGCCCGACCCAGAGGCCGTGAGCTCTCTAACACAGCCATCTTTGGAGAATACGAATAATCCAGCAGAGCCAACTTTGGAGACCCCAGATAGTCCAACACTGCCGACGGTGTCTATGGCGGAAAGCAAAAATGTCGAAGACGGACCGGCATGATCGAAATTGGGTACCTTGAGTCGAAAAGATGCCACGCGCCTGCTGCTTGGATATCAACAAAACGGGGTGTTTCTATTTCAAAAGAGAAAAAAATTTTTTTTTTTTGAGAATCGTATAGCAGCGAATGGTATTCTCTATGTCGTTGGAATTGGTTGAGCGATGAGCTGTATATATCATATATGTACTTGGAAGCGTTGGTGAGGCGTGGGAGCTCTCATTAGTTGTACAGATGGAAATTGTGGTATGGGTAGATGGTATTAATTCAAAGCGTATTTATAAAGAGTCCGTCTTTATATCCTGTGAAAGCTGGTTGAATAAAAGGCTCTACTCAGCCCTTGGATTCCTCTTCCATCCAATTTCAATCTCCACGAACATCCGCAGGCAATGGCATCTGCCTCGTCCAGATATTCATGCCAATCTTCTCTCCGCTCACCACCGGCAATCCAGCATGCAGCGTCCTCTGGTCCCCCCTGCCATCCGCCAACAAGTTCTCCCAATACACGACATTGCCCTCAATAGGCTTAAAGGTTACGCCCGACTCGTACTCTTCATCGCAGTCTATAAACTTACACCAGCGCTCATCCCGGGGCGCGTCCAGGATCGGAAAGTTTGTGCCTCCTCCTGTGATGTTGTCTGCCTTTACGTACCCAAAGAAGGAGCTGATGCGATTCCCGCCTAGAGACACGGTTGCGTGGGAGGGATTGGTGAACCAGTCGGTGTGAAAATGGTAGCGCTCCGTGACGGCGTACTTGACGAGCTGGATGGGCTCGAGGTGAGACTCTGGGACGTCGAAGCCCTGGAAGTCGAGGGCGCGGGCCTCGATGCAGCGGACGACGGCGTCTCTGTCGACGGTTGTTGATTGGGATGTGCGGACGGAGTGGATTGCAGAGTTTCCGCCCTTGAGCACTGCGGAATGCTTGAAGTGGCCTTGGCTGTGAGGGTTTTCGTTAGTCAGTATACTATTCTATTTCATTGGGTTTATTTGTTTGGTGAGGGGGGAAACGTACGCGATATGTTGTAAGTGTAGTCGTTCCTCATCGGTGACAAAGTTCTCAATGTAAATGACTAGGGGTGATTTGCTCAAAAGGTGCATTTTATATGGGGGATGAGTGCATTCGTAGTCGCTCAGCTTCTTCTGTGACGCATCATCTGCGCCTGAAGCAATTCCCATGCCGACGGCCATTACGGCCAGCCAGCGGACTAGACTCTGCGAATACATCATGCTCTCAACTAGGAATGTGGACTCGAGAAGTTCATGTGCCTTAGGGGAATGAGAGAAAAAGAGAGCGGAATTATTATTTCGAACGATAGAGGTGTACATGTATCTCATTCGGACTTATCGTCAGGATATCTCGGCACAGCTTGGAGGCGCTTTCGATCTTCCCCCGGGAAACTCAAACAAGACGTTGAAACACGAGACGTAGCGTCGATGCCCAAGACTGACGATGGCGGGTTTGACCCCGTCGTTTCGAGTCCAGCCAAACCCCTGCAATCTGACCCCGTCTTACATACATACATGTATGGAGGGGGAAAACCTCCAAATATTCATGACCTAAATAATTATCAAGGAAGAAGAGAAAAAAACCACATCTCCTTTGCTCTTATTCCGTCAGAAGGAGCAAACGCCATTGAATTGATTATTTCAGCACGTATACAAACATGGTGATGCCGAGTTTGTCGAGTGTTTTGTTCAACTGCGGGCTGCTGGCCTGCGCACAATTAGCTTGTGCTGCTCAATTTAGCGGGCCGACGGAGGTGAAGAAGTATCTCGCGGAGAATGAATACACGCTGTTAGCTTGTAGGTGGAAATGCAAGGCTCAATCTTATGATCATTATTTTGCTAATATACGATTTAGTTGTTGCGGTAAGACGGACTGATTGCATCGTTTCTGTGAGAAAGCTGACTTTTGGCATTGCGATCTCATGTTAGCCCAACCTGTGAGTATCTTTATGAATTGAATCCAATCATAATTCAAACAAATCAAACGACTAACCATAAAACAGACAAACTAGTAAAAATCTCTTGAAAGAATGGCAGACTGTCCAGAAATCCGTCTCTTCTGCCGCTGCCATCGACTGCCTATCCACCCCTACACTCTGCCAGGAAATGGACGTCGTCTCCTTTCCCGCCATCCGCCTCTATCAAAAAGACGGCCCAACAACACGATATCGAGGTCCTCGTCGAGCCGCAGCGTGAGTCTTGCCCTGAATCATAGCACCTTTCCATTCTCTGCTTGAATATGAACCTGACGGCGCCGGCTCTAGCATCGAGGCTTTCGTCAAGCGGGCTCTTCGCCCATCCGTACAGGATGTTAATGACAAGAAGCTTGACGAGTTCATCTTAAGCGACGACATTGTGTTTCTTCTGCGGCTGCAAAGCGAGGATAAACTCCTTGAGGCTCGATTCCGCGACTTTGCGCAAGAGTATTCTGATCGCTACTCTTTCGGCATAACTACCGCTAAATCTGATCACCCTGATGACGTATGGTGCAGGAATAGCATCGACCAACGGGAGAATAATGCCGAAGATCTAGATGATCCAAACGCGCTCAAGGACTTTCTCAAGATTTGTACCGCGGAGCTCATCCCGCAACTTACGAGACGCAACGAAATGACCCATCTTTCCGTATGTCCCCCCGTCCCTCCCTATTCTATACATCTAACTTGGTTGCTAATATCACTACAGTCTGGGCGCTCTTTGGTCTACTACCTCTCTAATAACGAAGAAGGCCGTGAGGCTTACACCAAAGCCCTGAAGCAAGTAGCTAGTCGATACGCCGAATTCCTCCAGTTCGTAACCGTCGACTCCAACGAGTATCCCGACATGCCGCGGAACCTCGGCGTCCGCTCCAGCGGAGGTCTCGCGGTGCAAAACATTCACAACGGGCAGGTTTTCCCATTCAGGGGCGACGCTTCTTCGCCAGATGCCATTGACCAGTTCATCGTGGCTATCTCAGAAGGCAGAGCTCAGCCTTGGGATGGGACGTTTGATGAAGAGCTAGAGGCTCATGATGAACTTTGAATGGTGTGAGAAACTCATAAGCTGGGCACGATGCTCTCTGTACATATCAAAAATCATCAATAGGAATTGCTTATGACCCTAGTAGGTGCCCGGTTATGTCATTGTGAACAAGCTTCCACCCCATATTCTCACGGTAATACATTTATGGAACTCGACAACCCAATGATGGCTGTTCGCTGTAGCAACAAGTGGGCCAGCGCTCTTCATTTGCTGCGAATTTGGAAAACGGCTTTGCAATTTTGTCTTCCGGCGGGCCTATTCTTATCGTTTTGAGCACTGCGGAACATGTCACGCGCCTAATGGAGGACATGCCTCTTACATGTCTACTCCGGAATACAGGCAGCATGTCCGAGTTCATATAAGTACCAAGGGTAGGCTCCTGCTGTGGTTAAAAGGCAACTCTCGGCGAGAGCGGATAGGTGATACGATATCTGGACCTCGCATAGAGTGCTCCATGCAGGGGTGATTTATTATGTGTTGGTTCTGAGAAGAAACCGGGCCAACAACATCACTGTTGGACGACACCGTATACCTGACAATTTAGCCGGTTACAACGGCTATACACACCTCGCATTTCTCTCACTACTGACCTGTGAGAAGTCAAATGCGCTTTACCGGCATGTCAGCCCAGGGGAGAAGCATGTCGAAGAAAATAAAGGGGGAGCAGTTCTCGCCGTCAACGACTCCGCCTTCGCTCAGTCATTAGGGTCCAACTTTCATCACGACCTTTGGCTTCTTTTCGGCCTCTTCATTTGAGAGACATCTCTTTTCAACTCGAGGTTGTCGCTCTCAACTCTAATTTCCTTGTGCTTTCTGCCGTTGAGGCACAAGCACAAGCCACCCGATACTTCAATGCGAGCGACTAAGCCAACAACAATGCTGTTTAGGCGAGCCACAGCCTTAGTACTGATCTCGGGCGTCTTCTTGGGTACGCTGGTATTTGCCTTGAGGCGATTGGAAATTCAATGCATCGACGGAATCTATTGCCGCGAAGTAACACGACCAGAAGAAGGACTCAATGCGTACGAACATACGGATAGTGCTCGGGTGGGCGATAAGGCGCCGGCTCCCGTGCCAGTAAAGACGTCCAATCCTGCCTTGTCGAACATTTCTGCTGCTTTAGAAAGACCTGGTAGTCCGAATAGCACGCCCGAGTCCGAGTGCGCGCAGCTTCCCAATACCTCGAAGATCCTCCTCGTCATGAAAACAGGGGCTTCGGAAGCCTTTTCGAAGATTCCAACCCAGATCTTGACAAATCTCAAATGTCTACCTGAATTCCTCATCTTCAGTGACATGGAGCAAGAGATTGCTGGTTACAAGATCCACGACAGCCTTGACCAGGTTTTGAGCTCGGCAAAGATGGGCAATACAGACTTTAAGATTTACTATCGCCAACGTCAGTGTGCGGTTGACCAGGACAACTGCAATAAATATTCAGATGTTACACAAGAGGGATGGGATTTGGACAAGTACAAGAATATCCACATTGCTGAAAAGGCATTCTCGGGATGCGACCCAACTATGACTGGTACCTCTTTGTTGATGCCGACACCTATGTGGTGTGGCCGACAATGGTGCAATGGTTGGGCAAACTGGACCACACGGACCAAATATACTTTGGCAGTCTTGCATATTTGAACGATTTCCCTTTCGGCCACGGCGGCAGTGGCTATGTCGTCTCCAGCGCGGCCATGCGTAACTTCTTCGAGGGTAAGCATAATGTGGCCAACCGCTGGGATGAGGCCACGGTGGGTGAGTGTTGTGGCGACGTCATGTTTGCAAAAGCATTAAAGGAGGCCACCGGCATCGAGTTGAATAATACGGTAAGTTGAATGCCGGACATCAGGAGACGCTTCCTCTCGCCATCTCTCTTCCAATCGTACAATGGCTCATGCTGATTCGATAAAACATGATGTTAGTGGCCAACAATCAATGGAGAGAAGCCCTTTACAGTTCCATATTCCGAGAGAGAATGGTGCCAGCCAATTGTTACCATGCACCATGCAGGAAGTGAAGAGTTGTCTGATTTATACGGCTTTGAACGAAAACGAGATTTCGCCTTTCCCATGCGCATCAAGGATCTCTACCATGAGTTCGTGGAACCGCAGTTGGCGCCAATTCGACCGGACTGGGATAATATGAGCGATGACGTCCTTTATCTCGATACTTCGTCAGCTATATTCGACGTTGGCAGGCAGCTTAGCAAGGCAAAAACGCAAGACTTGTCCGATCTTGAGAAGACGGCCCACTTGAGCTTTGATAAATGTCGTGCAGCCTGCCAAGCCGACAATGAATGTCTGCAGTATAGATGTCACCAAGGCATCTGCGGGATCGGCCGGAGTATAATTCATGGACACCCGAAGCCGAAAGAAGTCGACGCATTCAACGGGTGGATGAGTGGATGGGATGTTGACAAGATCCACGCATGGGAACAAAAGCACGACAGCTGTGACGACAAGATTGACTGGCCCCTGGTCCAGACGTAGCCGACGTGAATGATGAAGCAATCACAGTTTTGAGACGCGTGATGCAGAAACATGAACAGCGGGAGCCTGTCAGGTATTGATTTCTTTTTTAAAGCTAGCCAGATTAATCTTTTGTTATCATTGTGTTGTATATATTACCAACTTTCAGCGGCTAGAACAACTTACATTTAATAATCTAGTTGATCTAGACAGATATTGTATCATGAGCTCTAGAAGAGGGAAATTGAGCATGTGAGGCATGCCTCTAGCGCTAGCTGCAAACCACGAGTTGGTCCCTGTCGGCTCTCGAGTCAGGAGGGCAGGAAACGTGGGGGACTGAAAGAAGAGAGACCAACGGCGACAAGGGTTGCAAGCGTCGATGTGCCTGTTAATATACTCTTACAGTAGTTGGCATGGAATCGTTCATGGGCCGACGATGGCTATTCCACCAAATGGGGCAAAGAAGTTGACTTAGATAGGTACTAGTACCTTGTGAGCACAATCGAAGAGAGACAGAGAGAAACCGCCGTCTTGGCCATCGTGTCGGTTTCATCGAAGCGCATGAGAAATTATAAAAAGAAGCATGAAAGAAGATTCTTGTTTCGGGAATACGAGCATCGTTTTGGAAATGCCAATGTAAAGGGACAAGGGGGGGCCTGAGGATGAGAATCAAACAAGGAAGGAGCCGTGGAAGCACGCTCTGCCGCCATCGTGACGATACGAAGCCGATACGTTCACGGGTAACAAGTACGAGATGTTCAGCGGAAAACCACAGAGGGCATAGGGTAGATGGTACATGTTGCCAATATAAATTGACGGATATTAATGGAGTCATGCCGTTGCGAATGCGGCTCAGCTGTCGGCGACACAGGAACACTCATCATGATCTGCATACTATTATGAGCTATTGCCGAGTTACTCACTCTCTTATCACAAGTCAGATGGCAGAGGAAATAGTCGAGGTAATAGTACAAGGCGAGGCGGCTAAGAAGCTCGTGGTGGAGCAGTCAATAAACCTCGTGTCTCTGCCTCTGGACGAAAGCGTCGTTGGCCATCCGTCCATCACAATTTGGCCAGAACGGAGCTCCAGCCAATCCCGCAGCTACTCGTGCGAGTAGACGGTTATTAGAGTTCCAAGTACCAAGGCCATCAGAGAGCCACTGAAGCTACGCTACACCCGGACACGTTGCGGACACGCTGGAATGAAGAAGCAGCAATAAGCTTCCGGCGTAGCTGTGCTTAGAAGTTAGCAACCATGTGCATGTCAAGCTGATGTCAAGCTCTTTTGGCGTTTTCTTGATAGCTGATGGAAGCCTTCGCCTTGCATTTGCTCCCACTAACTAGGCAGCAGTTCAGCCAGTGGCTTGACGGATCAAATGCAGTCACCGGTGCTAAAACCGTTTCTGTTCTTCTCATGCAGGTGTCCCGCTCCCAGCTTTTCAGCCTGTCGACACATCAGGCACATCAAATGATTGACAGCCGATGTTACACACATTGAATGCTCCAAAATCCATCCATCCATCCCATCCATCCATCGGTGCCTTGCTGCTGTTATCCGTGCCTGTAACACCCGCTACCAAATGTGCCTGTATTAGGCCAAGACCACTAGCACACAGCGTGGCCCCTCCCCAACGGCTACCAAATGGGGCGCTACTGAGGGGCCCCAAAAATCACCACTGATGTCATCCAGGGTCAAAGGACAGCTGCTCCCAGACCCCTAATTCCACCTCTGGCCCCTAAATCCAATCAATGTAATGCTCAGTTGAGTCCTATTCTCTTGTTCCTTTTTCTTGCTTCTCTCATTCTCTCTTCTCCTTCCCTTTCCCTTTCCCTTTCCCTTTCCCTATTCTATATTCTCCTTCGCCTCTTTTTGTTTTATTGGTACGTGCTCTCCTAAGCCACCGCGTGAGAGGGCGAGCGAGATGGGACGCCACAGCCAAGCGAGGTGATGGCCGCTGGATGCGATATTCCAGCCTCCTTCTAGGGCTGGTTTGGCGGATTGATTTGATGGCGCCCTCATGCATCAAATGACCCGCCCCGAGTATCAGAGCTAGTGGCTGTAGTGCATAGATTGGGAATGCCTGACTGGGGGGGTTGCATTTGACTTTTTGGTCTCGCTCTTTTTTTCCTTTCCCATGGCGTTGGTGTTGGGCGGAATCCCGTGCCTTTTTTGTCTTGCTTGCCTGGGCTTTCTCTAAAGTCTCTTGAGCAGAGTCGCAGCTTGACTGATGCATGCAGTCAGCCCATGCCATGGCGGTCCCATCACCAGACCCTTGCATGTGATATCCCGGGGCTGGATGTGAGGCAGAGGGCCAGCTTTTTTTGAGGCGAGACATGATGATTATCAGCCTTCCGTTCAATCTTTCATGTCCCCAGGCTGCTACCGTACATTACAAGGCGGCTGCTGTATTAGATACTAGTGCTGGTCTGTTGTACATAATAAACCAACTTGCCTTCTTGGATCTATTTTAGCTGCGTTCCATCCCATTTCCCCCTTTATTTCAATCTTCACCACCACTCAGGTAACGACACTTCGTATTAGAGTTAACCTTTTTGTCAAACCTCCACTTTCGCTTCCCTCTTGTGCCCGTTGCAGCGAATGAACGACATCATCACAGACTTGAGCTGTCGCTATTAATATTCCCACGGCTCTCAGTCTCTCATCATTTAGAGGGGGCGCCCAACCCAACCCCAAAGAGAAGAAGAAAAACCACCGCCCTGCGAACTGACTAGCATCCGTTGGAGCCCAGCAAATCAGCGGCCCCCCTTGCCCACTCGAATTTGGAGCTCCCTGTTGCTTTTGCTGCAACTTCTTGGGCTTCCCCCCCTGTCGATTCGATTTCCCCTGCTTGTTCCTCTTGTTCCTGGCTCCGCCATCTAACCAGGTTAAAGGGGAGTAATAGCTGGACGAAACATTCATCAATTTTGCAGAGCCCAATCTTTTCTTCCCTCTCCCTCCGCCGCTATCAATCCCTCCGATATCACTTGCGTCGTATCTGCCATCCCAGCGACGACATCTCATCTCCCGCGTATAGCGCATCAAGCAAATCAATCGATACCCAATCAACAAAGTTCCAGCAACAGCACTCGCCTCATTTCTTTTCTTTCTTTCTTCTATTTCTTCTTCCTTATCTTTTTCCAATCTCCGTATTATCGGCCTTTTTTTTTTTTCTCAGCTCAACCCCTCATTCCGTCTACCGCCACCATGTCTTTCACAGATGAGGAGCTTGACCGCAACTGGCAGCCCAACGGCCGACGCCCTCAGTCGTATGTCAACCTCTCCTCTCCTTGACAGTATCGTATTGCGACCGAAAAAAAGAAGAACAAAAGAATGCATTGGCATCTCATCTTGCATGCGATGCGCACCAGAGGCTGACGTTTGTAATGTTTCAATTGCGTGCAGAACCATTGCCAGAAACTTCCAATTGGAGCTGGAGGACATCTTCAACCTCGACGAAACCAAGGCCGAGCTCCAGCAGTCGTACGACACCAGGTTCGTCATCGCCTCTTCTCGACATCATATCATGCTTGATATGTTTTTCTCTTTCTCCTCTAACACGTGCATGTCACTGTCCACAGAAAATACAACATCAGCAAAACCACCGAAGAGCTCAGCACACTAGAGGCCCGTCTCCGCGAAATGGAACAGCGCCTCAACGCCGCTCTCCCGGCCGACCAACAGAAGGAATCCGAAGCCGAAACCCCCAAGCAGGAAGCCTCGTCTTCTCTCTCTGCAGCCCCCACAGACGACAGTAAGTCCAGGTCGCGGCCAGGAACCGCAAGGCCGGTCCAGCAAGCCCCCAGCTCTGGTGACATGCCTCCAACCCCCGGGGCCAGTGAAGGTGAATATTACGTTGTCACCCGAGCCGATTTAATGGACGACGGCCCCCGCTGACTTTTTGGTTTCTCTCTCCCATTGAAGATGGTGATCGCGAGTAAACATTTATAAAATCAACAAGGAACAAAAAAAAAAAAGAACTCAAAGTCTGCACTCTTTTCCCTATGATGCGTCGTCTTACGACAATGGTCGGTCTCCTCCGGTTGGGCCCTTTCCACGCCAAACCCTCGCATACGGTTTCTCTCCCAGGTTCTCGACAACGCGGAAACGACCCCAAGGAGCCTGGACTTGATACGACTTACAATCAAAGACGCCATCAATTGTGCAAACCGCTTTTCTTGTCTTTTATTCTCCCCACACCGCTCTCGTTCAGCTCAGGTAAACAAACAAAACAAAAACAAAACAATAAAAAAACTCCAAACCTCACGCATCTCACAACCTGAATCGGACCCAGAGAAACTCTTTTCCTCCGGCATACATTCGTTTCAACGACACGTTTCCCTCCGGCGTTTTTACAGGTTCCACCACAAACCACTGTTCTTCCAGAATGGAAGCTGCATCTTTGTTTTTTCCCGTCGTTGTTTTTTTGCCGCTTTGCTTTTACTCCCCCATTATTTCCTTATAATACGAAAAGAGGCGTGTTCGACATACGCCTTGGTCGAGTCCGTTTCGCGCGCGTGCTCACCAAACTATACATACCACATACATTATACCACATTAATGCACACATGCAAAACATGTTTCTTTTTGAAACGAAATGGGCTACTAGGGGGCAATTGGATGGGGATGGCTAGATGGATGGGGTCCACGGCACAGGAGGAAACCATTCGTTGGCCTCTCCCAATGATGACGGGCTGGGGAGTGCATTTGTATATACCACTTTTAGGATGAATGCAATACAGAAAGCTATAAATACTCGACAAGGAATCCTCTCCATATTGTGCGCACGGCTTCACACCATAAGCAGCTTGAGTCATGGCTATGCAAGTCATTAAACTTGATACATTTTCGCAAATCTCAGGTCTTTGCTATACATCTAGCCCTATGAGAACTTCAAAAACCCTTCGTATCAAAGAAGTCTGCATTTCTTATAAATTAACATGATACTGAGAGAACATGATACTAAGAGTAGGCTCATTCCAATTTTCATAGGAAATCAAGAAATCTCAAACCTAGCTTTGTGAGGAGCCACGATATCGAATCCGTCACTAGACATCATGCAGATGCTTGTTGGCAAATCCTACTCGCCCTCTTTCAAGATCAAATGCCAGGTACAGAGCCTTGAGCATAATGTCTCCCAAGACAGTCACGGACAGATCTTCGGCGCTCTGCATACCTCCCCAGCAATAGGATGGATCAATCTCAACAGGACCGTAGTTGAGATATGGGCCTGGAATGGTGAGGGTACGGCTGCTGCCAGGTATCTTGAGCATGAGATTGGGCAAATCTTTGGCGACTTCACAGGGGAACGTGAAGGCATTCGACAGCCTTTCGTCGACCTTCATGCCTGGGATCGTGAACCAGTATCCGCTAGCCAAATTATCGGGCAAGAACATCAAGGTAGTGCCAGTATCTATCGTAGCCGTAAACTTCTGCGAGTACCATGGCGTGGTCATCTCCCCCCAAGTGGTGAGATTGAACTCGACGTCCCAATGGGGGCTGTCAGGGTCAGTGTCGACCCATACGATTTCATCTGAGGCCCGGCTTTCATTGATGTAGCCAAAAGTAAAGACTCCTGAGGCGTTCCTATTCAAGTCAACACCAAAAACTTGATGTCGGAGTTGTTGCCGCAACAAGCTGAGGAAAGACGGTGCCGGCGGTTCAATGTTGTTTGGTAGTCTCTTGGCTAAGCCCAAGATGCCGCTCAACTCGATTTCTTCCTCAAAACGGCTGGTGACCATTTTCGCAGACTGAACAGTTGCATTTACAACTTTGAAGTCGCCTAACGAGACCGTGTCATGATAGACAATGCCATCAGCTGCGGTGCCGTCCACTATGGGATGGGTCAGTAAGGGAGAATTCTTGCACCACAAGGCGGCTCTTCAGTTTAAACTTACAATATTGCACCGACCATCTGGCATCTTGGATGAGATGGGCTGTCGTGGAGTCATTTGGGTGATATCGAGGAGCCCATGGGCCCTTTTCGTTGACACGATATGTGGTATCGGTTGATTGGATCCATCTTGAAGATATAGATCAGCATTTGGGAAACTGGCCAGCTGTAACACGAGGTCGTAACTTACAAGTCTGAAGATCCAGTATCTAGGGCCAGTTTCAATGTCTGTGGGGGACTTCCAATCTGCACATCGGCTACGTAGATATCGTCGCTTCCCATGGGTTCGACATCGACAATGCCAACTGGACAAAGTTAGCTCTCATCTCATGAAAACAGTCAAATCAGAGAAAGACTCACGACTGTCACTCAGAGAAAACGCCGACGCAATCTCTCTGGGCACCCCCTTGCCCCATTTGTGCCGGGCAGCAGCCCAATCACGTACAAAATCCCGAGAGGCATTTCCTTTGGGGTTCACGGCGAGAGAGAATCCATTGGCGTGTGGAGAGGCAACAACCGCGGCCAATGTCCACAGAGGAACGAGAAAGAGGAAGAGGATGCAGTGCCACATGATTCCCCCTCTGTTTCGAATTGTTTGCTTCGAAGAAGGAAGGGAAATTCGGATGGACGAAACTGGATCTGATATGCGATATGTTGGCTTGGTGACGCCGTTCGTCGCCAGATTTCAAGGAGAATCAAAGGAGTTAAAGGGGAGGAAAGCGGTAGAAAAGAAGCAAATCTCACAATGTTGTACAACTGGCTCAGGATGAAACTTGTAGAGGGTAGTCTCGCAACGGGGGAAGGTTCCTATCGGGTGTGATTCACTGCCGCCTGCCGTTGCCCGGCTGCCATCTGCCGCACCAAGCGAACACTTGCACTGCTATTATCTTATCATTATCACCGCCTGGGCAGTCCTTATCCTTAATAGATGATGTTTCTTTAAACGTCGGTTCCTACTAGGCATTCCTATTTAACATAATGGCTATGGACCCTCAATGGCAGCTCCAAATATATACCAAGTCTCAAATATATACCAGGAAGACCGAATCAGACGAAACACGTCGGGTATTTGCTGAGTTTAGCTCTTCAGGGGGCGGGTTGGTACATGTAGTCTGATCTCCCCGAGTAACATGAAAAGTTATGTGTGCACAATCTTCAACTTATGCCTATCCGTCCAAATAATGATTTGCAATCACGTATAGAGGAACATGAGTGGAGTGGATGGCCCTATGGTTACACTACAGCGAGCATCGGTATAGAACATCGGAATCTTGCCTGGATACTTAGCACTCCTAGCAGCTGACTTCCCTCCATACGAATGGTGATAGAAAGGTAACCGTCACATGAGTCTGAAGAAAACGTCCTTGTCATGCATTTATATCATTCAAAATCCAGAATACCGCATCTATATAGGTACTGTGACTTTTTTTTATATCATACGACCCAAGTATTTACTTCAATCCCAGTGTATCAAAAACGCCTTCCGCCTAGAGCTCGTCATGCTCCGGCTTCGCTGTGTCTTCCGCGTTTCTGCGGGCATCCTCCTCCTCCTTCATGTACTGCTTGACCAACTCTTCTAGCTCCTCGCCAGAGAGAGGCACGCTTCCCTCAGGAAACTCAAAGGTGGGGGTGGCCTTTTCGCCACTCTTTGTCTTGTCCTTCTTCGCCTTCTTACTCTTAGTGGGCTTCTTGGGCTTGTTCTTCTGGTATTGGTTGTAGCTCTTCAGTGCGAGGTCCAAGCTGGCCTTGTCGAGCGCATCACGTTTGGCAACCAGTTCGCTAACCTTGAGGACAGGATCCTGGGTGAGAGGAATGTCCGTCTGCTCAACTTCGAGCTTGTTAAGCCAATCCAGTGTCTCCTTGTAGAGAACCTCGAGGCCGTCTATTTCCTCAGAGTTGTGTAGCGGAGGCACCACCTCTTCTTTGGCGGGCTTCTCTTCTGCGTCCTTGGAACTTTCATCATCATCCTCTAGGTCCTCAAAGCCGGTGCTTGGTTTTTCAGCAGCAGTACTAGAGGTCGCAGATTCGGCCTCTTTGGCGGAGGCTGTGGCTTTCCACTCGTCGTATGCAGAGATCTGCGCACGCACAGTGTTGATGAATACATCTGTAGTGTTGAGAATGTTTCTCAGTTCGGTAATCAGCCCAGGTCGCCGTTCAGCCTCATCTAGGCGACTCTGAATTGGTCCCACAAGGTCTTGGAGAACCTTAAGCTTGGCAACAAAGTCGGCTTTCGTGGCCGCATCTCCCTCCTCGTAGAGCCAATCACTGGCTTCGCTAGCCTTTTCGGCCAGTGTCTGTCGCTCCTCCTCAGTAGATGCCGAGATGAAGGCTTCGTTGTCGACAAGATCGCGGACCCTGTATGTGTATGCTTCAAGCTGGTTCAGGGCCTCTTCACGCTGCACTCTAGCCTTGTCAGAGGTTGCGAATGCCTTCAATCGATCCTTAGCCTTGGTCCACTCAGCCTTGGTCAGCTGTGGGATTCCGGCCTTCTCCAGTGTAATGTCAACAGGAATGGAAACAATCTGCTTCTTCTTGACTTCCTCCTTTGCGGCATCTGTGGACTGAGCTGCCTCTCCGGATTTGGTGCTGCTGGTAGAAGCCGACTTGGCATCAGAGCTGGCCTCTTCAGCCTTGGCTTCGGCATCTTCTGATGCATCGGCATTGTCCTTGTCTCCTTCGCCAAGGGGCTTCTGGTCCTTCTTACCGAAACCAAAAAGATTCTTAACGCCGTCAACGAAGCCCTCTTTCTCAGTCACTTCAGCCTCACATTCGACTACAGCCTTGACGATCTCGACTTCGCCGTTCTCAGTACGAAGCTTGACTGCAACCTTGAAGTGAACGCCAGTGTCGGCGCACGTAGGATATCTCTCTTTGAGAGCCGCGACGGTTGCAGTTAGGTTGTTGGTCGAGAAAGTCTTGACAATTTTGTCCTCAGTGTCGACTTGCTGATAAAATGAACCAGTAAAGTCCTCTTGCTCAGTGAAGGTGATCTCCTTGGCCGGGCCACCGAGGGGCGAAGGGGCTGTCCAGAGTCTCTGGCGTTGTACTTTGCCATTGGCTGCTTTCCAGGTAATGCCGGCTGGGTACATGGCACCCTCTGAAATCCTAATCTCCTTCACGCGGAAGCTTGGGCTGAGCTCGGCAGCCCGGAAAGCCGCACCGAATACGGCAGCCTCATCAGAGTTTACGTTTGATCGAATTTTGTCTCCAGAGCCAAGGGCCTTCTCAAGGGCCTTTTGTACAAATGGAGTACGAGTTGCACCACCATGAAGGATGACAGATGTGAGATCGCCAATTTCGAGGTTAGCTGCTTTCAGAGCCTCCTTAATGGCAGCGGCAACTCGCTCCACATGGCCCTCCGCCATAGCCTCAAAGTCAGGTCGAGAAATCTTGTATTTGAAGTCGACATCCTCGTACAGCCCCTCAAAGCTGGCCTGGGTGTTCTGGTTGGCGCTCAAAACATGACGAAGGCGCTCAGCTTCCTTGCTCAGCTTTGCAACGGCGCGGCCATGAGAGTGAACTTGCTCAGCGGTTGCCGAGATTTTCTGAGCGCCCTTGGATTCCACAAACTGAGAAATCATGTCATCAACAATCAATGAGTTGAGAGAATCTCCACCAAGGGTCCTGTCCCAGCCACTGCCAAGAACCTGGATCTCTTGCACCGTCTTGTTGAACTTGCCAACATCCTTGACGGTACGGCTCTGAAATCTCATAACAGTGGCGGTAGTCGATCCCGCTCCCATGTCAAAGACCAGATGATATTCCGGTTTGGCGCCTTCGTTGATATTGGGGAATTGGCGGCTGGTGGCGTAGTTGAGGCCCACGGCCAGACCTTCGCTAACCAGACTAAGAACCTTGAAGCCAGCCAGTTCCGCTGCCATTTGCAGGGCTCGCTTCTCTTCAATGGTATAGAACGGCGGTACGGTGAGAACGATTGAGCGGATCGAAGAGTCGCCACCAGCAGTAACCTCTGCGTTCTTCTGGATGCTTTGAAGCTCCATGGCCAACAGCTCCTCCACCATCCAAGCCTCCTCCTCAGCAGTCAAAGTCTCCGTCTTGAACGCAGCGGTCCCTCTTGTGGCGTGCGCCTGGAGCTTCAACGCAGGATGTCTGGCCGCATATTCTTGGACAATCGCATCTCCCACTGGGAGTCCGAGGAGGGGCTTCAGATTCGGGTATACTTCGCCGGGGAATCGTGCGGCAATGGCCATTGCGTCAGCGCCATAGTTGCGCTCGGGATATTGGCCCTCAGCTACGGCGCCTTTTGAAGGCTTGAAAGCAACGGCGGAGGTTTCTTTTCGTCGAGAGTCTTTTGTAAGCACAATCTCAAGCGGGATGCCAGGCTTTACCAGCGCAGCCTTGATGTACTCGGTGCCCAGATCGACTCCGAGAACGGCTGCGGCAGCCAGGACATTGCTGGAGAAAAAGAAGATGGCTCCTAGGAGCATCAGTAACGGTGAACGGCGTTGTGATTTCATGTTTGTGGTTGTGTGTAAGTGTAATTCGCTGGCTCTTGAAAGAAGACGCTGTCCGAAACAGCGAAACCTGGATAGCGAAGCAGCCGTCCAGGCCCAGCAGAGATACAAGCCCTCGGGACTGCAGGAGAGTCAAGGAGCGGAAATCCAGTCGGGTTTTATAACAAAGAGCTTTCCAGCTTAGAAAAGAATGCTTCGGACCGCAGATGTGGCCTCAACTGACACCCTAGCGGGTTTCAAAGACTTGGCCGTGAGAAGAGGACAAGTTTCAATGACGGCAGCTGAGAGGCTGCTCAGTTAGGCCGGTCGAACATCTGTGAGGCTGATAGCGGATAAGGCCAGGTGGCGTAGAATAATAAGGTACTGCCTATTTTGTACTAACGCGCCCGATCACGGTAAGTGTCGGCACTCAAATGGAGGGGTCCTGTCAGAAAAACACGTTCAATTAATTGGGCACTTGTGCTAATAATAACAAAGAAAACCCGGGGAAGAAAGCATGTAGACAAGTAGAGTTGCAACAATGTTTCGTGGGCAAACTTTTTGTTATATAGTTTTCTACTACCTATGAATACCAGTAGCCTGCTTCAAAGATGCTGCACTTCCTAAGAGCCATGAGGGATTTACAAAGGTGCTTATTGAAAGAAGCCGCCCCAACCATCCCCTTCCGCCAAAAAGAACCCGAGACCTGCCTTTTTGACAAGTTCCAATGCAATGCCTAAAAGTCGCCTTAACTCAGCTCCGCCAACACGGCCGGAGAAACCAGGTAACGCCATCATGTCGTAATGTACAAATCACCTCCAACGGGTGTGCAGAGAAGCAAGAGATCAGAACTTACCCACGAACCGTGAGCCGGAGCTCTACGACTCGTTGCGGCGAGGTCCCCGGAAAGGGACTCCGCCACGGTCACCACCTCGATCACCGCGTCCTCGGCCACGTCCACGGCCATCTCCTCGGAAGCCACCTCGGCCGCGCCATTCACCACGACCGCGTCCACGTCCTCCACTGCCCTCACGGTCCTGTCGTCCCCGGTTGCGCTGGACCTGGTGGAATCCATCGTTGGCATCGGCTGGTGCAGATGGAGCCTAGAGTGAAATGCGTCAGTTAAATTCGCTTGAACAGGCAAGAGGAGTCAGAATGATGCAAAACACGTACCTCAGCGACGGGATCAGGGTGGTCGTCAGCCCAAGATTGCTTCTTAGCATCAGGGGTAGCGGCCTCCACGCTAGGCTCAGGCTCAAGCTCAGTTGTCTCGGCAGGGATGGCTCCTACATGAACCCACTCCTGGGAAAGGGAGATGTCGTGGTTGCTGGTATCCCAGTGGCTCTCAGCAACTGCATTGGCAGCCTCATCCGCAACGTTGGCATTAGCAAGACCGTTGGAAGCAGGCTCGGGTTCCACATGTCCATGACCGTTGGCCAGGATGCCGTCTCCGGCTGCAATCTCAGTTGCGGCCTCGTTTGCAATGGTCGGGTCGGACACAATCTCGGCTGCTGGCTGTTCTTCAGCTGCAGCCTCGGTATAGGCTGGGGCGTTGTAGTTTTCTGCCAGTGTCTTGACGGAGGCATCTATTGTAGTTAGCAGCAGATTCCAGTAACGCCCATCTTTTGTCGTTCCACATACAAGTTGTTTGGAGCTGCTCTCCAGGGACGCTAAAGATTTGGTCGTCAGATCCCTCAATCAGCTTCTGCATGGCTGAGACGGCATTATCATCGCCAGAGTAAATGGCAAGCAGCACGCCCTCAATGGCTTGGCTCTCATCCGAGTCCGGCTCCTGAGATTCCTCGCGGCGGTAGGCTGCCAGACGCAAGAATTGTGACAGAACAAGAAGCTTGGACTTGAGAGAGCTCTCAGAATCAGCCTTGGCTTCACTGATCGCCTCCTCCTTGGTCTTCTCGAGAGACTTGGCCCATTCTGCCTTTTCGGCCGCCGTTCGTGTCTGGTACTGCTCGTGGATTTTCTGGTATTGAGCAAGCTGCTCCTCATACTGGGCCAGGGCAGCCTGGAGAGCAGGCTTCTTCTGAATCTGGGTCTTTTGGTCGGTATTGAGGATCTTTTCGGCGACGAGTTCATCGAGAGATTTGCCGGGGTGCTGGGCGAGAAGCGAATCGGTCTTGGAGGCGTTGGTCTACACAAAAACGAAAGGTCAGTTCCATGATGCTCAACTGTGGCCAGGGTATGACGCAGAGTGGGGACCTACCAGCTTCTTGGCCGTGTTGCGAATGTTCCTGTGCCATCTTGTCAGCAGCCGCATTCATGGTATTGGGGGGGAGTGCAAGCTCGCGAGTGGCCCGCAATGTCTTACTTTTGCAGCTCCTTGATGTAAGGGCTTTCGAAAGCATCGTCCTGAGCCTCAGCTACCTTGTCGGTGGGGGCAGACTCGGTGCTGGGAGCCGGGGACTCGGTACGGGCTTGAACCTTGGCGGCCTTCTTTTTGGCCGACTTGGAGACGGCGGCTTGGGGAGCTGGAGCAGCCATGCTGAAGAGAGGGCGTAAAGACGATGGCAAAAAGGTGCTCGCAACGTCAATACGACAATCGTGGGTTGGTGTCGTGTGTGCTTGTCCACTAAACGTTGGTGCGCGCAAGGCTGGTGGACGGTAGTAACACGATGCGAACGCGGGGTTCAAAACGCAGCGTTCAGGTCTTAGGGGATAGAATTGGGCGGCACGGAAACAATGTCAAGTAACTGTGCAGAGTTTGGAGATGGAGGATTCTTGAGGGGGGAAGTAATGAGGTGTGGAGGAGGTTTTGTTTGTGTCGGGTTGTCGTTTTTTTAGCACTGGACTTTTAAGGTACCAAGGCGTAGCCAGGCTGAAGGCGTAGTGAAGCTTTTAGAGCCTAGAGGCACCCCCCTGTGCAGCCGGCAGCTGTCACTGTGTCTGTCCCCCCGAATTGGCAGTGCGGGACGTTGCTCTTCTAGAATCAAACAGAAGGGCTCAGGCTGCAATTCAAGCCTCACTTGATACAAACAGGCGGTCCAGCGGTGCCAGCGCTGCTAAATACTGCCAATGCCTACTGGCAAAGCTCAATTGCCCATTGTCGCACAGGAATAGGCAGCAAACGGAGCCTGTTTATTGACGTTCTCTCGCTCAATGCATCCTCACGTGCTCTCCAATTGTCGGGTCAACCAAGTAAACACAGCGGGATATGATGAGGCACCAATTCCGCACCAGTGACCCCATACGTGCATGTAGCCTGAGTGTAGTTGGGCCCGACTCCTGAACTGTCACTGCCTTGGGTTCATTTGTCTTTCCATTTGTTCTATCACTAAAGACGTCTTATCTCTGCTACTTCCAGCCTCTATTTGAGAAATGTACAATGTTTTACTAGCAGTTTTCCGTCACAATTCTTCATCAAAGTCGTATTCCATGTGCATTGATTAGAGCCTCATGGTAGGGGTGCGTCTCTCAACAGCCGGTATCCTCAAGATAGAGAGCACGCCATTTCATTACGGACCCGAGTTTTGGCAAAAGGGGCTGGGTCCTTGAGGCTTACCATGGCCCACCTAAGCTTTCTCATGAGACATCGGCATCTGCAGCCATTGTAACATATAGAAGCCAAGCTCCAGCCACAAAGCATCTCAATGGCAAAGCAGCCATGCCCTTGTTTCTTTTCATAGGAATCCAAGGTCAGCCTTTAAACTTAGCCAAAGCATCCTATTCGTCGTGTTAGTCTGTGCAGTGTAGCCTTTAGTCGTGGATTCCGGGAAGCATACTCGAGTTGCCTTTCTCACGCTCCGAGCAGTTAATCCACGTTCTCCCGACTGTTTTGCATGAATGGCGGCCTCTTTGACTAATCTGTGTGACATTGTCAACATCCGAACCTCAATTAAAGGCTCGCTCTGTAGCTGCCAACTGTCCGAAATAGAGACACACCTGTTCATAAACAAAACGTAGTTGAGATAGATCTAGTGATGTTGTTAGTGCCGCATCTACTGATGGGGAAACGCGTCACCCAGGACCATACCGTGATGTCGGTGTTTTTTCTAATGCTCATGCCCGCATGCGCCTTGACAATCTTCTTCAAGGTAGCCTTGGGGTAAGGCTTTTTGCCCGCCACCATGGTGGACGTCTGGTGTCGCTTTCTGGCGCCTCGCTATGCAGATGCAGCTGTCATGCTTGTTGTCTCAACAGCGCGTCTCCCAAATCCGTTAGTGACTGGTGTTCCGGCACTTACTTTCCAATTGGACATACGGTACAGATATGATGCAAGCACTGTAGAATACACACAGTGTCCCCACCATAGTTTCATACCCCACCATTTCCTCAGGGCCAGTTTCGTACCAGATAATCGTTGCTTTGACCTGTATAAGGCAATCAGACTTATCAGAGAGAGTCGAGGTCGGTCTCGACATCATTGCAACCATGGCTTCAATAATGCAGCGCCGTATGGTATGTCAAATGATTCCTCTATGCAATGCGCCACGACTTACAGCTCTGTTTAGCTCTCCAAGGAAGACGAAGCCGCAGACGAGGTCGAGGTTCGACGAGAAGACCAGGACAAGATCAACAGGTTCAGTCGGCTACACCAGCGAGAGCTCGCCTTGAAGGAGGAGCTGCAGCTCAAGAGCGTATGGAACACGACGCCATGCAACACACGGGGACTTGGCTGACAATTGCGCTGCAGAAGGAAAAAGAAGAGCTGGATGACATCTCCACCGAACTCGAGCTTGCAGACGAGGATGAAAAGATACAGTGCGTTTTGGTAATGACGGCGTGAATGCAGAGCTTGGCTTACCTGTGGCCTTCATAGATACAAAATCGGCGACGCCTTTTTCCACCTCCCTCTCGAACAGGCACAAGAGATGCTTAGCACCGCCACAACGAGAATAGACGAAGAGACCGAAAAGCTGGAAGAAAAGCTTGGCACCATCGAAGACGAGATGTCACAGCTCAAGGTTGAGCTTTATGCGAGATTCGGCAAGCAAATCAACCTGGAGACGTGACGAGAAATGTGATATCGACCCAACAAACTCCTTTCACCCCCGAGACTGCTCTAACGTGCGCACGACAACGCGGCGGCTGCTGTTGTATATGTTATATGCTGGTCCGCAACTCGAAGGGGAACGCAAAATTATCCCATTATGCCAAAATAATACGAATCAAAGTTATACTAGAGTAATCAGTGGAGCAGTGCAAGGATAATCTTCAACTCATACATCATAAGTGACGAGTATTATTCACTTAGAGGTCTTCTACAACCAAATGTTATTGCATGGCGCGGATATCGTGGTTTCTCCTCCAAAAAAAAAAAAAAAAAATGAATGCCAGAGCAATCGTTTACGTGTGCCTCTATATTTTTCCCATCATTCAACCGCCTGAACACCTGTCACATAAGCCATGGGCCTTATAAGCCTCTCCGTCAATGACATTACAATACACAAAGCATCTAGTTGATGAACGGCAAGACTGTTGAGCCTATTGATGTCATCTGGGGATCCGTTGGGAGGATTAAGCATCGCAAAGTACTTTATTGTGGTAGAGTGCGATATATGACGGTCTATGGTATGTTCTCAATAGTTGACCGAGGCTAGCTAGTGATATTATACAAGCGGTCTTTAACATATTCTGGGCCATTTTCTTTTTTCATCTGCTGCATGCAGTTCAGGAAGAGTCTCATGCCAATCAATCTGATAGCGCATATCCATCTCTTCATAGTATTCTTGCTAATATACTTCAAATCAAGGTAACAGAAACCGCAATCACGCTCTGAACCTGACTTCCCCGTGTAAAATTTGTATCCGTGCTGCCCGTTTCCTGCTAAGCTCTAAGATTGCCCAAGCTAAGAGATTGTGCCATGGATTGGCCAGAACAGGTTAAAGACGGCTTCCTGTTTGTCGGTACATCCAATGCTGATTTCCAACGTCGAAGAGCCCGTATCTCGCTGGAGACCGATGTTGAATCAGTCCCTTCATGGTTGCGATATTTCTCTTCCTCAGATGTCAGCCTTCTCCATGGCCGCACAGGGACGTCACTCATCAATTCATCTCTCCCGTGGTGACTCTGGCTGGACTCGTCAACTGGCTTCTGCGCTTCCGGTTCCATAGTAACTCCATCAACTTCTTTCGAATATTCAAGATCAATGGCATTTTCAAGCTTCACCACAGATGGCCGGTGGCAAGAGGCTAATTCAGCAGGCAAGTACTGCTTTGAAAATGTGGTGCCATATTTAGCCGCCCCTTTTGGTACAAAGTTTTGGTGCTCATTTGTGATAGTTGGTGTATCCGTTCTCACGGTCTTGTATCCTAAGCGCTTTTCGTTTTCATCATGCCCTCGCTGGTTTTCTGGAATTCGAAAAAACTGAGCTTGGTTCTCATTGTCGTGGGAAGGCAAAAGCTTTTTCAACCCAGACTTCACAGCCTTTCCGAACTTGCCAGCTCGAAAGCGTGATGTTGGCTCCGAAAGGGAACCATTATCGGCCAAATTCCTGTCTCCATCTATCTGTTGTTGATGAAGATTGGCGTTCCTCATTCTTTCTTCACAAGCTTGGAGGGTGCGTGGCTGTAGAGGGGGTATCTTGGTCAGTCGTTTAGCGGCCTTGGATGGTTGGCCGGGTTTTGGGGTAGAGTTGGGCGAAAATGTGCCTTGGAGATTGGTCGTCCATTGCTGGAGAATCCGACGTGAAGGACTTTGAGCTTCGTCCAATAAGAGCTCTGAGTGTGGTGTGAGTCTAGAGGTGTCAAAACCTCCTGACTGTCGTGATACGAATGAGTTCTGGTAGTCATGTACGCGAGCAAGTGTGGTCGGGCTCAAGTCAATCGGCGAGAAAGAAGCTTCTTGTTTATTAAAGGGTGAAGATCCACCAGTAGGAGGCTCCAGTCGCAAAACATTCGATTCCTCGCGTCCCAGAGCCAATGAGCTTCTTTCAGTTGAATAGTGTCTACTTTGCGCCGTACCAAAGCTGTTGGAGCTGAATTTAGATCTCCTTGGGACGGAAAGATTCATTTTTGCCATGAATGATCGGCGGCCCGATCCAATAGAACCTGGATGAAACTCTTCCTTGAAGCGGCTGCCGAAGTTCAGGGATGGCTTCTTACGGGATAGAGCGTCACCAAGCCTTGTCCCAATCGTCTGCATCTTGACGTCTCGTTGCCGAATCCTCGCAGCACCAGAGTAGACCAAAGATGGCCCATCAACAGAGGCCTGTGCTGTAGGACAATTGATCTGAGTAGTGCTAGCATCATTATCGGAGAACAGGATCTTCTCTTCCGCTGTGGCATATGAGCTCATTCCTTCGGATGCATGGTTGCTTCTAATGACAGAGAAGTTGCCTCTCCCTATAACAACCTTCATTAATAATGTACAGCACACGACGGAGAAATGCAACAAGGTAGAGAATGCACTCACAGCTAAAAGGAGAAAGCTCAAGGCTTTCTAAATCCTCTGCACTAAGATGATGTAAATTGGATTGAGACCGATCTGGGCTGGGCTGGAAGCTGGGAAGAACCGAAGGATAGTCGGAAGAGCTGGGATCAACGGGTCTCGATATGGCAATATCCAAGGTATCAGGCTTCAAGAGCAGATTCCGGCCAAGCAAGGTAGCATTAGCCTCGCTTTGCACACGGTTATTGGACAAGCTTGATTCGAATGATACGCTCTCGAACGAATTCTTTCGATCGTGAAGCTCTTCCACATCAGTGACTCGGCAACGAGTCGGAAATAGAGCCTCTACGGTACTATCGATCCCGCCAAAATCTTCCTGGGGTAAAGGAACTTGATTCCCAAGATTCCTATCATTCGTCTCGCTTCCTCCGGGGCAGACGGAGCTGCTTCGTGATTGCAGACCCTGGGCAGCAAGCCAGATGCCAAGAGCAGACTGCTCCTCCCAAGCATGAGCACCATGGCGAATATCGAACTCGTTATCCGCACCCAAAAAGCGTCCCAGACGAGGCACATTGACCGAGCATCCTGTCAACTTTTGAGATGTAGAGCTGTGTGTACTGGGTGGCCGTAAAGGGTGAGCTTGATCCCAGCTCTCCACGCCAGGTAATGCTAGTGCAACAGGAGGTTTCAACACCCCGCCTTGATTTTGCGAGGAGTCGCATGCTTCTTTATGGTGAGTTTCGGTAGATTGCGCATCTTGTGTCGGAGGCGGTTGTGTTGTATTCAGATGCGCGTCTGCAACTGTAAACTCCAAGGCATCTCTGGGACCAACTCTCGGTTGTCCAGCGTCAATAAGGGGGGAAAGATAGCGAGTGCTGCGGTGAGACATGTTGCTTGACTCGGCTTTGCTTTCTTCGTTCTTGAGCTCTTCTTGGATCCTCTGATGCCGAAATCGCCTGAGCTCGGCCCTTCGAGCAACCTCTTCTTGGCTGTGGCCCGCAGACGCTCGAGACCGGCGGTTTGGCTCGTTCTCATGAGAGATGTGACGTATCAACTTTGTTCGAACGACATTCAAGGCACTGCTTGTCTTTGTCAAAGGATTTTCTTCTTCTCCATCGCCATCGGAATCGTCCACCACCAGCTGTCCCAGCTCCGTTGGGTCTTCAGAGGGCAGCTCAGCCGGTAGCATCGACGCATCCCGAGATCGAATCGGCATTTCCACGAACTCACGCGATTGATCGAAGCAACGTTGGATATCAGGGAGCCCCCACCGCATACGGTGCTCCTCTGATGATTCAACCAAGTCAGCGTCTCCTGCAGGTTGTCTGCCTGGACGACGGAAGCCGCAGCAAAAGAGGATTGACATTCCGTGCAAATTATAGGCTGCCGAAGAGAGCGAATGGCAAACCCTCTAGTCCTTTAAATAAGTGTTGACTAAGAGCCTGAAAATGAGAAATCAAAAGGAATTTCGGTTGCTGGTATCAAGGTAGAGAGATAATAACGATCAGAACGGAGGCTCGCCTTTGGTCATGAGTAGGAGAAAGCTGTAACTGGGGGGATGTGACTTGCTGAGGCTCAAAACAAACAGAGGCCGTAGTAACTGCCATTTTTTAATGCTTTGGTCGACGCTTTCGAGTACAAGGAAAGAGACGATGAGCTCTGGAAGAAAGAACTAAAGTTTTGCAAATAGTTCCTCGCTTAGCAGTAAAAAGAAAAGAGAGAGAGATAGAGGCAGAGAAGGAGAGAGGCCGTTGGGGAGGTGAAAAATGCATGTACCCAAGTAAATCATCTCTGCGTGCTGAATTGACATCAATGCTAAAAACGTGCAAACTATCTAATAAACGCCTCTCTCTAATATTACGTCCATGATATCACAATTCCCTCAATTACCCTAAGTAGTAAATAATACAAATGTCAATACCTCAAAACGCGCTACAAAGATTTAAACCAAGTCACCCACAAACCCAAGCTTTTCCCTGTTTCCATCGCAGATGCGAGCCCACTCAAGCAACAACCGCCAAACATACAACGCCATATCTTCTCGTCTGAGAACCTTCTCTGCCCAGGCCTGGCCGGTTTCCGCAATGAATCGAGCAGCTTCGTCGCCTCTGCCCCTCGGACCGTCGGCGAAAAAGTTGAGGACCGAATACAGGTCCTGAAAGGTGTTGTCGAAGGGCGCAAAGTGCATCCAGGGAATGAGTCGGTCGTCGTGCCACTCGGCGTATACCGTCGCCTTAAGCGGCATGCTGGTTGATCGCAGAAAGCCGCGATATCGAGCGCTAAAGGAATTGCCGTCGACATCGGGGAGAAACTTGTAGCCGTATTGTTCTTTCATTGGGACGCGCTCCACCTCGTGATAGTACGGCTCGAGAAATGCGCATGCGTCGGGAGGGCAGAGCTTGACGAAGCCGGCGTTCGCATTCTCGTTGAGCCAGGCTCCAACTTGTCCCTGAGACAGATGCTCGCTGTTATAGAGCCGTCGCGACGGCATTTCGAATGTCGGGGCTCGTTCGTTGCGGTGCTCCATCTCGCTGACAGTTGTGCCGTTGAGCATTTGGATGAGCCTGTGACGGTGGAAGTGTTGCCACATATCTTCGCCAGCACGGCCGCCGGAAGCCTCTCCTCGCCAGACAATGCCGTCTTTTTTGTGTTTCCAAGAGACCCCGTGGTCTTCACCTCCGGCGTAGAACTCGTCGTTGACCAGGTACATTGCTCCCGGGATGAGGATCTCATTATTCGCCATAAGCTTCGAGCCGCCAAACAACGGAATCAGCTCCTCCGTGGAGGACAGGCTGACGGGCTTGACAAAAGTACCATGTAACTGGCGCAAGTGTGGCTGTATGCAAGGGTCCATGGCTGCTGTCCAGTTTCGCACGAAGCCTTTGTAAGAGTATGACGGGTTCCATTCATTAGGAATGCTGGCGGGGGCAGTGAAATCCGTTACACTTTGGACGCCGTAAGCAGGTGTATCTGGACCGCACGTCTTGACGAACAAGTCCCAGTATGAAGCATCGTCAAAGGAATGCCATTTAGGATCGTACGGTTCCAATTTGGCATCATCAATACGCTTCAAACCCTTGAACTGATTGGTAACTTCTTTGGTAGGAGTGATTTTCCTGCTCTCTTGTTCTTTTTGTCGAAGTTTTGTGATTTCATCGAAAGGGACGAGGATTCGAGATTCGTCCATGTAGTTTATAGGCATGTCGACGTCAGGCAAGTGTTCAGCAAACTCGCTGACCAGTTCCGTCCAGAGCTGCAGCCAAATCACTCTCCCTTCGACGTCTCCTACACCTTCGGCCGTTCCATTTCGCACTTTGACAACGTGGAACCAAGAACTGGCTCGCTTGGCGATTGTCTCTGTGTCAAGGGACCAAAAGGGGGCCAAGTCGGTATAGATGCGATCGAAGAAGTCTTCGACAATGATTGCGTTGTTTTCGAGCGCGCCTGCGACCCATTTGTCAAAGCCTGGCGGCGGGTGTCTCCCTCTTCGCTCTCGATACCTAGCAGCAGCGCTTGTAATATTGTCACTGCGCTTTTCCATTAAATCCTCATGATGGGCTTTGGCTTCGACCATAAGCTTCAAGATGGGATGCTCTATCCAGGAAGCAAACGACCCCTGATTCCCCAAGATGACCAAAGGGCGTCGAGGTTCTAAGTCGGGCCATAGTCTATAGGTTGTAAACAAAAAAGCAACCACAAACAAAAGAATTAAAACTTTTACAGCAGCCTTTGGGTATAAACCCAGCCGCTTTCGAACATCGAACATAGAAAGGATTGGAAAGGGGAACGACCCAAACCGTCACAGTTGGCGAGTAGCCAGAGGAGGAACAAAAGCAGAATACAGCCTACTAAGGAGAAGAGGTACCCAAGTTTCAAGTTCTACATGTCTAACTGAGCCAGGGGGTACATTGACTGTAATTGGCTTACGCGGCTATAAGGATAGAGATGATGGCAAGTGTGGAATTAGTCCGTCAATACGAATTTGTTGGATGGGTGTTGTGGATGCTTGAAGGAGGCTTGGCGAGGCAAGCTTCGGAGTAAACTGGCGGCGGAATGCTTTTGCCAGGGTGTGATAATGTTAAATTATGCATCTATCTTTGTAGTATTTGCATGAAACGGGGTCAGATTGTCAACATCAGTAGTCAAGAATCCATATCGAGTAATTTATGGCCCATCTGGGTACGCTTCCCATGGAAGATGGCGAAGAATATGCAGTTACACAAACACTAGCTTACTGTTATCGACAAGGATGAAGACAAATGTCGGTCTCTAGGTGAAAATTAAAGTGAACACGCGTACTCTGACATGTTAGATCAGAAGCAGTTTGGCGTCAGATGCACTTCTCTTGCGGAACTTCGGCTCCGATCCCAACTTTCCGTGACAATTACCAGTTAGAAAGCCTCTCTCCAACTATTTAAAGAGCCAATCACCCCTTGGTTCAGGAAATGGGTTTAGCTGAGCTCTGCGTGAGCTTGAGAGAGTTTCAGTCTACTCCATACTCGGTAACTTTAATCATTCTTATTCTGACAAGTCAATCCTTCGACAAGTTGAGAGCAGCCGCTTGTCAAAGATAGCGTTTGTTAGCTCATGTCTAGTTTCGGAGAACTGTTCCGGGAAGAGATTTTAAGTAAAATGATGCTTTGCCACTATAACTTTTAGCACATAAACAGAATTAGAGAGGGTGAAAAGTCGTTCTTCTGGCAACTTTTCACCTTGACTTCAACTTTTCCCATCCTCAACAGAGCCGTTTCTACACAGTTCTCAAATTAGAATCCGCGTATTTCTGATTACGGATTGACGACAAATCATTAGTACATATTTCCGAGCATTGTCCCAGAATAGATTAGCTGCCAATTCGTGCCGTGGCAGTGCCAGGATAAATTCTGCCGCCCCTTGGTCGCGATTCTTACGGAAGTCGAATATATTCCCGAGCCGCTTTTTGGAGGATAAAGAGCAGCAAACCAATGGTTATAAGTGTAAGTAAAACCCCCAAATCCACCCTACTCCGTAGGCAATTGTTTGCGAGTTGATGCGAGAAAAATAAGACGCTCCGACCCATAGCTAGTCGCATCAAAATAAGCAAATTCGTTATAAGAATAAAGCTGTGTCGATAACATCAAATGGTAAGTTGATTGGAAGTGACGAGCTTTAGAGTTAGGGCGACACTCTTTGGTTCAAAGCACTGGTACAAAGCGCAATAAAAATGCCCTCCACAACGAAGTAGTATAAGAAACTTCGGCATCTATTTAAAGCACTGAACGGCCATTGCGAATACTGGTGTCGATGAGTTTTCCCTCCTTTTCCATTGATCCGTCACTTCGTCCGAACGGTGCTCCAGCCACGGTCGAATTATAAGACTCTATTGGTGCAATTACGACTGTTGCAGGTTTTGTCGTTGACATCCATGACATAACCCAAATAGCTCCCCGTTCAAATGCCTAATCCAGCCAAATCCGAAGCCAATCTAGCCGCTTGAAGGCGACTCGAGTCAGACCAACGAGTGACTAAGCCATGATACAACGGCCAATCAAATGAGCCCCTTACCACCGTAACCACCTGTATCACCGAATCGACCGCGGACGAAGCTTTTCTCATGGGTTTAAATGCAAATACAACGTTGACCTCAAATAAGGTGGCTATGTTGACTGCAGCCGGGCAAATCACACTAATTGAACATGAAGCCCTTGGCCAATGTGGTCGATTTAAACCCCCTTCGGCATTTCTGCAGCCTTATTGACCTAGCGGATGCCCTATTAACAGTCCTTCTATATCTCTCCGTTCACCGAAGCCAACTCATCTCAATCTTCTATTAGTTTCCTTTTCTCTCTTCTTTTTTCAAAAGTAGAGACATTGAGACATGTTGACCTATATGCCACGGCGCTTTCCATTGAAGCTACCGGCATTTCATCGTGGTAATTCGACGTGGCCCACGAAAAGGCTAACCTTGGAGCTGGTCAAGAGCACTGGAAGAAACTCAATGATGGGTTTAAATCAGAAAGAGAGTCCCTGGTGATTCAGTATATCGGAAGACTTTTGCACTAGATTGGAGGATTTTCTGAAATCTCGACTTCTTACATAATCCAGCCTAGTCGGCCTCGCGTTCCTATGATCTACTTCTTCACCATCTTCAGGTGCATCAAAATTAGCTTATCATGCCAATATCCAAGCTAATCCAAGCTAAGCCACCCCAAAACGCAAGGCTTCGCTTTATTCCCTCGAGTCAGCTGCGTGGTTGACTCAGTTGCATACCATGGAAAGCATAAAGGCGCAAGGGAGACCGATTCAAGGGGCTTTAAGCCTTGGTCAGATGTGAGACATCAATGTCTAATGGACACTGGCTCCTTTATCCTATTAGATGCTTTGGAATACGTTTTTAAGCCTCTTCGGCTCGTTAATTGAACCATTGATTCGGGCAACTTAGTGCGTGCGCAATGTAGCCCTTTACTATATAGGTAGGAGGTCTATGCGAACCGGACGTATTTGAGAATGCCTAAGCACCTCGTACTCTCATCGCATCACAGGCTCTCATATTGAGAGAGAAAGCAGGCTGGAACATCAAGTTTGTCTCGGGTTGTTCAAATCTGTCCGTTGCTGCACAGTGATTTGACTTCTTGCATCATATCTCGTACTCTCGCCAATGAAGGGACTCGTCTCCGCTCTGCATATCGCAGTGCTTACTCTCATCTGCACCGTCACCGCTATGGATGGAAAAACTTGCTTTACAATATGCTATCATCCAGCTGTAGAGCAGCAGTGCCCCGATGCGAACCTTGAATGCGTTTGCAAGAATCAAGAGTTTATATCGCTGCTCAATATGTGTATTCAGCGGACATGCCAGGAGTCTCTATGTGAGTTATTTCACTCTCTAAGCTTAGACAAGGTTCTTATAACCGTTTGACTAATTACAATATCCATAGCAGATGAGGCCGAAGCTATTCATGCTGATATGTGTCTTTGAACGCCTCTACCGCAAGCGGCTGGCTCGTGTGTTGTTGAGATATGACAGGATGTAGTCATCATGTTACATCCGTTGGCTGTCTGGAGACCTTGGCATTAATGTATTTTACTTCCTATCTAATTTTCTGGAGCAATACGAGAATGAATCATGAATGAAACAGTCATTTGTCTCTTATTTGACATTTGTTCTAACGAGAGCCCCAGGGGCACCGGGAGAACTCAAACAGATGAAGCTCATGCTTGGGGTGCAAGTGACAGTCTCTTGACGGCAGGGAGACGCGTGCTGGTACAAGTAGCATTGCCATACCTTGGTCCTTATTAGTATTTCTCAGGGAGAAAGAAGATTGTCGCGAAAGGGGCGCGGCACTCGCGTGAACCACCTTGTTCCCCCCCATTGTCGCAAGTCCAGTTTTGGCGTCTTGATGTGTCATACGGCCCAGGGTACTCCGTACTGAGTAAATACAAGCTTCACGGAATACGGAATATTAGATTGCATGCTGACAAAAACGAGGTCTGTTCGAGAATCTTGAACCCCAGTTGTTGATCTCGACAAGATCCCAACAAACAGTGCAAAGAAGAGAAGAGATCCATTCTCGAAAATATGCCCCTTGCCAAATGTGGCCGACGCCGATAATCATTACAGGCAGCTGCATTCTAGTCACCTTCCGCGCTAGGGCAAAAGTACAAGTGCCTTGAGATGCCCCTCAAGTACCTTGCAACGGCACAAGAGGTGCTATACATAGGAACATTCTACCTCGCGGTTACCAGAACAGGGCCGTACAGTACTTGTGCTGTGTCTTTCGTAGCCAATGAGATCTTACAAACGCGCGACAGGTAAGCACGGGGAGATAAGATGTACTAGGTAAGTCGCAGCTACAGACGACGTGGGTGTCGCGTTGTACTGCATCGTACTCGTATAATGGAACAGACGCCTGAGCAAGTACCTCCTCCTACAGTAAACAGGCGTTCAAAGGTTCCGCCTCTACTGATTTCATGATCAATGCACTGAGTCGCCATTGGGTCAACAACAAGATGCATCGCCGGCCCTTTGACATGGAAACAGACAAGCTTCGTTGTAGGTCAATCAATCCATCGTCATAGGGCTTATGCCGAGGTCGCGAACCGAACTATTTACGGGTCCCGCGAGTCAAGCTAACCAAGCGCAAGGGAAAATAGGAATCGCAAATTGCTGACATACAAGAGCTAAGATGCTGGGAAAATACTAGAGAAGAAAAGAACTTTGCAAAAGGGAAAAGAAAAAAAAGGAGAAGTGGAGAGGCCAAATACCACATTATTCCCGCCTCCGATACATCCGATTAGTAGACGTTTTGTATGACGTCCAGGAAGAGAAGGGAAAGCTACCCACACTCTAATCCTCGTGGCTGGCGGCCTGAATCTCGGTGGCTTGGATAGGAGCTCTTGGGAGGGAGCACGAGATTCTACGTATCGTCGGCAAGTGACGGCGTTGATTGCGCGCAGATTGGCCTCGTTGAACGCCTAAATACCGCCGTTGTGGTGCCAGGGCCTCCGCGCGAGAACCCCCAAATACGACTGGTCGTGGAGAAGCAGGGCTCGAAGATGCTGCCTCCGCGCACATTCTGCTTACCTCAGAGGGTAGGATAGGATATCCCTGGGAACGCTGATCGACTGGACGAGAGACGCCTCAAACCCTCGGCAGCTTATCACCACCAAGCACAAGCGCACAAGAACCCTCGCCGGCGCGCTACCACGCCGTCTGGACCCTGGCGGCTAGGTCATACAGATCGAGCGTTTCTGGACGTTCTGGGGAGGGCCCTGTTGGGAAAAAAGAAAGGTGGGAAAGAAAGTGCCAAAAGTCATCATCAAACCAGGCTAACAGGCCGGGTTTAAGGGCTTGCTTGGTGCCAAGTAGCAGCGAGTGCCGACTTGCCAGGGCGACGCTACGACTCCCCCGAGAGCCAAAGGAAGCGGCCGCAATGCGGATTAATTTGCTAGCAATAGCATTGAGCCTTGATTAGTCCCGGGCTTGAGGGCCGCCATCCTTGCTCACGTTGACTTCGTCCGTCGCCATCATTAGCCCACTTCAGTGCGTGGCGCGCCACCTCGTCGCACCGTGACGACGATTCTCAGCCGCTTGAGATTTGCTGCCAAGTCTGGAGTAGCATTCCCATTCTTTCTTCTCCCGCCATTCTCCGTGGCGGCCTGTCTTGGCTCCACGGGCCTCGCGCGAGAGCCGAGGAACCCATCCACTGGCCAGCCTCAGCCAGCCCCATCTGCAGCTTCTCTCTGCCCATTCGCCGACTAGCTGGGTCCTTCGGGGGGGAGACACGGGGAGAAACCTCGTCTTTCAACTCCGGTCACGTCTTGATTGCCTGTGGCCTCTTCATCTTCGCATCCTTCGTCTATCTCATGCTACTCCTATCCCTCAGACGGGTAGATGGAGTCGCTTCAGCCGCACGACGCAGAAGGCTCTGTGCCGCCACCACACAGCTCTTCCGCATCTCTGTCACCTCCAAATAAGCGCCGACGGACTACGACAACTAACGGTGACTGTTGTCGCACTTGCAGATTACGGAAGGTAGGCAAAGATTCTTTGTTGTTTTCGCATCACCGTCGCAAGGCGCAGCGTGGTAGGCATATGTCCCGCGCTGGGCTCTGAATCCTGTTTGTTCATTATGTTTACACGTATTTTGTTCTGTATGCTGCACAGCTAGACGTTTCTTTATCGCACAAGCGGTCGTTCTATTTGCTGTGTTGCTGATGCTGCGGTTCTTCTATCTCTTCTGTTGCGTTCCTAGGACTAACACAGAGGCTTTCCCCCCTTTCCAGGTCAAATGTACCGGAAACCCTGGAAATGGACCTTGCAGCAACTGCTCAAGACTGGAGCTCACCTGTAGCTTTGCTGCATCTCCTGGCGCTTCCGAAGAAGGTAAATGACCAAAGCTCGCAACAAGTTCGGTTTTAGGGGGTTTCTGACAGCTAGATCCAGAAAGAGTTTCTAGAACAACACCTTCACACAGCCATACAGAAGCAGGCACGCTGAGGAAGAGAGCACAGAGCGCGTGCAGTCAGTGCCATACGCACAAAACGAAGTGCTCTGGAGACCTGCCCAGGTGTAAAAGATGCGAAGCTGCCAACCTAGTCTGCGAATATACTCCTACCAGGAGGCGGTTCACCAATGTTCGTTTCAACCGTCCAAAGGCTGAGGACCAAGCCCCTTCTACTTTGCAACCCCTCAAGCTGGAAGAAAACACTGCCCTCAGCCCCACGAGCAGCAATAGTACCAGCGTCCCATCTTACATCCTCGAAACATCGAATCTTCAGGCCGAGTACGCGTTTCTCCCCCTTGTTGCGGTAAAGAAGAGTTGTAAGCAGCGACTAACGGTAAATGATTCAGGAACATGCTACTCAGAAAAGATATTATTCTTACCCACTTGGACGCCTATTTTGATTATTTGTACATGATGCCAAGCTTAGGCTTTTTACACCCCGAAGTCACCTACCGAGATGTTCAGGTATGAGGGCCACCATAGGATGCCAAGTGACCACCAGAATCACCTAACATTGTTGTTCTTAGGAAAACAGATTCCCTCCTGCTCAGGCAGCGGCCGTGTGCTCCGTCACCAGTTTCTTCGTAAATCCTGGCCTGGCTGGCCGGGAGTTTGCAAGAAAATGCAGCCAGCAAGTCGAAATGCATATTTACCGCAACATCTACAAGTTTTCTGAGAGCGCCCTCTTTTTGTTCGCCCTAAATATTCTTTTCAACATTCTCGACGGTTCGCACGCAAAAGTGTGGCAATGCTTTGGTGTGGCCTCGAGACTTATGATAGGCTTGCAGCTGAACTGGGATGTCACATCACGCCACTCCACCTTTATTCAACAAGAATGTCTTCGACGCATTGCCTGGCAGCTTTTCAGCCTTGACCGCCTATTAGCCGGTGGATATGAAGAGTACATATCTTGTCGAGCCGAGAATATGAAGATTAGGCTGCCCTGCAATGAAGCTGCTTTTAGGGAAAATCGGCCGGTGGTTGCGGAGAGGCTTCATGACAGGCCTTCGCGCTGCTCACCGGCTCTGGGCCTACACGGAATCCAAATTCTTCTTGTCGATCTTCGGCATCGCATACAAGTGTAAGTCTCTCCTCTCTCCCGAAAGAGCCGTCTACAACTAGGTCAGAATACTTACCAGATTGCAGATCGACAAAAAAGCTAGCATTGCCTTCTGGAACAGCCATTGCAGCCCTGGAGCCATCAAAGGTTATGAAGGATATTGCTGCATTGCAGAGCGAGCTAACTGGGTTTCACGTTTCCATACACGACGAGCTACGACTCACTGACCAGAGCATGTCTCGATATGCTGCCTCGGACCAGTGGAGAGGGTACTGTTTCTTCCATACGCACATGGCTGTGAGCCATATCGACCTCTATCGATTCTCATTGCCGGGTCCCCGAAACCAGTCCTCGATAGAAATCCTTCGAAAACTCCCTCCAGACTTTATTGCCCGGTGTCAAAAGCAGGCCGTCGCCCACGCCATGAGTTTAGCCCGGTTTTTGGAAGCCATTAAGATCGAGACGGACAGAATGCCAAACCCCGGAACTCCTAAACTGGTAGGCGATTACTCAGTTGCACACATGTCCACTCAGTGCATTCGAGTGTTGCTCATCGCTCTGCAATACAACCTGTACGAAAACCTGATGGATACTACAGCACCGGTGTGGAGAGGCGCCGAGACTAGCGAGGGTCGGATCAAGTCGTTGATCGGCACCATCATGGAGATAACCGAGGCATGGGGCGAGATATTCGACATGGCCAAGCAAGCTGTATGTTGTATTCTGAATATTCTCTCTCTCTCTCTCTCTCTTTCCCCCTTTTCTTTTCATCTTTATTTCTCTTTCATTCTGCGACTACTTTAACTGGCATTCTAACAAACGACGGATAGCACGACTGTAACAAGGCAATGGTGGAAGAGTTTTACAAGAACGGGAGGATACTCGATCGAGGTAACGCTGCCATTAACACCGGACAAGAGCCAACCAAGGACAAATTTCTATTTGGATCGGATGTTTTTATTGAGCGAATGAGCATCCCTGACATGAAAGATGAACAGAGGCGCCGAGCCGCGAATATGCCCGTGTCCGACTGGTGGATGGGTCCATCAACGACCCAGCAAGCATCGTCCAAGAGTGCGTCACCGCTGATGATGCCTTATTCTACCCCAGAATCGAGCTATGACGGTGACCACGGACCGCCCGGCGTCCCCCTGTTCCTCGCTCAAGCGCGCAACGTATCCCTGGGCATCAGCGACATCTACGACGCCGAGACGGCGGTCGGCATGCAGCCGTCCGACATGCTGGCCATGATGCCCAACAACTACCAGATGATGCAGACCGAGGTCCTGAGCGGACAGGGCGGCATGCCCATGCTAAGGATAGACGACGCCATCCCCAACCAGGCCATGTTTCGACAGCAGGACGTCCCGCCCGCCCAGCCGCAGCACTTCATCCCGACGCAGCAGGGCATCATGATGAATGGATATGTGCCGCCGCCGTACCCTGGTAGCCATACTAGTGCGCCTCCGTATCCGCAGCAAAACAGCTTCAATTGAGAAAAGAAAGAAAGAGGAAAATGGGAGAATTCTTCAGGAGTTTTTGAGATGTTGATCATATGATAAAGCGTCGGTGTTTAGGGCGTTTTTGGTTTTATATAATGCCCCTTTGGGAAAATGAAGACGGGGCATTGTGTGTATAGCTAGGGGTTTCTATCGTTACATGTGTGCGAGACTGCACGTTGGATTCGACAATGGCGTGGCAGTTTGTATTGATGAGAGTTGGCGTGTGTTGTGCATAACTCGGTTGTATGTACTGCAATGGCCGATATATGGTGAAGAAGGTGAAGGGTTTGGGAAGCGGCATCGACTCTCCTGTTTAGGATGGTGTGTTGACATGCTGCGCGATATATACATTAATGCTGTCATGAAGAGATTTCTCTATGAGCATATAAGGGGAATCGTTCATATTCGCGAATACTATATATTCTGATGAAAGCATCTGTCCATATGATATCAGTCTAGGTGATATACTCACTCAGTAGGCACGGTCGTGATGACAAAGTCAACCTAAAGGCATAATTCTTGATTATACACTATGTAATATCTTATACAGCTATATCACAAAAGAGCCATATCTTCAGTTCTTTCATCAAGATGGCCAGTCTCGCTATGTACTAAGGTCTTGTGTCCAGTTCCCCCCCTTTTTATTCCTCCGCTCCATAAACCTTCCCTCCTCCTCCCCCCTTTCTTACTTAAAAACCCGCCCTTTTTATGTGCTTCTAAGACAACCAGCCCAATAGAACAATACCAAGCCAATCCCAGCTTGGTGCCGCCCTTCCTCCACAAATCCCTTAATGAGGGCAGAAGATTGTAGTATTGACGCGGAGGAGAAGCATTGAAAAAATAGCCCCACAGGGGAGAGAGAATTGACAGAATAGTAGACCCAATCATGGCAGCTGTGTACGATATAAAAAAAACAGAACTTGAAGTAACCGCTGCATAAACTGTAACCCCTCACATGTAGTTGCGCCATGTGCTTATCTATATGTCATAAGATCCGCTAGGGAGAGAAATGAAATAACCTTCCTCGGAGAAGAAGATACCGGGACTCGAGAATACCGAATTGAAGATTATGAAAAGAAGAACGAATAGAGAAACATGGTATCGAGAATTTTGAGTGTCCAAGACTTGGTATCCAAAGGAAGTCGTTACACAGAGGATCGTTAAGTCTAGGTAAGAGCGTAGTGGAGGTGAAATTTTTTTATGTCGTCGTGTATTTTTTTTTCTGCTTTGGTAGGCATGGCCTGGGATGTAGTAGGAGATTCGGTGGACGAAGAACAATTATCAATTAGCTACTTCAGTAGTGGTCGAAGTAGGAGTGGTCCTTCTCCTTGAGGCCGCCGATCTTGTCCATGTCGACGGAGTAAAACTGGCCCTTGGCTTCCTTTTCGTAAGCGGGCAGCTCTTCGTCATGCATGGGCTCAAGGCCGACTGTGGCATTTTCTCCAACACGAACGACGACAACTCGGCCACTCTTCCGGCGACCTTGCTCGTCCTGCTCATCAGGGAAAGTGATGTGGATCTCGGGAACATTGTCGGGGGAGTGAGGTGGTGAGCCGGGGGTCCGCAGCATGGGCTGGCCATCACGGCTGATGAAAAGAACGCTGGAGCGACCGTTATGCGTGGTCTCAATGGTGAGGCCTCGGTGGTTCTTGACATCGTTGTAAGAGGGTAGAATAGGCTCCTGGGTCTCCGGGTTCTGCAGCTGTCGCTTCTGGCGAACTCGGCGAAGCACAAGCAGGATAGACACAAGGATGAGAATAAAGAAGGCAATGCCGAGCACGATCAACAAGGCGTTGATGACCGTGTCGGAGCCGCTGTCAGAGTCATCGCCTCGAGCGAAGACTTTCAGGGGACCGATCTGGCCTGCAGGACGGATCTTGTTGGCGATTTGAGAAACCGAGCGGGCTACATCGAAGTGAGCCTCGTCGACGGATCGCCTCATCATAGTGAGTGAAGGCATATTGGGCAAAATGTCCCAAGTATTTTGGTTGCGTTCAAGAGTGAATGAATGGATGGTTAGCTAATGAGGCGTCATGGTCAGCATATTGTTTCAAGACATGTTGTACTACAGAGTGTGTCCAGCCAAATGATGGGATATATAGAGGCGGAAACAGCGGCAGATGACGACAAGCAGAATCTCTTTTTTTCTCTCTTTCTTCATCTGTTTCTCATGACCATCGATGCGGACGTCACTGCCATTTCACAGCTGTGATCGGACGCACAGACAAACATCGCGACGTTCCAAGGAGGGGTTGGCGCAGCAGATCCCCCAGCCTCTTCCCAAACGTCACACCATTCCCCGTGTCCATGCCATTGTGTGTCTCTGCGAAACAGGTGCAACTCACATAATTTTTTCCTTCCCCGTAGGCAGGTTGTCCGCAGGATTGCTAGCAAACGCTTGGAGCCGGCTGAGCTGCGAGACTGAAGAAAAAAAAAGGAATGTATATCGTAGTCGTCGTTTTGTTGGTTAAAAAAGGAGTGGTGAAGAACGCGTTATAGGCAATGAGAAAGGACCGGACGGATGCAAGGCTAAAAGAATGAAGCCTGTGCAATCCAAAAGGAGAGTCTTCGGATGAAGAGAGAGAAAAAAGAAGGTAACGGCAGCAGAGAGGGACAATGAACGTAGAGACGCCTCTCTCTCCCGGCAAGAGATGTAAGTTTTTTTTGTTTCTGGCCAGCGACGATGGTTGAAACAGGACGAGAAAGATCAACTGGCAGCCAAACGGGGGGAGGTTGAAGGTCAATCCTCGCTCTACCTGGCGCGGGTCCCGCTGTGGCAGCGAGCGGCACAGGGCACTCGAGGCGCTACAGCATGCAGGACAGCGGCCTTGGAGTCCCCTAAGTGGTCCAGCCGAGCGGGGTTGCGCCTGTGGGAAATTACCTACAGCTCGAATTGGGCCACGGACCCGTCGTGCCCCTGACGCTTAGCACGGCTGCGGCCAATCAGGCGCCGCGTAGCCCTGCAGCCCATTTATAGCGCCGTTGAGCCCTGAGCGAGGTCGAAGCTAGGCGGGCCTCCCGAACGCCTCTAGCGGCAATCCATTGGACAACTGGGGTCCGTGTTTTGGTTAGCCAGCAGCGAGGTGACCTGGAAAGCCAATCCAATCTCCCCTGCTCCATTTAGAGGTGCATGCGGGAAGAAAGAGAAGTACGAGGAAAAAAAAGAAATAAAAATTGAAGAATAAGAAGAAAGGGCACGCGTTAGGATGCCAACTGGGGAGAGGCCAATCCTGATGCGGTAACGAGACTCTGCTTGTTGGAGATCAATGTTGTTTACTTATTGGACTAGCATCATTACTAGCTGTAGCTTTAGTTAGAACCCGTCATACACCATCATCTCCTGCGCAGCCTGACTAAGACCAGACGACAAGGCACCGGCTCGGCTAATGGGCAGACAAACACGCACACAGCACAAACGCTCAACCTGGGTGTCAGTCGTACTCGTACGTTGCTGCGCCCATTGAAACAGGCGTTTCGAAGTGGCACGCGACAAAGCCGACGCAGAAGGGAGGCTTTCCCTTGTGGCCAAGTCGCACGCAAGGGCGGCGTCGTGTTTTGTTTGTCGCCCGCCTCCAGAAGTGTCAAAGTGTCGTGTCTCGGATATCTCCAGAGTGGGTGGATTGGGCTCGTTCCAGGGAAGCCGAGAGTTTTGTTGCCTGGCGAGTCACGTGTCTGGTATTGTTATTGATGACTTGTCATACATGGATCTTTGCTCTTCGAACAGGATCGAATACCCTTGCAGTCAATAGTAACTAGAACTGGACGTGTTATGTTGGGGTCAATCATCATGTAGTTGAGAGATGCGCATCTAAAGACATTATAACGCCTTCTCCCTTTGTCATGTTTTTCTATCCTCACCTCCAACCTTGTAGCATTAGCCAGCTATCCCTCGAGTTTTGAGACCCAAATATTACCGACTGATCCAGATTATCTTAGTAGTCACTTTTAGTGCCTCTGATGCCCTCTCCTCGGGTGCTAACCTACACAACACGGATATGAAGACGGAAAGTAATCGCGCTGGTGGCGAGCCTTTACATGCATACATATTGATTGAAATATCATAAATATGAAAGAGTCCATGTAATACGATACATCGCAAACATCGCAGCATCTCCAGATAGTGTTTGCAAAGTTGCGGGCTGCTATTCAGCCAAACATTAACGCCATAAAGCCCTGTCCCAAAAACACCATCGAAATAAACATGACAGAATGATACTCGTATTTATCACTAGAGTCCAATGGGTTACAACTCCAGAGAACACTGGATGTTACAGTAAGTGCATGTGCAGTTTTTAGCAGCCTCAACTTAAAATTATGCGCAAACTCTCCCACCATCGGAGCGGTAGACCATGCAGCAGTTGCATGTAGTTACGATGCAACCACATCAACTCTCAACCCCCCAGACAAAAACAGGAACTGCACGTCTAAGAGCATCGGCTGGTTCACCGGGAATCAAACCGAACTAATACGAGTACCGCTATAAACTCTTCGCATAATACCTCCCGAAACTAAACTCGGCGAATTCAGCATCCTAACCAGACATGGCATCATTCCCAACACCTCAGCTGTCCCAAGCGAGCCCATTACCCAGCATCCTATTCCATCCCTTGCTAAATGCCATGCCATCGCACCCATGTCATCGCATGCTCGTGGGAAACCTTGCATCTTTCGCCGTGGACGCTTCTTTGTCCCGCTCTCCCCACAAGCCTTCTCCGACTTCTCGACATCCCTATTTCGGCTCAGCTTTGTGGGACCGCACGACACTTGCATGGTTCGCATCAACGACCAGCCGGACATCTATTCCAGAAGTTTGCTAGGCTTTAAATCCTTCAAGTTTTCAGATTCAAACAGCTAGGAGTGCCATGCAATGGGCTCATCGCATAACCAGCGGGAGTTTGGCTTATGGCATACTGTACAGTCGAGATATAAGCAGCCAAATCTGTCTTGCCAACATCGTAGTTGTATAGGTGCTTATTATCTTGTGGCGGGCACAAATATTCCCTTTGGTCTGTGGTGATTTCGCCCTTCAGATGCAGCTGTTGATTTCGTATTCCTCCTTCCGGCTTTGGACCGAATCGGGCAGTCTTGCATTCAGGCCGGAGAAGGCCCTTCGCTTATACATGCTGGCCACCGGATGCTCCCGATAGTATAACGAGTGCCTTTGCTACCCAAAATTAGTGGCGTGATTCCAATAAGGCCTGCATACTCACATGCGCGCATGAGGCGTACCGGACTGTATATGCATGGGGGAGATGTGGCCGACACAACGCTTCAACACTTTGATGCCATGTGATGTGGGACATGATAGGCCTGCATCCCGTCATACCCCAGAGCCGCAAATCACCATGGCAGGCAAACATTGAGGCATCAAGCGATTGCTGGCCCACTTTGGTGGCCTTAACCATACGGACACGTACCGACGAAGGTTTCCGTCCAATGGCGACCTTGCTCAGATGGCAGCATGGAAGCCCAAGCACAGATGCCTTACAGCAAGCGTAAGAGCCTCAGTGCTGGATACACGTGGCGATTAGGTCACAAAGTTTTCGAGTCGCCGTGAAATCAGTCCAATGATAGAAAAGCTTAGGGTGGGCGAGGCAACGCTCAAAGCGCATGTCGATCCGAGTACACGTAGTGTCCGTGAATGAGGCAAGTTCTGGTCTGGTCCTAGAAACCCATCAGGCTACCAATCGCGCAGACGTTGCAGAGGATTTGTTACATGTAACTTGATTGTTGGGAGCATGTAGTACACACCTCAACATGCACATGTATCCTCCGCACGTGTCCCGATATAGACTCCGCCATGCTGATGGCCAGTTTTCGACCACGAGGGCGTCTCCCTTCTCACACATCAAGGTGCATTCATGCATAACATCCTCTCTACTGCGTCTGATTCAACCGAGCCACTCTCGTTTGTAGAGAGAGGGAGAGAAAGGCAGAGGAGCATTGGCCGGGGTTGACAACAGACCCGCCTGAGTTACACGCAGTCAAGATCTCCCGCAGTCGCAATAGCCCCATGGTGTAGCTGAGACTGCGTCTCGCTTCCTCGCTGCTCTCATGTGTCAACGTATGTGAGACTCACACTACAGTACCATCGCTCTTGTGCAGATGAACACGGCTTTGATCCTGGTGGAGAGCGCTAGAACACCAGACATATTGTTAAATGGTCCTAGATAGCTCGCAGACCTATTGGCTTTGCCAAGAAAGAACAAGTTCCTTTAGTGTCCCGGATATCGGAATACCCCTTAGTCTCTGGAGATTTATTGCTTTGGGGGGTGAGCGACTTGGTCGTAGGCTCAAAGCGGGAGGGTTCACTATGCTTCGTACAAATTCGGTCTGCTCATCCCTTCCCCCACTTCTCAACCCTTCTCCTATCGCGTACGGGGGATTCGTGTCAAAGTGAGACACTTACCCATGAAAGGACAGAAAGAAGTTTCATGGGAAGATGGTATTAGTAACAGTATCAGTTACTGCCACCGGGCTGCTTCTTAGCACCATGAAGATAAATGGATTTGATCGGCCTTTGGTAACCTCGGGCGAGGGAGGGAAATCACCCGTTCAAAGGCATGCCCCGTTTGGATAAACAGGAATAAATCGTCTCCCATTTTGAATGAAGCAGGCCTCCTTGTGTACGAAAAGTGACCGGCGAGTGATGTGGCAGCGAGGAGCACTCGTAGCACAATGCGCGGCATAAAGTGGGTAGACAACGACGTTGAGCGCCCCCTTTGTGTAACTTTCAACTCAGTCTGTGTATGCTTGCCTAGTACGTGGCTGTAGTTGTATTGTGTAGAATCTCGGAGTGGTAAGAGATGTCGGTTTTCGATTAGTACAATTCAATCACCTGGTACGTTGGGCACTCGTTCTTCGCCTCGCTCAGCAGTCGGATCGATCCCACGGCCCGGGAGGCGTCAGAGTGGACTCCGAGCCGTTGAAACAACACGAAGTTGCTTTGTCTACTATAGGTAGGTAGGCAGATGCCTCGTATTTTGTAGCACCAAATGCTCCGTAGCAGTTGTACTAGAATCAGATGATGAGTGAGAGACATGTAGGACGCCGCAGCGAAGTTATTGGTCGCGTGAGGCCGTGGGTGGACCGCCCTGCCCTGGACCAAAATCAACACATCCAAGGCGGGTTTACATACGCGGCAGCGCAAAGGCAGTCAAGTCAATTGAGACGCCGGTCGCCAGAATAGCGATTTGCCATGTGCCTCCTGGATGAGGCAGTCCGTCATCTCAAGGTTGGGATCTGCATGCAGGCGAGAGGGATGTCAATCGCCTGGCTGATCAACATCCATTAAGTTGCTGAGCTTGATTGGACATGTCGTGTGTTAGCCCCAGTCAGCGGAGACTTGTGTATATTGATCTCAGGTCGGCCGCAAGCAGGGGTCAAGGCACATGACGATGCACGCCGCTCGAATTAACTCCTTTCTTCCCGTCTTCCTTCTTCTTTCGATGTTTCTCATTGTCATTGTCCAGGCTGTTGGCATTGCACTGATCGGCGCCTTTGTGAGATACGAGATGAGAAGAAGTAAATATAGCAGGGTCCATGTCAGTGTTCCGTAAGAAGGAAGCAAATCGAGACACGGGTGGGACCGCATGGAACGGATGGTCGATATTACCCCGAACCATGTCTCCTTACAGAGTGCCGTCAACAAAGTCCAGGCGGGTCTCTCTCGGTAGTTGCGTCCACTTTCTCAACTGCCTATTCGTCCCCTCGGAGTTGACTTGGCCCTTTTGGCCTGGTACATGTACTGTATTGTGTCAAGTGTGTATTCCTGGACATGCTCTTTGATCTTCTGCTAGCAGCGACCCTTGCAGGCATCTACAGCTAGTAGATAGTACCTGTGGCATGGCTCTTCAAATCAGCTCGTGGCGGTGACAGTTCATCTAAGCTTGCGGCGCATTTGGCCGTCTTACTTCAGGACACATCAATGGGCATAAACGTGGCTGTCGATCTGCAGTGCGGCGGATGAGAGGGCTGGTCTTCCGAGCCCAGCGTTTCTTGTGCTGTGCCGTGTGTCTTCCGTCTCTCTCCGCCAGACAATAATTGCAGGTGATGTGTCCTGTATTCGTCGGCGTTACATCGCTCTGAAAACATGAAGAAGGCAGTTCAGTTCAATTGGATATGATAGTAGGTAAGGTATACGACTGATGGAGTGAAAGAAGGAAAAAAGAGATAAAGAGAGATAGGTAGATTGCTGTGATAATTGTTACTCACGTAAATACAAATCGAATGTACTTCACGTGGCCCAGGTTGTTTACTGTCCATATCATGAATGTTTATTACGGGCAGGTACCTCAGTATACCAGCTGCCTTGTAGGGACACCTGTCAGTGATCTTGTCCACTTCATCTTATCACGACTCAACATAGTCAATACATGGGAACTATAGACTGACTTGCCCATCTCACAAATGGCCGGCCCTAGTGCTGCACCGTCACCCCTCCAATTCTAGCAGCGTAGCATCGATATGCTTGATTGCTAGGTTGGGCCTCCACTTGCTTGCTTTGGTGCTGGGTCAATTCGTGCCGAATGGCGCAAGCTTCACGGGAGCTGAATTGGTGGTGGTATTGATTGTACGGGCTGTATTGTACTCTATTGACTGAGGATTGGAGTCTACAGTACGGCATACGGAAGTGGCATGCCATTGATGCACCCTACTATCGATCAATACTTCGGAATCTGCCAGCACCCTTCGTTGGCCCCTCTCCCAGGCCAACGCCCGGCCCAATCACTCGTCCCGTCACGACATGTTTCGTAACGCCATTTGCGCTGTGCGACACGCTCTGAGCTGTAGCAGATGGGCCGAAGAGATAGAGTGCCACGGTGAGCCCTTGTGAGCGCTGCTGCCCGCTTGTGCCCTCCATGTCGGTGCCTGTCCTCATGCTTTCATGCTTGCTTGCGTGCTTGCCAGGCCGCTATTTCAACGCGCTCAGGGTCCCAACACACTTCCGTACCAACTAAGTATTGCGCCAGGCACACACAAGGGGACTGGCAGGATCAAAATCAAGGCCATAATCAAAATCAGAATCAGAGCCAGAGCCAGAATAGAAGCCAATTCAATTTCAATCCCGTCTTGCCTCCCTGTTGACACATTCCTTACCCATTCCCATCCCTACGCCTCCTGTGATTCGAGGGCACGTCGGCCATTGACACGATCCTCGCCCAGGTTTGCTACATCTACATTCCGACCCAGCATTTCTGCGCATTGGACTCACCTCCTCGCCTCAGTACGGCCGACATACATCTAACCCGTCGAGTCCGCACCTTTTGGCCCCAGTCCTCTCACGTTCTTCTCTCTCACTCTCTTCCTCTCCCAAATCGCCTTGCCTTTAGCCACGCTGGACATAATTTTCCCATCGCCCACTTCATCTCGTCATCGACGGCATCACAAGGTTTACCCCCATCGGCGCCCCTCCTTGTCCATTTTGTTTCGCCCTGAACTCTACTCGCATTTTCTCCTCTTCCTCTGCTTAATTGGCACCGAATCGACTTCTCTGGCCCTCTCGGTACTCTAATCTCTGTACATGCAGTCTGCAGTCCGTACTTTTGAAAAAAGATATATAAATCAAAGAACGACCCTCGACCTGGTCTAGCAAAAAACAAGCATCTTACATATTACAAGGTCTTCCCCCTTGACAGGTCACAACTGCGTCCCTCGGAATAAGACTGTGAGTTTTGCCATCTGGAACAAGCTCGTCTTCTAGGCCCCGCTGCTTTGCCCACATCTATATCGCATGGAAAACCTTCATTTCGCACTTTGTACGGATAGTGCCACCTTGAGTCCATCTCTGATCCCTTTTCTTTGGAGCCTCTCCTCAGCCTCCCCCCCTCTCTGGCTATCGTAATTGTCTACCAAACCTATCTGTACACAATCCTGTGCTCTCTCTCACTCTCTCACATTCTCTTCCTGTTGAATGCTTTCCACCCCTGCACTGTACACCTTTTTCATCTTCCCTGACCCTGCAAAGAAAACCTAAACCCTGATTACATACCAGAGACGCCCGCGACTCACTCGCTAGGCCGCTGACACGTATCGAAACCGCAGTCTTGAGTCGACAAAACCCCCCAGACAAACAGAGCAAGCACAGCGAGGATTCCCGACGAAACATACATGAGCTTCTCTTGCTGCTCGCCCAATTTTTCCGCGTCTCGTCACGGCTCAGCCCCCGTCCTGTCGGCCGTTTGACGCGGTCTCAACTCAAAAAGTCAAACCCTTATCAAAGGGAGGACCACCGTCCGCCGAGTACTTATTTGCGCCGGCTTCCTGCCTGCTCACTAGTACCTGTATATCCAAACCTTACATTACCTTAGTTTATCGGCTGCGAACAAAGAAAGGCACAGGGGTCGGAAACGTGTCCACTGGCTGCACTGCACAGCACAGAAAACAAAGGCCCAGCCCAACCCAGCCCAGTCGGCTATCTGGTCCGTCCTGTGTCGCGGCCAAACTCTCCAGTCGTTCCCCAGAGTCGAGTCCCCGCCCAGGCAGCTTTAGCATCCTGCAGTGGCCTGCTGGCACCAGCGCGAGGCCTGGCAGTGGTTGTGCAGTGCATCGGCAGCTGTCCGTCAGCGCGCAACGGCCACTATCTTAGGTACCTACCTGTACCACTAGCTGCAGTCCAGTGCAGTGTCCCTCGTCTCGCTGGCTCCCCGTTTAAGGAAGCCCGCTGAAATCTGAACCTTGACCTGGAGCAAAAAGCCCGAGATGGCGACCACGGTGAGTCAGCCAAAGGTACAACCTCGTCCACTCTCCCTTTCTCGTCAATCCTCTCCCCCACTTGCTCAAACCCTTGCCCGCTGCCAAAGTGCAAACAGCACCACAACCCAAAATCGTCGTCCCCCAGCCTGATCCCGGCGCGGAAAGACGACGTCAGAGGGGGGGCCGCTTGAGTGTCTCAAAAGGTTGCGCCAGCCTAGCGCCCACGGAAGGAGGCTTGATTCGCCCTTAGCGGGTCACAAAGGCCTGACTCCCCACGCCTTGGCCCTCGTCCCAACCTCAGCATTGTTTCGTCTTTGCTTCTGTTCTGACCGCCGCACAATCGCTAACTGTCATCCTTCATTCTTTTCAACAGACGCGGCTGAGGGCCTATCAAAGCTTTGTCATGCCCTCTGGATCTGCCGAAAAGGCCCAGCAGCAGCCCGTAGGCTCGGGCTCGGGCTTTCCAAGCGCCAACCTCTATCCAAGCAAAAACATTTGGTCGTCCTTCCCTCAGACCAACCGAGATCGTGCTGCGGGATCCAAAGGTGCGTATTTGCTTGTCTTGTCCATGGCAACATGGCATGCCGATTGCGTCAGCGCGGCCAACCCCCTCACCCTCATCCTCATCCTGCCTGTACTGTAATGTACTGCACTTTGCTTGGACGCACACGACTCACCACGACTGTGATGCAGAATCAGAAGAAAATCCCACTGGCTCGAGCGCTCTCCACGCCAATTCCGAGGCCGATGTCTGGGGCTCCAACTCCAAGCCCTGGGGCACAGAAAACCCTGCCCGCTCCGTCAGCAACTCTCCCGGCCGAGCACGAGATGCAGGCATTCCGAATGCCTCTGGCTTTTATGCGAATCATCACCCGTCAGCCATTGGCATGAAGAAGGAGTCTTTGGGCGCTCCCGGCACCTTTGTTGATGAGACCGAGGCAGCGTTCGCCTTTGCTGCTGCCGCTCAGAAGCGAGGCCCCCAAGATGCAGCCTACATGGATCCCATGGCAGCCTTTGCACAGGCTCGAGATGCTAGCCTTCCGCCCTCTCGACAGTCGCAAGGCTCTCCAGCCTATGCTGAAATATATCAGGGCAGCGGCCATACTCCCAGCAACTCCATCCACTCGACCAGACAGCACCCTCTATCTTTCCCCCAAGTAGCGAATCAGCGAGCATTCAGCCTCAACAGACAAGTTGATGACGATCTCTCCTTGAGAATGGCCCGTCAGATCACCATCAACGGTTCGCCCGGTAGCCAGGCATTTAACCCTGCCTCCGTGCCATTCCATTCTAACCCCGCTACCTTGCCGTGGATGGGCGAGACTGGCGCCTCTAGGATTGGAAACGGCCTCGAGTTTGGCGCAGCAGATCCTCTCCTGCTTTCTAGTGTAAGGCGCCCTTCTCTCGATAGAGTCTCGCCGGCGCCCGGCTCGACCTACCGCTTGGACTCGGGTTCTAGCTCAAGAGCTTTCGCTCCGGGTGCAGATGCTTGGATGAGCAGGCCATCCTCACGAGGCCAGCGGACGGCCGAGCATGAGCGGAGGCCCTCAGGCCAACAGTTTGCTGGTGCGAACACCTACCCAAGCGCGCAGTTTTACCAAAACCACCAGTTTGGTTATGGCCAAATCGCCAACCAGTATTCACCTTCTTATCCAGAGGCGTATACACAAAACTTCCGCCCCATCATGCCCAACTATCCCGTCCCCTCGATTCATCCTGGGTATCCACTCAACTCCATGACGCCAATTCGGCCCTCCCGAGACCAAGATCCCAGCAAAGGCATGCGCAGTGCCCTACTGGATGAGTTCCGTGTCAACGGCAACAAGTCCAACAAGCGCTACGAGCTTAGGGACATTTATAACCACGCTGTGGAGTTCAGTGGAGATCAGCATGGCTCGAGATTCATCCAGCAGAAACTGGAATCTGCGAACAGTGATGAAAAGGAGCAGATATTCCGCGAGATTGAGCCCAACGCCCTTCAACTCATGAAAGACGTCTTTGGCAATTACGTCGTGCAGAAGTTCTTTGAATACGGAAGCCAGCTTCAGAAGAAAATCTTGGCGGAAAAGATGAAGGGGAAAGTGGTTGATCTTTCAGTCCAAGTTTACGCCTGTCGTGTCGTCCAGAAGGTTAGTGCAAACTGTCCCTCCCCGCTCAGAATTTTATTCCCTCTCAATTGCTCACAACGTTTCTTTTAGGCCCTTGAGCACATCCTGGTCGAACAGCAGGCTGAGCTGACACGGGAACTGGAACCTGAGATCTTGCGAGTAATCAAAGATCAGAACGGCAACCATGTTGTCCAGAAGATTATTGAACTCGTCCCGAGACAGTATATTGACTTTATTATGAACGCTGTGCGTGGCCAAGTGACGCCCCTGGCTTCTCACGCGTATGGCTGCCGAGTCATACAACGGCTGCTGGAATATGGCACCGAGGCCGACAAAGCGGAGATTATGGGCGAACTACATGCTTCAGCTCAGATCCTCATTACGGACCAGTACGGCAACTATGTGGCTCAGCACGTCATCCAGAACGGCGAACTAGAGGATCGCGAGAGGATCATTCAGCTTGTCATGGGCCAGCTCCTCACCCTTTCTAAGCATAAATTTGCGTCCAATGTTGTGGAGAAGTGCATTGAGTACGGCACGCCGGCGCAGCGCACGACCATTCGAGAGCAGCTGACAACTACCGGACCCGATGGAAACAACCCACTGCAGCAGATGATGAGAGACCAGTTTGGAAATTATGTCATTCGTAAGTCCCCTGCCTGTGACTGGCGCGATATAACAACCCAATGTCATTTGTGATTACGATGACGATGTGCTAACTTGTCAACAGAAAAGATGCTGGGTCAGCTACAGGGTGAAGAGAGGGACCTCTTGGTCGAGGAGATTAAACCCCAATTCTACAGTCTGAAGAAGAGTGTGGCGTCTCGACAGATTCAGGCGCTGGAGAAGCTTCTCGGATTGAGTGGCTCCAAGAGCGAATCATCTACTCAGTCAGACACCAACTCTGTGGCCGAAGTTCCCTCCCTGACGCATGAAACCAATAGCCCGCAAACCAGCAGCCCGCCCAGCACTCATGCCAGCGCGGTCGGAGTCCCATCCACTGATGCCACAGACAAAGGTTCAAGCAACCCTATCCACGGAGTGTCTGTGCAGGTGCAAGATGCCGAGTAGTCAGGCTACTCGTCGAGTTGCATGTTGGCTGAGCACATTCCCCAGTTCGGCTTCTTGGAAAATAAATGTATACGACAAAGACAACACTGCCACCACCAACAACATGGACAACGACTACTGCTCTATTACAAAGAAAAGGTGGTTCCAATGTGAAAGAAACATAAATTACACAAGTGCATTTGCCTGCCTTGATGGGGCGGGGTCACAGAACGGCTGGCGCCCTTCTGCAGAGCCCTCCCTGTCGTCCTTATTTTTCAACGGCATGGCTAAGTGGTATTAATATTGTGCACGTCTGTTTTATTCATTCGATTATTCTTCTTCTAATATAGCAAACGAAAGACGCATAGTGGCTTGGCTGCCCCTTGGCCGGCTTTACTGACGACGGCATGGGGCCAGTCGTTTCTGGATATTTGTCAGGACAAATGCGAATAAGACGTGGCGGTATATTCATCCCGGAACTTGGCATTTTTTCATGGATGACGAAACACAAATTTGGGATTTTTCTTCCGGGGACTATTGGGAGTTTTGTTTTTCTTATCGTTTTCCTCTTGTTTAATTTTTCTTCTCTGTGTCTTCTTCCTTTCTTTTCTTCTTCTACCTCGTCTACCGATTTCAGCGTTTCTACTTGGTCACTCCTTTACAATGGATGTTGGGAACCGGGCAGCACTGGGCACATAGGATAGCGAGGGATGCAAATGTACTTTATCGTTATGGTTGGGAGGCGCTGACACCTGGGTCTGGGATTACGTCCATAGAGAAAGCTGTAGAAAGTCTGGGATGCTCAATATGTCCCGCTACAGAATGAGGACCAATTGTTGATGCCTTTGAAGTCTGCTCTATTGTCCATTCTACGAGGGTGTGATTGTCCAATGATTGATATGAATAACTTGGGCCTCAAACTAATGAGCACTTTGTATCTGGTTTGTTTTCCTACTCACAAGCTACCTCCCAACAGCCCAAGTATTACCTAGTGACATGCGATACTCGGCACATGTTCGAGATGACGATGGCGGATCAATGTTTTAGCGCCATTCGCCCAACCTGGACGCTATTTTCTGCCGCTGCGGCACTTGTTCCGACGATAGCCACTTTATGTCCCACACACTCCTTTGCCTTTGCCAATGGCCTCGTTCCGCTCCTTTAATTACTTCCCCAGAGGAATATTGTGGCACTTGACTTGTCGACGCCGAACCTCATGAGTCCTCTAGCCTCATAACAATCACTCAATCCCGGGCACGACGAGTCCTGAACCTGCTTTCGCCATGGCTGCGGCGGGGAGACTGACGCTCTTGTATCCCCAATTGCTGCGAGCTGCGACGAGGGGCTGCGGCCCAGCGAGGGGATGGGCGACAACGACAACGACATCGACGGCTACGAGGTGGAATAGTTTGTTTGCAAAGAGGCACGGCAAGGCTGTTGAACCCGCAGAATGGGAGAAGCTACAGCAGCAACAGCAACAACAGAAGCAACAAGACCAGCAGGGCCAACAGGAACAAGACGTCTCAGCCAAGCCGACACCGGAGGACGCAGTGGCCGATAAGACAGTGATAGAAGCGGATGCGCCAGCCGATATTCAGGCCAAATCTGACATTGGCAAGCTGTATTTTCAGGATGGCGAGAAGAAGCCAGCCCAGGTGGTAACTGACGCCCCGGAGATCGATGCGGCCGCTCTCAAGAGTGAGCAGCAGGAGCCCAAGGCTGCTCGGAGCCAGGCAGAGCCGAAGTCCTCAGAGCCGGCGAATGTGGGAGCAGACGCAATTCCTCTCGGCGCACCCAAGCAAGCTGATCCGAGCGATGGGAGTGGAAGTGGTAGCGGGAGCGCTGAGCCCAAGGCCAATAAGCCTGGAGATGGCACCAAAATGAGCGACAAGCTGGATACTGTCTATTACATGGGTGCTCCCGAGAATTTGGCAACGACTATGCCCTCCATGACCCCGCCAAAGTATATTCATCACTTTGACAGCTATTCTCTCGTCAAGCAGCTGCAGGAAGGGGGCTATTCAAGCGACCAAGCCATCACTATGATGAAGGCTATCCGGACGATCCTGGCCCATAATCTAGACATGGCGCAAGAAAAACTTGTCAGCAAGAGCGATATAGAAAACGTGAGACAATGCTCCATCCCACTTTTACTTGTTCGGAGCGAGTGAATAAGAGAGCACATGTGCTCCCTACCAAGCTAGATCGTGGAAATGGGCTGACGCTGATTTATAGGAATCTTATCTGTTCTCTGCTGCGTGTTCGGAGCTGAGCGCCGAAATCAAGAACAATCGCCGGGGCCAGGATGAGCAAATCCGGCAACAGCGCACGCATCTCCAGCACGAAGTCGACATTTTGACGCAGACTCTGAACCAGGAACTGCTGACTCTGAACGACAATGTTCGCGGGATTTTCAACGACCGCAAGATGACAGTCAGAGAAGAGCAAAAGGCGGCGGAGAGTGCTGTACGTCCCCAACCGACCCGCCTGGAGATTGGGAAGAGAGTTTGTGATTGCTAATTGATTGGCAGATTCAACAAATCAATTACAAAATAAGCATCATGCTGAGCAGCGACTCCAAGTCGGAGATTGAAGGCGTTCGGTGGATTCTCATCCGGCGGTCCGTGGTGGGCATCCTCTTCATGGCTATTCTGACGCTGGGAACGATCCGGTACGCTACGTATGTCAGTCATCAGCGCCAGCGGGAGCTGGATCGCAAGAAGAAGGAAGAAGAAGAGTTGAAGATGGATGGCGGCAAGAATGATCGTACCTCGGCACCTGATGCGGCCGAAATCCTGGCAGCAAACTAACGTTTTTTTTTTTTTTTCATATGTGTTTCTACGAGATAGGGACGAGGTTTGGGCTGGTCTTTGGCCTCGGCAGGAGGAGGATGACGACGATGCAATGGTGAATTTATGACTGTGTTATGAACTGTGGGGAAGAAACAAAATTCTGATACCAACTCGCGAGGGAGACGAGGGAAGATAAAGAGATTTACATAGACTCGAGGGAGGCGAGAGGAGAAGAGACACTTGTATAAAGAGAGCACGGTTGGGAGCTATACATGAGTTGGCAGGAATATATAGAGATAGACATGGGTCAACGGACTACAGCACTTGGGGCAAGTGGGTGAGCGGATTTGCATAAACATCGTACGGTGCTCAGCCGATATATTATTGTTTATGATTCATTGTTTGATATTATTATATATTGATTGATCCAACTAGATGAGTAATGAGGCTGGAATTCTTTTGTTTAAATGTATGCCTTACAGCTATGATCGCGATAAGAAGTGCACTCAATATGAGCGTTGCAGTTGAAGTACTCCTAACATGCAGGCAGAATGAAGTGACCAAGAAAGGCAATTGCCAGCTACCTTACTCCACCAAAGCTGCTGCTGTCACGTGCTCCCAACCAACGTCGGAACTTCACCCCACGTCGCGTCCCCTCCAATTGATAACGCGCCTCAATAGCAAAAGCACCTTCAGCCACGATTGACCTTTGATTGCTTCTTCCTGCTCCATGCTGTGCGATTCTTCATTTTTATACACCTCCATATACATCAATCCCATCCCCTGGTATGAGACGATACTATAATTGCGGCCCATAGACATCGTTCTCCTCTTATACTCCATCTCTCCCAGCCTGCGAAATCGTCCAATGGCAACAACATCACAACCTCCCTCCCAAGCTCCAGCATCGTCAACCTCAGCGCAAACATCTACACCCATGGAAACCGACGAAACAACACCAGACCCGACGACGACACAATCCCAACACCAAGACAGCCATCCCGAGGCTCCCAACAACGACACCCACGCAGAAGCACAACAGCAACCACAGCAGCCCGTCGTCCCCGGCCCCCGCGCCTCCCGCCTGCAGGAGCTCTACGCGCAGAGCCTCAAGCGCACGCTGGGCAAGCTGAAATGGGACAACTTCGCGGCGTGCTACCCGACGGTGGCGAGCAGGGCCGAGCCGGTGCTGAAGCAGGTCCAGGCGCAGATGGTGGAGAAGCTAGGCGAGAAGTGCGAGGTTCGTTTTCTCTCTTTTCCTTCTTTTCCTCTCCTTTCTCTTTATTATTTTGTAGTGATGGGCGGGGAAAGTTGAAAATATCTTTGACTGACTTAATATGGGTAATTTGCAGAAGGAATTTGAAAGCATACTCGTAACGAGACAAGTCGTCCCCAAGCTCAACGACCTGGAAACTCTCATCAGCGAAGCCACCCACCGACGCATCTCAGCACCCCCCGACGCCCCCAAACCAACTCCGTGCGTTTTATTCTCCCCCTTCTCCCCCAAGCAATCTTTTACAAGACCAGAACCCAAAAGCAAAGTTCGCTAATGAATGGGAAAATCATTACAGACCCCATCTCCTCCCCGCAAAAGACATTCTCTCCGCCCATCTCGCCCCCTCCCTCGCCTCCCACCAGTCCCTGCTCAACGCGCGCCTCCAAACCGCGCAGTCCCACAACGCCATACTGTACGAGCAGATCCAGAGCCAGCGCGCCGAAATCGAAAAGCTGCTCGACTCGCTGGAAGCTACCGTCGGGGACGTCAAGAGCGCGAACGAGGCGCTGGAGCCCGTGGTGGCGCAGTTGGCTAGGGAGGCGAGGGAGGCAGACAAGACGGTTTCAGAGGAGGAATAGCCATTCGTTCTGTTTCTTATGCGAGGCATTTTTCTGAGATTTTTATATCTGGGCGCTATTGTGTTGGATAGATGGTGGCATCTGCATGGGTCAATACTTGAGAGCGTCAGGTTGTTGAATTAGTTGGATTTCGGTTTGGGCTTTTGGTTAAATGATACCCCACGAATTTACGTTGCTTTCAGCTTTCACTTTTATCACTAGACTTCACCTTTGGGCAGTAGTGAATGAGAACCTTGTATGAACTGAATGTATTGCGATATATACAAAAGGCTAGCGTGCAGCTGTATCTAGCAAGCATGCACAAGTAAGCCGCGTTCGCACTCCCCGTCGCCATGCAATGGAGATAGTTGTACATGTCTGAAATGCGCAATGGAACAACAGAGAGATATAGGAAAGAAAAGAGAGACAGGTAAAGGAAATAAAGAAAAAATAACTCCGGTCCATGATGCTGTTGCCGCCGGTTATGTATGTGTAAAATGCTCCTCCCAGACGCCCCTGTATGCACAAAGCAAAAGCCAACACCTTTTCCAAAAGCTCACAAATGCAGAGCCAACCACTCCCTCCATCACATCCCAGTTCCTATATGGGACCCCTAAGCCTTGATAATCAGGCCCTTGTATCATGTAAAATGAGATATAGAAAAACAAATGGACTGATCCTGTCCATGTCCATGGAGCCAATGATCGAATGTCAACCGAGACTCATAATGTCTCTGATGACACCTCACGCCTTGTGCCGGTGAGCCTGGCATATCTGAACCCGCAATATATACCCGTGCCATGATGTCCCTTTCCGGTTGGGATCATCTAATATGCGACACATTCATGCCTTGGATCTTATCCAGATCATCCCTCTAAATCCTTCTGTTTTCGGTATGAATGACCTGCCAAGGGCCAAAGTATTCTATCTCGCCATAGGCTGGTGGGAGCACGCGGACCATTCTGCCGGTGCCCCAGTCGACGAACCACTGCTTCCCTTTGCTGATGATATAATTCGATTTGCGGGGGCTTCGGAACAGTAGATTGCTGTAGCAAAGTTTGGCGTACAAAAGATCGTGAGCAGTTGACCACTGGTGTTCAGGAAACCATTTGCCCGTATGAGGATCAATGGATGGATTTGGGTACGAGGATGTGCTCATGGTATGAAATGGGTCATTCCTGGGATCGATTCTTAGGTGGGGAGCTAGAACTTCGGTGCTCTGTGCCTCTTCCTCCGGGCGAGGTCGTGAAGGCGCGGGCGTCGGTGTTGGCAGAGGCGGAGGAGATGAAGGTGGTTGTTCTGTTCCATCAGGAGAACCGGAGGTCTCGGCCTCTGGAGGAGGGTCTTGCTGAATTTCCGGCTGGGTGCTTGGATAGACGACGCCTGTTTGGCTGCGGAACCACCGGATTCGCTGGATTCTAGGGATAGACATGTCGCGCGGGAAATCTCGCTCATCGATGGGGGCTGCAACATCAATAGCCGCAAACAAGCACTCAAGCCACTTGACAAACGTGCTTAGTTCGATACAAGACAACAGAAACTGGTCTGTTTCAGCTCGCACTCGGATAACGTAACGACGTCTAGAAGTAGAATGGGTTAGTCCATGCCCATATGAGAGCTTTTCCCCTTCTCTTTTTTTCCCACTCTCAGCCCCCTCACTTGATGAGGCCTTCGTCGTGATATGCGGGATACACAATAGTAAGGATGAGCAAGAAACAACTCACTTTTTGTAGTCGGCAGCAATACCAGCATCAGCATGCAAAAGACTATACGTCTTTTCGAGTTTCGCTCTCTTAATCCAAGGGGGATTGTCGGGACTAATGGAAGGGCCATCGCGTGCCTTGCCCCAGCCCCAGTCTTTCTTGGTGTTGTAGATGCTTAGGGCAGTTCCGTTGAGGACGACAGAGACGGTATGCCACTGGCGATCTTCGGCTCTTTTGGTGGTGTTTTCGATCTCATGTTTCTTGTGAAATATGCCTTCGATGGCAATAGAGCTTGAGTAGCTAGGAAGCTCTTCAGGGCCTCCAACCATGATGTCGGAGCTATCGTGACCTTCGTCGTCGTGACCTTCACCCACTTTGGCCACCCTAGGTTCCTTCCCTCTGCTCTTAATACGATCCAGCCAACTGCTCTTCACTGGTGCTGGGTCCTTGTCCTCGACCTTCTCACTCCTCTCTCCACCAGCACCATCTCCTTCTCCTTGCATCATGGGTAGATCGTCGTCTGGATAAGCTGGTGGATGTGATGGACGCCGCTGTTGAGACAGTGTCATGATGCGCTGATAGTGCATGTCCTCCTCCATTGATAGACGCCGCCGGAGAGGCGGCGCAGACTGGGTCGGTGAGTGTCCATTCTCTCCGGCCGAGCCACGGCGGTCCATGGGGGCGGGCCCGGCTTATATGTCCCGGGGCAAACAGGAGACTGGAAGAGCGGCGTTGAGGTGACGGGCGCTGAGTCGGTGTGTTGACGTAGCACTGGCAATCCGATCTGCCTCCAGTGGCGTGGGCGGCTGGCGACAGGGAACTCTATTCGTTTGCTGCTGACAGGAGGAGTCTCCGTAGATGGATCATGACCGTTTGTGCTCATAACGACCCGCCCTGGCGCATGATGAACCCGAGTGAAGATCACAAACGACAACTACGAGGACGAGGAGGAAACAAGAGTCTCAAGAGGAGCACGGTGGGGAGGGGTGAAGGGCGAAATGGAGAGACGAGACAGGAAACAAGAACGGGGCCGTGGTCGCAATGAGGTGCTGGAGCCCTGCACGGTGGCTCTTTTGTTAGTGTCGATGAGACCCGTTGTGGGCTTCGATGCGTGAATCTTGTCGGGTATTGCACTGGACCCGATGCGTCGCGTTCCCTCTCAGGGTTGCCAGGAAGAGTCGGAAAGCTTATGCGAAGCGGATTCCAATGTTGCGCTGCGCTGACACGGGAGGTGCTTGTTTGAGGAAACGTGCGGGTGGCGAGCAAGACTTTTGCGGCGTCTACTGTATGGTGGTAGTAAGTAGTGGTAGTAGCAGGACGGAGGATAGCAGGTCGTTAGCGGCGACAGGCGAATGAGCGTCGGCGACAGAACGGACACGGCACGCTTTGGCATTTCATGTAAGTCAACGCCAGGGGTTTGCCCAAGGGGGTGTCGCCGCGAGTGCAGCTGCAGCTGTGGGGATGGGCGTGGACCGAGGATCCAGACGAAGCCGCGCCACGACGACGACGACTCTGATGAGCATCAGATTCACTTGCTCCGTAGCCGTGACCGTGGAAGCCTCTTTGGACCAACTTTGGACCAACGGACGGACCCTTTTTCGCCAGCTGAGCCGCTTTCGGGAGCCTGACCCGGGAGAGCCGTGCTAACAGTAGCCCAGTGGCCAACGAGGCGCTGGGGAAACGCCACTACTGGCTGAGGCGGCTCCTTGCTCCAGCGGTTTTGTGTTTTTGTGTTTTTGGTTTGTGCGCCTTTGATGCGGACGCGGATATACCTGAAGTCCGTTGAGCGATGCGATGCTCCGACGAGGACGAGGGGCGATGACGACGATGATTCCTACCTAACAATGAGATGAGATGGCAGTTCGGTTCTCGTCAGCGATGGTTTAAGGAGGCTGACGAGACGAGGCCATTGAGGAATATTGATTGGTGTTTCAAGAGGAGAGAGCCAACGAGCAGCTGAGATGGACAGGCAGGATTGGGTACGTACTGCCGTGTACATACGAAGTACGAACAGATTCCCCACAATTGTGCAAATACTACGGATTTGGGAGCGGCCTGTATGGGATACCTACAAGGGCTAGCGAACAGAGTGCAGCGACCAGCTAACGAGAGTCAATGATCGGGTATAGGTACCTGTTACGGAGTACTGATGGCGACAGAGAGAGCGAGTGACCTTAGTATCTTACCTTGCCATTTGTGCTAATTTCGAAGCGATCTGCCTATCTCTTTCCCTTTGAGGCTCATTTACAAGTACTAGGAGGCAGTAATAATACGCCAATATACGCCAATCCTACTAGAAATCTTGTGTTTTTGCATTAAGCAAACAATGAATGACTCTAGTAACCTGTTACCTCGATGCTGGTAATAAACACTGCAGGTCAGTTCGGGTGCTAGCAATATATCATACGTGTCGCCAGTTATTACGAGCAATACTAAACAAAGGTACCTCCGTGCAGCGTGACAAAAGAAAATACAGCCAAAAATGCCCGCCCCTTGCCCACTCACAGACTGCTATTTCTGGGCTGACCCGGGCCCTCTCAAAAAGTTCCTTCTGGTNTCTACAACTAAATACCGAGCACAGACCAACTGACTGCAGCGCACAATTGGGAAAAAAGGGAAAGGGCTACTGGAAAAAAGAAAAAGAGGGCCCGGCCACTTGGGTTTGTTTGCTCTTTCTCTTTTTCCTCCCCGCCTGGGAAAAAATGGTGCTGGGTGCGCTAAGCCTTGCGCGGTAGGTGCCACGCAGGGCGTGTTGGAAGGCGGGGTTTGAAATGAAGCTGTACACATAAAGTTGATAGTTTTGTTCTTTTGGCTTAGCAGGCAGGTATAGCGCATGTAAATCTCATATATCATACCTAAGGTAACTGCTAAGGTTATTGCAATCACATACTCGTATGTACATGTACTGTATGCAACCCATGCCACATCAGATTAATAAATAAAATAAAAAACTCCGGGGGAAAACACAACACAAAATCCTCCTTCCTCCCATCCACCTGGTGCCGGATTGGGGAGATCCCCCCCTTTGGGCAGGTTCGCACTGGCAAAAGGACCGGCGAATCACGCGGCTGCGTCGGCGCCGAATCGCGAACAAGCTTATGTGCCAAGTGCCAAGTGATGGGATCCTCTGGTCTCGGAGATGGGCGATTTCCCGCTAGCGAGGGCGTCAATTGAAAATACCTACTGCAACTACAGTATTTTGTGTGCTGTGCTGTGTTGTGGCTCGTATCCCGCGATTGAGACCTAAAAAGGATTGACACCCTCCATCGCTCTCGTTCGCACAGTTGATGGTACATAGGCAAGAAGCATATAAAAGAGGTTTTTTATTTTGTCTGCGGGTTTTCTGCCTTAAAGCTTGGATGTCCGTCCCGTACGGCCCGAGTCTGTACATCTAAGGCGTGTTGGTGCCTTTCTCGTTTGGGCAGTCGCCGATGAATTGCACTTCTATTATTGGACACTCTTTTCATCTGTGTTTCATCTGCTTCAATTTCCCTCGTTCAGTGCCAGCAGCAGCGCCATCAATTCTCACCTGCAGCATCGAATCCCATCATCACCACGGATGGACACATACAGGTCGCAAATGATGATACATATTACCTTAAACAATAACACTCGCTGTGTATGTATTTCTCCTGTCCTGCGGTTACGCCAAGTTGTAGCTCGCCAATTGTGCTACTACGGCAGGGTCCGTTTCCCCTACATACCCCCTCCCTAGCCCTTCAACCCCTTCAGGCCACCCCCCCTCCAGCATCTCGGAACTTTTGGACGTGCCCAGGCACCTTTGAAAGCCGCATCCCCCATTCAAGGAGCCCTGCTCCCATTGTCACGTCCCGCCGGTTGGCTGCTTTGCAACTCCGACCCCCGCAATATGTATTGGTAATTGGTAATGGCACGGACGGAGCAGTGGCTCTATGTAACTGTTGTCTTTCTCCACAGGATGGAGTGAGTACTTTATTGGACGGGCACGCCATACGATGTTACCTGGTACCAAAGTATGGACTTGCTTGGACAAGCACATACTGTACGAGTACATACATGGTAGGCAAGGCATTTGTTGCATTCATCAAAGGGGCATCATGTGCAGAGCAGCCTTTGGAACCTGTCACAATTTGTGTAAATGCGTGTGCGTCGTACGTGTGATTACGGCAGTTCAAGAGGTAAGCAGGATCAACAGCTGTTGACTAGTAGGGCGTCCTGTACGAGTAGGTACCTATTCGCCATGTCTCGTCTCATGTCAGACAACGGTTTCTGATATCCATAGGCCTAATACTTGCTAGGAGAGCCTAACGGATCCTATGACTACTAGGTACCTATTCCTATTATACACTTTAATTCCAAGAGAATCCTGAAGCGGACTTCGGCTCCGATCATAATTCCCCGACATGGCCAATTGTGGCTCTGGCAAGTCTTAGCACAGATTTGCTGCCGTTGAATTACGTGTGGCCGGCGCATAAAACAGATCCGTCGCATGCCCGGTCGTCCGATTTTGCTTCTGGCAGCAGTAGCTTGACCCAGCCCAGCATATACGAGTACGTACGCTACTCGTAGTAAGCAAACCATCTAATCAATCCATCCCGTCTCTGCATCGAAGCCCGATATCGCCTTGTAAAATATAGGACACTGAATCCGCTGTAATCGTCTTTCTGGCTATATGTACTTGCCTGGTATCTGCCCTGTTAGAATCTTGCTACGGACCGCACTTTCGATAGCCGGCGGCTTGTCTTTTGGTTTCCTGACAGAGGCATGATCGGCCGTTACGGACTCCGAAGTGAACAAGCAATAAGATAAGCACTGTGCTTTGCCGTCATTTGCATCTTGGCAGGCACATTCCCCCGAGTAAACCGAGACTTTTTGCTCTTCTTATTTTTGTCTGTCCTGTCTTCAGTACATACACTGTATGGGCTCAGGTCGGTCTGGTGCTCAAATTAAAATAGAATTGAAAGGAAATGCACCCCCTAGGTACATGGCCTTGCTCATGGGCTCATGCCACACCAATCAGTTTCCAGTCGAGGGGGATCCCTAGCATCAGCAAACCTTGTCGAGGACATTCGACTCATCTGCAAACGTGCCGGTACTTCCGCCGGCACCTGGGCCTTAGCAGCCGATCTGATTACTTACATCCTACATCAAGCATACAGGTAATCATGGATGGGCTGTCTATCCATAGGTAGTACCAACGGTCATGCACAGTACGTGTTGACAAGACGTATACTGTCTTAGTACAGGCGTCGAATCCTTATTGATCAACTGTCATTCACGTACGAGTAGCAGTTTTACTCTTCTTACCTGTCACATCATGCAAACTAGAGGCTATTGCAACAACAAAACATAACCCAACTAACTCAACTAGCCGCGTCAATCCCTCTGATCCTCTGCAATGCCAACTCCCTGTCTGCGCTGTTTTTGATTCCATCCACTGCGTTTTTCCTTCTTTCTCGAAGCCCACGCCCCCTCTTTTCTCCCCACCGCTTTAGGCAGTTGATCAATCTGGTGAAAGAGTCATGTTCCGTCCTTGTTTGCGCATCCGCATATGACCTTTTTTTCAAATGCCGATCCGAACTGACGCCTT